GTTTCCAAACTTGCCCAACACACCGGGCATCTAGGATTCACATGGGCTTGCTTCTCAATAAGAGCCTCTGTAGTAGGCAGAATCCGATTAAGAATCTGCCATAGAAAGACCCTCAACTTGGGAGGAATATCGGCTTCCCAAACACGAATCCAACTTGATCGATCCATCCAACAAACCGTCGACTTCCACCCCCCCCCCCCCCCTTCGCTTCTCAAGGGAGACTGCTAAATGGTAGGCAGACTTCACTGAGAACACCCCATCCGGGGAAGCATGCCAAATAAGCCTATCCTCTACCGGTCGCCGGGGGAGAGGTATAGTCTTAATGGCACAGCAGGTCGGTGGATCAAACCACTGGCTAAGCTTCTGGTCACTCCATCCTCCCCCCCTGGACAGATTACCTCATCAACAGTCAGCTCTCCTCCCGCCGGTAGAACTCAAGGGTTATACATAGGGGGATCAAACTGAAGAGCCGGAATCCAATTAGAGTGAAGGAGCGACGCAGACCGGCCATTCCCTATTTGCCATCTCAAGCCCTTTTCCAATAACTCTCGCCCATACAGGATACTCTGCCACCCCCAAGAGGGGCGGGACCGAGCCTTCGCTTCCAGGAAGGTGCCTGTTGGAAAATACTTGCCCTTATAAACCTGCGCCAACAAGGATTGGGGGTCCATCAGGATGCGCCACCCAACCTTAGCTAATAACGCATGATTAAATTGCTCAAAGCGACGAAAGCCCAACCCCCCATCGTGCTTACTCCGGCACATATTCCGCCAGGACATCCAGCGAATACGGAAGTGGTCTTCTGTTACCCCCCACCAGAAGCGGGCTACATGTTTGTCCAAAAGCCGACACAAAGAAAGTGGTAGCTTGAAGCAAGACATCACATGCAGTGGTAGTGCCAGAGCAATGGATTTAATCAAAGTCTCCTTAGCCGCCCAGGATAAAGATTTTTGTTTCCAACCCTGCAGACGCTCTAACAGTTTCTCCTCCAGGTACCTGAAGGTTTCCATTTTTGACCGCGCAATCAGAGTGGGTAGCCCAAGATATTTGTCATGCACCCCTACTGCGCCCACCCCCAAAATTGCAGCCAAAAACTCCTGGTCCGCGCGGACAACATTCCGGCTAAAGCAAACAGCAGACTTTTCCAAATTCACCCGTTGGCCACTCAATTCCTCATATTCATTCATAACTTCTATCAAATTTTCACATTCCTGGAGAGTACCTCGCAGAAAAAGATAAGAGTCGTCCGCGAAGAATAAATGAGAAATCCGGGGAGCACGCGGGGCCACCTTAACCCCTCCCAACCTATCCTCCCGAATAGCTTTGCGCAGGAGCGCCGCAAAGCCCTCCGTACACAGCACGAATAAGAGAGGGGATAAAGGGTCTCCCTGCCGTAACCCTCTGGAAGAGGTGAAGTAACCTGAGGGGGTACCATTCATGAGGACAGTGAAAGAAGCAGACCAGAGACACTCATAAATCCACCCTCTCCAAGTTGAGTTAAAACCCATTTTTTCCAAAACTGCTAGAAGAAAGGACCATTCAACTCTATCATAGGCCTTTTCCATGTCAACCTTTAGAGCCATGTACCCTTTCTTACCCCGAGTTTTGATCTTTAAATAATGCATTAACTCATGCCCCAAGAGTATATTCTCAACAATCTGCCGGTCTCTGATAAACGCATCTTGCCCTTCAGAAACAATCTGAGGCAAGAAACAAGCTAGCCGCTCGGTCATGATTTTAGTAATAACTTTATAAACAAACTGGCAAAGGCTAATCGGACGTAACTGTCGCATAGACTCCACCTTATCCACCTTCGGGATCAGGGTAAGCCAAGTGTGATTGAAACTGCGGAGTAATCGACTTGTCACAAAGAACGAACATACCGCATCCACAACTGAGGGACCCACAACATCCCAGAAGGTTTTGAAAAACTTGCCCGTGAAGCCATCCGAGCCCGGCTCCTGTTTCGAGCCCATAGCAAACACCGTTTTACGAACTTCACTAGGGAGAACTGCAGCTGTTAGGCTCGCATTCATCTCAGGAGTTACATTCCGAGCAATGGGTAGATCCGCAATGCGCTCAGCCATGTTATCAACCTGATTCTCCGTGGAAAAGAGATGCTGGTAAAAGGATGTTGCAATACTCGCTTTTTCCTTTTCCTCCGTAACCCATTCCCCAGTCTCCCTACGAAGGCCCTCCACAAAGTTTCTTTCACGACGAACTCTGGTCACTGTATGAAAGTAAGCCGTATTTTTATCACCTTTCTTCAGCCAATGAACCCTAGACTTCTGCTGCCGGTACACCTCCTCCGCCTCTCACTGGCGATTCAACTCCATCTCCAGATTTCTAACTTCGTCCCAATTGATTGGTTGGATAAGTTTCACCCTCTCGATTTCACTCTGAAGCGTTCTGATATTACGCAACGAGTTGGTGGTACCTGCCCTACTCCAGTCATATAACAAATGGCGGAGTCTCTTGAGGCGCTCCCAAAGGCAGAACATCGGATTCCCCTGGATATCCTCCTGCCAGACATAGCAAACCATAGCCCGTTGACTCGACTCTACTGTCACTCCAGGAATTGGCCAAGTGTAACCACTTCCTAAAGCGTAGTATAGCGGGTTTAGGTTTAATTATCAACCCGGGTCCTAGATATGATGACTACTCAGTGAATTCCTGTTATCTAGCAATGAAATTGGAATGCAAGTCTAAACTATCAAACTAACAAAGCAGGTAAACGGTTGTATTCAAGTTAAAGAGGTCACCCGGATATGGTTCCCCCTAGACTGCAGTTAAGCCGGATTGTAATTACCAAGTTCAGTTTCTATGAAGATTATACTGCGGAAGGTTCTTAAACAGCCTGAAGTCTCGACTAAAGGTCTTCAGACCCTCTCAATCTGACTCTCTAGCGGGCGACTAACCTCCACCGGAGTCGACAGATTGAGGCCCTAAGAACAAAACCTCCACTACCGGAGTAAATCCGGTACAGAATAGTGAGTTGGCTCCTCGACTAAAGTCACCAACTCCCTACCTTCAATCAAGGATACTCTATTAACCTAGGCAGATATTCTCATTCTAGGTCAAAGCAGAAACAACAGGAATTTGATCAGGATTCAAGTCATTCAATCATTAAAACCTCAATCGAATATAATCAATCATAGAATCAGTACTTGGGTTCATACAATCAAAGCCTAACATACAAATCTAGGGTTCTCCATACCCAGATGAATGGGAGAACTACTCCATAGAGAAGAAAGCAAAAGCAGAATCAGACACGGAATTCATACTGCGAAGGATGGATTCCTGCTTCTGGACGTTGATTGGCACTTCTCCAAGCTCAAGCTGGCCTCCAATGGTGTTGAAGATCAATCTAGGGCACTTGGAAACTCTTGCTCGTCACTTTCTCTCTCTAGGAACTGATCTCTCTCTCAAAAACTCGAATCCCCCTGAGTTGTGGCTGAAAATCTGCTTAAAAGCATCAGTGGCCAAAGCACGGTCGAGGGCACGGCCGTGCTTTGCCTGACTCCGCCCGTGCCTCGGCCAGGGCTTAATTACACGGCCAGCAGTTGGGTTAAACACGGCCGTGCTTCGCGATGGACACGACCGTGCTTTGACTGAACACGGCCGTGCTTCAGTGCCCGTGTTTGCAACTGAATTGGCCAAACCAAATTTGCTCTCGGCATAAAAAGCACGGCCAGCAGTACACCGCCGTGTAATGCTTTAGGCTGCCCGTGTTTTGGCTCCAGCTCACCGAAATGACTTCCGAATGCCCCGAAACTCGCGGTTAGCCTTCCCTTTGACGCCTGGGACCTGAAACATGACAGAATAGCACAACCCGGCGTAAAATAGGCCAAAACACACGACTATGCCCCTCAAACGGATAAGAACTAGGGGCGCAAACATGTGCATTTACATCGTTATCACCCGTACCTCCGGATTTTCCGCCCACCGGGCATCAAACCGGAAAAGGGGTCTGCGATTACGAGCATAGGGTTTGTCCGAGAGCAAGAGAGCACGATGATCAGAACCCTGGTCCGTGAAATGCTTGACAGGGTCTCCGAGAACATGTCCACCCAGCTCTGAGAGCACAGGGCCCTGTCCAATCTCTCCCGAATACAAGCCACTCCCATTCTCCGATTAGTCCAAGTGAACGGCTCACCAAGGAAGCCAGGATCATGAAGACCCAAGTCTTGGATAAAATCCCTCAAACTTATCGACTGGGCACCATTCCAAGGATTGCCACCATCTTTTTCACCCATATGAAGCGTAGTGTTAAAATCTCCAATGATCACATATGGAAGAGTAAGGGAGGAACATAAATCACGAATGTGAGCCAATTGACTGGTTCGAACATCAGAACGACAACTAATATAAACAAAAATCACAATATAAGAAAAATCCACTTCATTAATTTGGGAACAAATACAGAAGTTGGAATGATAAAAAACCGAAGCCTCAACTCCGGGGGACCACGCTACTACTAAACCACCAGAAGAATCAATTGCATCCACAAAAAAACAATGAGAAAGATCAAAACCCAAACCCCGCATACGACGGGAGACAACACGCCGGCTCGATCGAGTTTCCGAGAAAAACACGAGATCCGGTTTATTCGAACACACTAGACCTGCAGCCGTTTGGAATGTGAGGGATGTCCCAATTCCCCGCACATTCCAAGCCATAATCTTCATTTATCCGGCTGGGGCCATTCGAGGCTGGCTTCCTCCACCTTCTCCTTTTCAACCACATCAGCAACTTCGATAAAGTACTTCTTTGGAGTGGGAGGGGAGCCAACTTCACCTTCGACCGAAGCCAATCGCTTTCGGGCATTAAACCCAGGGTTGGTCAGGTTTGACCCATACTCATCGCCCACCTCAGCCCCCTCCCCATGCATTCCTTCGCCTTCAACCATCCCCGTTTTCATTTGCCCTGATCAATAGCCAACCCAGCCTCGAAAGCCGCTACAACCTGGGAGACCTTCCCCGAGATTCCCCGACCAGCTCTCACCGAGGAGGGACCCGGGTCACGTTTTCTGATTTCAAAGCAATGAGAATCGGCCCCCATCCCCGAACCCTCCGAGTCGCTAGGCACGGGCGAGCCCTTCTCCTTTCGAAATGCCGCATCCGCACCGAGGGGGTTGTCATCACCCCCGCTTCGCTTGCCCCGCTAACCACCTCAACCGCAGTCACCCCAGCTGAGCCATCGTCCTTGTGGGGAGTGGTAAGGGGCACAGTAGAGTCGGCCCCCTGCACACGCCCCTCCTTCCCATGGCCAACACGAACTTGGCGAGGTTTCTGATCAACTGGCCGCGCTACATAAACAGCAGCACCATCCGTAACCGAAGTCGCGGTCTTGGATGCCTTCCAACATAGACGCCTCTTCGCCGGTTTCACAGTCCCGACACTCGAGCCCCCCGCTTCCCGCACCGGGTAAGAACTAGGATGGGCTTCCTGTCTCGGCTGCTGGTCGCAAGGACTGGCCTGCACCTCTGGCTGGGGCAAATCCCCCATGTCATCATCGAGATCAGCCTCCAGGATGAGACGACGACGCCGGGCCTGCTCCGGGATACCACCTGCTGGAACCACAGCTGTCGGGGCAGGCGATCCCCGACCCTCACGCACTGGATTCTGAGGTCGCCACCCTCCCTTCTTCCCTCCTAAAACCCTGCTGGCAGTCTCCTTTGTGGACGCCGCCATCTTCTGTTTTCCACCTCCACCAAACTTGACTTTGGGAGGCCTGTTCATGACAAAACCTTTCGGGCTTTGGCGTCGCATTGGCGAACGCACCAGCTCCGCATCCACCTGCATATCATCCGGATGAGGTTCCATGCTTTCTCGACCAGCGGGTGCTTGTTGCTCTTTCTGCCAACCTACCTGGCCATTTAAATGGACTCTCCCCGCCTTGTTATTCTCCTGCCGCCCAGCCCCAGCATCCTGCAAGCGAGGCTGCCGATTGACCCATACCGAGCTCCTCGAGCCCCCAAACACCAGCGACTGATCATACTCATCATAAACTTGTCGTCCCAGTTTCTTGGTCATCATATGAGGACCGAAACGTTCTTTCCCGTTTGGCGGGTCAAAGACACAATCGTGCCGAGCATGGCCTATCCGGCCACAATGGAAAGAGAAGCTGGGTAAATGTTCATATTTGAGGCTCACCCAAAGCTATCCGTTTCCTCATTAACCGCCATAACTTGGGAGCGGAGGGGCTTGGCAAAATCGATCACCGCTTTAACTTTAATAAAGCGCTCGTTCGTCTCATTACAAGCAAAGATGTTGGAGTCGAGCACCTGGCCTACAGCAGATGCAATCATTTTCTGGCCAAAGAGTCTCGTGCGAAACTCCTCCTTTACTCCCCAGAGTTGGAGCCGAAAAGGAGCCAGAGCCATCTCCTCAAAGTGCTTCTTGGTGATGGTAGGAGCCCAGGGACGAAGCGTAAGCAGCTTGTCCTTGATAATCCAAGGACTACGAGCTAAAGCCCACTTCTTTGCTTCATCATTCGGCAGGATGATCTCAAACAAACCATATTTGGTTTTCAAGACTTTGAGTTGCCCACGTAATTTCTATGCATCAAGCAAGCCATCCCGCAGCTCCAAGGCCGAAATCGGATCGTTGGTGAAGAGTCTTCCCAATAGAGTGCGCGAAGCCCGGAATCTAGTTGACTGCACCTCCTCGATAGAGAATTGAACAATCTGCTCATCAACCACGTGGGACATCTTGCGAGGAACCTGCCAAAAAGAGGAACAGGTAGGGTCAAACACCACCTCACAATACCCTAACAGACCCTTGGTCGAGCCAATAACACTCAAAACCAGAACAGAGGGGGACTGCGTAACAGGAAGAGGCTCTGGCTCAGCGAAGAGCAGAGGGGAAGACCGCGTACCTGCGCGTGCATCGGCGTCAAAGGTTTGCGACGGGGGCTTCGTAGGCGAGATAACAGACGGCGCTATCGTACTGAAGAGTAGGGCGCTTCTTACTGCCAACATGGATTTAAATACTAACCCAACACCCCGTGCAAACTCATTCCTCCTGTGGAAGTTGGTCACACGATCAAGACTTCTCATGGGAGCAGGACTCCCATAACCAACATAAAACGCGGGATTAATATTTTCCCGGCGGGTAGGATTCACCCCATAACCTCCCAAATCTCCCGCAATATCCGGGGGAGATCGCGATTCCCTCGACACCACTCGACGACCCAAACGGACACGGGTCTGCAAAGAGCCTCTACATGTCATTAGTCGCAAAGCCTTGCCGGCGGGAGGGCAATATCGCGTCTCCGGTGGCTCACCCACCGGTCCATTCCTTGGCAGTAACTGCCAAGTCCTCACTACCAGCTCAAACCCTGTCGGATTTCGGCCGGTTGGGACAGCAGTATCTCCATTCGGTTGTATATTTGATTGAATAGACTCTTCTGATGCAGATAATAGCGAAGCTTCGCCTACCACATCAGACGACGCAGGGAGCCAGAATCTCCAAACCACAAGACGACCCCTCCTGCACCTTTTTGCAGGCCGTATGTTATTAGCGGGGTGACAAATCAATGGAACCGCTTCATCGCCCAGTTGGGTTCTCTTTCTTTTACACAAACCCTTCATGGGCATCATCAAATTGATCGATGGGCATCGATCAAACAGCCGAGATTTAGTCATCGGCTGTTCTCTTCTTGCTGAACTCCAGCATCCGTGACCGCTCTTTCGCCCATTCACATGTCGAGCGTCCACCATGGATCCCCATCCCATACCCTCCTCGTTTTCCACGCTTCGCCTCCAAAGAGAAGCGAGGATTTGAACAAGCCAGTCACCCAGTCGGAGCGACCAAACTAAGAACGAAGAGAGAGCTCCTCTCATTCCGTCCTACTTCACTTCCTACCAGAATCCTTTCTCTATGAAACAAAGTTGATAAAAATACGGCTTACTTTCATACAGTTATAACTTATAATGGTGAAACTGATTCTTTCAATTTCAGATATTTTTGCTACTAGGGGTATTAGATGTTTCTGGCTAAACAAAAATAAAAATAAAATATGAGTGGAACGAACTAATGGGAAAAGAAACTAGATGGGAAAGAAGCAGAAGACGGAAAGATTTTCGTCTGTTTGGCAGTAACGGTTAGGGCAAACTCTAATTGGTCATCCTCGAATTCATTTAAGTCAACCCATGCCACATAATTGCATATGTGGACCAATCAGAAAGTGAGTCACCGGTGCCGCAGTTTTTATAGCGGCACCGAAGCATTGGCCCAGAAGAAAAGGCCTGCTACTGTTGCTTTTCCTTAATTCGATTGAGCAATAAAGTTCAGGCCCATGATAGCAATGAAATGGGCTTAGTCGGATATGCTCATTATATGAGCTTGGATTGATGTACAAATCTACAAAAGATATAAAGGAGATTCATGAGTTTGGATTACAGTATTTTGAATTTCCAGCACTCAGAGTATTTCACGGAAGGGCGTTTTGGTCATTCAATTTTAATAAATTGAAACTGTGCGTTTTGATTGACTTCTCCAATTCTCCGCCCAACTTCTGCATAAGGCCAACTGAACCTTAGGATGAGGGTTGCCTGTAGGGCCTAATTGCATAAATGAGGCCCAAAGATTATTCGAGCCCAGCGCCCTGTGCTCCGCGGGTGTATTGCTGTCATGCATCACCGAGACTGATTGGGAATTTGCGCCCATGCCCGATGACTCCGTCTCGGTCTCCGTTCTTCATCCAATCTGTCGGCGAGTACTATGAAAGAGGAATTACCACCAAGCTCCAGCTACATTCAGGTACAGGGGAATCTTCATATTCAGGTATTGGGACAAACCCATTTAATTAAGCGTACATGATTGCATTCTTCATCATCGCGGTATAGACTCCAGCAATTAGCGGCTTCCGCCTGTGGTCTTCGATTTATGAGTCCATGCTTAATCGTGTATGTAGCTGCTTTTCCAATTTGCTCCTCTGATTTCAACTCCTTTCACTTTTGCTACGAATAATCATGTGTTGAAGATGGTGGTTTTTTGGATTAGTCCAAGATAGATAGAAAGAGAAGCTGATGGCTATAGAAAGATTAGAGTGTCCGTCAACCAAAGTTGTTGCTCCTCTTAGTTATTTAATTTGGTTGATTCTAACCAAAGTTGTGCATGAATTACACGTTTCAGGTTTCCCCCTTTTGTCGGATTGTCGAGGGAGACGAAGAGCGAAGAGGAGAGAGTACTAGGGCCACGGCCAGCCCGTTCCCTGCGAATCCACCACCACCGCCGGGCTTTTGACAGAACACTTCCTTGTAAATAGAGGCGGCGTCCCTCGGCTTAAACTTGAAAACATGATTGAAGAAGGGGGTGCGGAGTCAGCGGAAATCACCACCGTCGTGGTTCCCTTCTCTCTCTAAACCGTTAGCGATTTCTGCTCACCGGTGAGCCTCCTGTCGCCGCGCGATTTCTGATCGATGGTGGTCCTCCATTACTGATCTTATTTCTCTTCGTCTGATCTTCTCTTCCCTTCTGAGACCCCCTTTCGATGACTTCCATTGGCCAATCTTGGGCGGATTTGTTAGACATCACCGAAGCAAATCGAGTAGTTTATATCGAGCCAGAGCTTGTTGATGGCGGTTTGAGGATCCCAGAGGAGCTTGTTCAGGAAGGTGAAGCCAAATGGAAGCACAGTCTTGTTGGTCAATTTCTACATTCAACCCCTTCCATGAAGCAGATTCAGAGTTGGGCGAATCGCCTTTAGGGAAAATCTGGTCTGATTAGGGTTTCGCGGTTCAGTGAGCAACTATTTCTCTTCCAATTCCCCAATGCGGAAGCAGCTGATTGGGTCTTTACTAGCAGGCCGTGGTACTTCAACAACGGCATGTGCTTCCTTCGACAATGGTTAGCGGAAATTCGAGTGGTAAACTGTGATTCCACCATTCCTATCTGGATTTGTTTTCAAGATCTCCCTGTTGAGTTTGCCACTGGTAGAATCTTGACTCGTATGGCTAGTATGTTGGGTCGTCCACTATGGTTTGACCAATCCACTAGATTGGGTAGGAGAATGAGGTTTTCCAAGGTCTGTGTCGAGATGTCCATTGATTCTTCTTTTCCAGAGACTCTAAAGCTGGTTCCAGATTGGAAACATGCATTCTTGGTAAACTTGGAATATTGTAAGTTGTAACAGGCCGGTGGGATGTCAGAAGTGCAAGGTATTTGGTCATCAGTGTGAAGTTTCAGAGGGGGAGGATAATATGGAGTCAGGGGTGAATCAAGAAGGTTAGGAGGTTGTAGAGACGGTGGGTATTGAAGAAGTGGGAGTTGAGGTTGGAACTGGTAGTAGTGCTGGGCAGTTGATATTGGAAACTATTCTTGCTTCGAAAGGAAAGGCTTAGGAGTCTGCTGAGTTAGCCTGTAGAAACTTGAATTTCACAGTTGCGAATCTGGTTAAATCCATAGAGCAAGTTGTGATTGCTGAATGGAAGAAGTCAAATGTTGTTGTTGAACTGCCAACGGACAGTGAGTTTCAGACAACTCTGGTGGGGCAGCCTGCTGTTCCTACTGCTCTGAATGCTGTAGGGGGTCCTATTACTCCAATCTCAAATCGATTTCAAAGTTTAGCTGTGGAAAGTTTTGCAGTAGGGGATATTGTAGTTGGTAGTCCTACTATGAGTAACCTTGAAGAGTTCCCTGTGCTGGAGGTGGGAGGTAAGGGTAAGGGCAAGCAAGGTAAGAAGGGGCTAGGTAGGCTTGCAAAACCTAAAACTAAGAAATGAAGGTGCTCGCTTGGAATATGAGGGGATTTAATCACCCCGACAAGCAACAACAGATATTAGAAGTAGTGGCTAGAGAAAATGTGGATGTGTTTGGAGTCATTGAAACAAGGGTGAAGGAAGAAAAATAAAAAACAATAGTAGCTTTAAAGTTTGATAGATGGGAGTTTGCTCATAACTATGAGCATTCACCTTTGGGTCGGTTGTGGGTATTTTGAAAGAAAGGTATGGATTTTACTATGTTAGAAACGTCATATCAGTTTGTACATGGAGTAGGTAGGGGTGAAGACTGCAAATATTACTTTTGTCTATGGATCCCATGATGAGGGTGCAAGAAGAAGAATGTATCACCACACTGCACTTAAGCTAGATCCTCTACCATGGCTAGTGTTAGGTGATTTTAATATTGTGCGTTGTGTTCCTGAAGCTTCAAATAGTCTAGTTAGAACTAAGAGTATGGTTGATTTTGATAATTGGATTGTCAATATGGAATTGGAGGATAGTAGCTTTGAAGGTCCATGGTTTTCTTGGACAAATCGACAAGAAAGAAACCCCATATCAAGAAGAATAGATAGGGTTCTGGTAAATGCTAGCTGGTTGGCTGAGTTTCCTAACTATGCGGTTAATCTTCTCCTCCCACGACTCTCTGATCACTGTGGGATGCTCATGAATTCAGATACACATATTACCTCCCTGCCTAAACCATTCAAGTATTTCAATAGATGGGAATCTCACCCTCAATACAAACAGATCATCAAGGATGCTTGGAGCAAAATATTCAGTGGTACTCCTATGTTTATAGTGTACTAGAAACTGAGGGGGGTAAAAAGGTAGTTGAGGAAGTTGAATAGGTCCTCCTACTAAGAGATTTAGGACAGAGTGAGGCTTGCAAAGAAAGAAATTGAAGTGTTAGCGTCTGGAAGCTCTCTTGCATCCTTCCCTTGAGTCTTTTTAGAAAGTGAATTCTTATCAGATTTTGCTCTCTGCTCTTCTTAAGGAAGAGGAGGCTATTTACAGGCAAAATTCTAGGATCCTTTGGGTTAAGACTGGAGACCTAAATACTTCTTTCTTCCACAACTCTGTGAAAGCTCGGCAGACTCGTTCAACTATTAAGAAGGTGGTCTCAAAAGAGGGTGCAGTTCTGACTGAAGTGAAAGATATGAGTGAGGAGGCAGTAAGGTTCTACCAAAATTTGTTAGGAACAAAAAATTATGATGTTCAAAGGGTGGGTAGTGGTATGATTTCACAGCTGTTAGTTCATACACTCACCTCTGAGCAAGCTGAGCCTCTCTGTAGCCTAGTTACTAGAGAAGAAGTCAAGATAGCAATATTATCCATGAATGGTGAGACATTATCAAATTCTTCTTCTTTATGGGCAAACTGGGTAAGACGTTATCAGCTTAGCTATACTTCGATTTGGGATATTCCTAATCCTACTAAAATTCCTTGTTCCTGGGCTTGGAGGAAGGTGCTGAAAACTAGAACTTTTGTAGAACAACATCTCAGTGTCAGGCCAGCATGAGTGTATTGGGATGACAACATTATGACTAGGTTCTCTGTCAAGAGAGCCTGGGAATCTCTTCGAGCTAGACACGAGAAGGTTCTGTGGTATTCTCTGGTATGGAAATCTTATGGGACGTGACAGACCCCTAGGGACAAACTGATTGTCTGGCTAGTTATTCTGAACAGAATTGCCACCCTAGATAAAGTGCAGAAGTGGAATCCTTCAGTAGTAAATATATGTTCTCTATGCTCCTCTACTACAGAGTCTAGAGGCCATCTTTTCTTTGAGTGTTCTCCAAGTTGTGTTCCAAAGGAAAAATCTAGTAGGGGCTAGCTGGGAGGAGTCACTGGAGATTGTTGTCTCCCTCTTCAAGGTCAATAGTATTGCTGCTGATCGAGGTAGACTTCTTTGGATTATGGTTGTGTCTGAACTCTAGAGGGCGAGATGCAAGCGAGTTATGGCAGGGGAATTGATGTATGAAGGTCAACTCCTTAGGAAAATGCAGGGTATGCTGATTTTGTTAAGAAGTGGTTTTCCCCAAGTTGCTCTAGCTATATCTGAAGAGGATGTTAGTAGTATAGTGTAATTGGGGTAGTGGTAGTCGTTGTTGGTTTGTTTTCATTTGTCCCTGGTTTGTATTGTCACTGATGTAATAGAAGTTAACTGCTTGTAATTCTCTCTAGTTGATAGGTTTCCAGTTAGGGGGGTTACCCAAACTCCCTTTCTTGATGAATAAAACAAAGCTTATTCATAAATAAATAAAAAAGAATTACACGTTGCACCCAAAAATTGACACTTGGCCACTAACCATCATGAAAACATTTCCTTATGATACAATTGTAGTGGATTGATTAAAAATATAATGAATCATTCTTCTATTTTAGTTCTTTTCTTCCGTATAACTACAATATATACTAATTTCATGTTTTTATCTAATAAATGATGGACCAACAAAGAGCATGGATTAAAAAAAATCAAGAGCATGGATTACTATTTCCCTCTTTTTTATTTAGGTTTGTCATTATATTCTTTGTAGTCCTTTGTAATTAAGGATAAAATGATGAGCAGGATGGACCCAATTTATTTTATTTTTTATTTTAGTTAAATGATTTATTATTTCTAGCATTAAGATGAGGATTTCTCTGTGTGAAATCTATAGAGTTTATATGTTTAGATTATTATTTAGTTTTATGCTGAGAACCATAAACCTATAGAGTTGCTATGTTTAGATTATTATTTCTAGCATTATTTAGTTCTTATCTACATTATCTACATTTAAGTTGTATGCTGAGAACCATAAATCAAAGATTGTCTGTATTTTAGAACCTAGAATTAGTGGGGTGGATGTCATCTCTGACTCTATGTCATTAAGCAAATGGAGTTTGATACCTGTGAAGTTTCGGATGCCTCTGGCTTCAGTGGAGGAATTTTGGTCCTCTGGAATGGTAGCTTGATGAAGATGGAGGATGTGGATAGACATAGGCAGTTCCTTAATCTCAAGTTCCTCCTAGCTAACAATGACAGATTTCAACTGACGGCGGTGTATGCTAGCCCTAACGAGCATTAGTGGGGGGAATTATGGAATGCAATGAGAAGAATGGAGAGAAGTACCCAACTGCCTTGGCTAATCACAGGGGACTTACTCCATTTCCATATCGTGGGAAAAGCAAGGAGGAGTTGGGTTTAACTTTGCTAGAGCTTTCAACAGTTATATTAAAGACTATGGGCTGAAGTTCACATGGTTCACTAAAGGTTCAAGGAGAAAAAGGAGGTTGGATCGAAGTCTCTGTAACTTGGAAAGGCAGCAGCAGTTCCCTCTGTCACTGTATTATGAATGAGGTGTATCTAGGAAACTAGAAACCTGTTTCCCGCTACCTAGGAGGGCCTGCCCTCACCCATCTCTTTTTCGTAGACGATCTTGTTTTGTTTGCTGAAGCCACTCCGCAACAGGCAGACGTTGTGCTTAATTGTCTTGAGTCCTTCTTTTTGGCCTCTGGAGAAGTTGTGAGCAAATAAAATCTAGAGTTTTCTTCTCCAAAAACATTAAGAATCAAACCAGAGGTGATGTGTGTAGTAAGCTAGACATCCAAGCAACTTGCGACCTGGGTAGATACTTAGGAGTACCTGTTTTGCATGGGAGAATGACTAAACTTACTTACAAATATGTGATTGATATAATGGATCAGAAGTTATCTAGTTGGAAAGCCAAAAATCTCTCATTGGCTGGGTGAGTGACTCTAGCCCTCTCGGTTCTGAATGTTTTGCCAAATTATGTCATGCAAACAACCCTCTTACCTATGTCTATCTGTGATACCATAGACATAGAGGTGAGGAGTTTTGTCTGGGGTGCAGGGGATGGGAAACAAAAGCCCCACTTTGTCTCTTGGGAGAAAATTTGTAAACCAAAGGAACATGGGGGTCTTGGGCTAAAATCTACTCATTGTATGAGGCTTACATGGTTAAGCTAGGTTAGCATATGCTTAAAAATGAATCTGATATGTGCGTTCAGGTACTCTAAAGCAAGTACTTCAAGCATAAAGATGGCAAAATCACAACCATGAAGAAGAGCAACCACTCCAGCTTGTGGCGTGCCATTGTGAAGGGGATGAACAAAATGAAAGAGGCCACATGCTGGAGCGTTAGAGATGGGAGAACAACCATGTTCTGGTCACAACCTTGGATCGAGTGTGACCTCAGATTGGAGGAGTTTGCACTTGTGGACACATCCAATTATGAGAGGGACTCAATGGTTGCGGAATGGACCACAAAGGATGACCAGTGGGACTGGAAAAAGCTGGAGGAAGTCCTCCCGACTGATATTTTGTCTGTGATTGCAGGGATGGAAGCACCCAAACCTGATCTGGGTGAAGACATTACCATCTGGGGGCTGGAAAGGGACATGAAGTTTAGGCTGAAATCAGCTTACAAACTTGTGACTAAGGATGATGAGCTCTCCCATAACCATCCCTAGAAAGAACTCTGGAAATGAAAAGGTCCAAGTAGAATCAAACATTTCTTGTGGTTGGTGCTTCATGATCGCCTGTTCACCAACAAGGAACGATCTAGAGGAGGAACGACAAATGATATGTCTTGCAATCATTGTAAAACGACAGAAGAGTCCATTGACCACATCCTGAGAAGCTGCCAGAAAGCGAGGACTGTTTGGGGACTCATGCAAAGCAAGCTTGCTGAGAAAAACTTCACCCCTACCATTTGAAGAATGGCTGATGGCTAATCTAAAGAATGAAGGGACAAGAGTGGAGTTTGTCATTGTCTGTTGGCACCTGCGAAAACAGAGAAATGAGGAGGTGCTGGATGGACGATCTTTCTTGAAGGATGGAATGATTGCCAGAATTAATGCTTGGTTCAGCATCATCTAGCAATCTCACTGCAATACTAAGAAGATTGCCAACCAGAACCAGGGTGAATGTACCACCACGCAGGTGGGGTGGAAGCCGCCAAAAGAGGGCTGGGTGCAAGTTCAGACAGATGGCTTTGTTAGAACGTCAACTGGGAAAGCTGCTGCGGGTGGATTGATTTGGGACCATCTTGGCAGTTGCAAAGAAGTGTTCACCTGCAACCTGGGATTTTGCTCCATCACGGCTGCATAGCTAAAGGGTGCTGCAGAAGGGCTGAAGATTGCCCGGGGAAAATAAGGTGAATATGTTGCTGGACTCAACTACGGTGATAGCATCATCAAAGGAGATTCAAACGACAACCATCACCATGGAAACATCACAAAGCAACTGAAGAGTCTGCTGAACCTTGAATGGGAAGTTACCGTTTCCCATGTGCTTAGAGAAGCAAATTGTGCAGCTGATTTTCTTGCAAGTAAAGGTCATGACTGTAATTTTGGAACACATCTCTTCGATGTATGCGACATTGGCCTTGGCCAATGGTTTCGCTATGATGTAATGGGTGTATCCCAAGAACGTTCTATTATTAATACGAGTTAGACGTTAATACGCCAATCTTTCTACAAAAAAAAGATAAGGTTCGATTTAATTCAATTTGGTGTAGCTCATTATTAGTTATCTACTGTTATCCGTCGCAAAATGTGAGCCAATTACCTATGATTTGTGCTTTACTTGATAAACAAGTATGGAATCTAATGTAAAACACATACACTTTAGCGATACCCTTACTCAAGGCAAAGTATCATCCAAATTATCATATCCTAACAACATAAGAGGGGAATGATACAAGATACCTATGATAGATAACTAAGAATGTGGTTAAGTCTAGCCTCTGATGCTAAATTGGAGATGGCGAGCAGGCAACAATATGGTGGGACAAATGGAGATTAGACTCACCAACTTTCCAAGTAGAATCTGTAGTAACAGCTCTCAGGGATGCAAGCAAAAGGTATCTCGCGTAATTGAAACATGAATGAGAACATGGCTAAAGGAACCCATACAAAATAACTTCGACCCAGTGATGTGAAGGATGAGAATACTAAGGACCCCACTCCCAAAAATATCAACCATTATAAGTAGGTTAAGGTCTGGAAAATATAGTGTCAAATACGGGTAGAGGTTGCAAGTAGGATCCAAATTCATGAATCCAATCAAATTCATCCACCAAATTATCCACCTAATCCAATCCATTTGATTCAAATCCAATTGGATTGGTGGATTCATGGATCAATCCATGGATCCAAATGGCAAATTACAATTTGGTACCTATATTTTTTTATATTTTCATTTTGGTACCTAAAAATTATATTTTTATACGCAAAATATCATTGGAAAATTACATTTTGGTACCTAAAATTTTTCATTATGACATTTTAGTACCAAAACTTTTCAAATTTTACATTTTGGTCCAAGCCTTGGTTGCCATTTGGATTCATGGATCAATCCACCAATCCATTTGATCCAATCCATGAATCCACAAATCCATTGGATCCAATCCATTTGATTCATGAATCCACCAATCCAATCCACGAATCTGATCCAATTGCCACCTCTAAATACGAGTATGGGAATTGAAAAAAGTTGCAAAGATGGCGGAAGGGGATCTATACATCCCAACTAGTTTTTTACCCGCCCGTTGGGCGGTGTATTTTGTTTGGTTATTTTATAATTCGTTATAGTATTCTAATTATTATTATTATTTATGTTTGTTAAGGTAATATATGTGGAATTGTAAATCCCACTTACCTTATTTCAGGTGTACTTTTATACCTTTTGTTTATTTATGGACATTTTAATTTTATTAACTGAGCTCTTTGTAGATTGTTCTTTATTGATTTAGAATTTTTTTATAGAACTCGCCCTTTAAGATTATAAACATAAGAGTTATTCATTCTTTAGCACACAATTGTGATAAAGAAGTTAAAAAATTTACAACCACAAAAGGAGAAGTTAGAATAAGAAAATATGCTTCAATTAATAAAATAAAAATAAGTGAAGAGCTTTTTATTTTCTCTCCCATCTCATATGTCGGTATACGATAATAGAGAATATACCGATCTAAATCCCATGAATATCGTGTATTATCACTTACACATACAACTTTGGAATAATGAGGAAACTCATTAGCATCCACGTCCATCAATCTTCCACGTACTCGTTTAATTACCTTGAAATGTTCTAGAAAACCAACCACAAACAAAACTATCAACTATCACAAACTTATTAAAGCAATATTTTTGGCAAATTAAAATGCATATACTTAAATACAACTTATATTTTGTAGAGAGCTACATATCTCATGTAGAAAAGAATTGTGATTTTTACCTAATAACAACATAGAAAATTAATCAAAGGAGCAGTCTTCAATACAACTCAACTCATTTTATCATGCAGATTCCTCATTTGTGAACTGAATATATGCATCAATCCAAATAGTAGTTTGTAAGAAAACAATCATGTCAAAATCAAGCTTTAGTTAGGGATTCAATACGGAAAAATTCACCTTAATGAAACAAACAAATGTCACAGCAAACATGTAGAAATTCAATAAACATCGAAAGAGACAACCGAGAAACCACCATTATCATTTTCTTTATTCTTCGCGACCTTTATAAAACCCCAATTATGTTCCCTTCTACTTATAACCTCTTTGCTACCTACTAATTACTAAACAGATCATCATTGTATTGCTAGCTAGTAGCATGTCAATCATGAACATAAAATATAATAAACAACCATCACAACTCTTCTTTCTATTTCAACATTCAAGAAATCGGGTTGCAATAGGCATTCAAGAAAAATGATCAATTATTCAATCAAATGAGGTATGTCCTAAGTCCAACCAATGAACCCTTATAATTATATTTTATATATTTAAATAAAAGTATATGACGACCCTTCTCCTTGAAAAACAAAGAAAAAATACATTCACTCATCGAGAGTGGGAAAATTTACCATCCAGTAGTTATAATTTGGAAAAAATTAAGAAAAGAACGGGAATAAGAGTATAACTCGGCCAGTCAACCGCAAACAATAACGTATCACTGAGAAAGTGAGACCAATTGCCAGCTTCAGATCAAGGAGGAAGAGGGAGCAGTCGACAACCCTCGGCTTGGTTCACCTCATCTTCACAATGATCAGATGAAATTTTTTCGTTAACAGGCAAAAATATGTTACAACTGTTCAAAATTTTGTCATCTAATCGTTGCCTCGTGAAACTCCTGCCTCCTATTCTCATACAAAGAAAAAAAATCATATGCATTACCATTTCCTTCTCTATAAATTATGAGAATACAAATATTAGAAATCTCAAAAAAAAAATAACAACTAATAAAAGGGTTTTGTTTATTTTTATGGTGGTTGACATACTTTCTTGATTTCTTATTTTCAAAGTTGGATTTTATTTCTAGTGAGACAATCAAAATGGGAAAAGGGACAGAAACAAATTAAAAGTTTGCATTAATAATTAATATTTTATTTAATCGGAATAAATAAGAAGTTATTTAAAAAATAAAAATTATTGCTCTGTCAAGTTTTTATTCAAACATTTTGCTATAAAATTTATACTTGTTTTATTTGATAGGTATATACATTAGAAAGAAGTGAGTATTTGATAGCAAAAAAACATATAGTTATATCGATCATTTCTCAAAGTCGATTGATTATCAAACACTTGTTTTCTCTTAGACCATCGTTTATATTTTGTTTAATTGAAAATATTATTATTTATGCGTGTGTGTTTTTTTTTTCTTCATCAAAATGTTTGGTATTATTAAATTTTATTAAAAATGAGTAGAAAATTTACTTAATCAGATTTAATTAGCTTGGATTAAACAATTACGATATATCACTCTCTGTTTCCATCTTTATAGTTTGTTTAATTAAAAAAAAGATGATTACTTATGTATGTATTTGTTTGTTTAAATGTTTCCTAAAAAATTAACTTATTTTAATTTTAGTAAAAATGAGTATAATTATTAAAAGAAGAGAGAGATAGCTTCATAAATAGGTCAATAAATAGTATTTTGTTTGTAAAAAAAATTGTCCACCTTGCCAACTTGTGCATTCACCAAGTGCTTATGTGACAAGAACTTATTTTTGAATAGCCATAATATTTAGTATAGATATAGATAGATAGATAGATAGATAGATAGATAGATAGAGAGATAGATATAGATAGATAGATAGATGATTGACAATTAATATACATAAAGTTAAATACCGGTTATTGTTGCCTAATCTTAATATGATTGGTTGGGCCTGTTTTATTGGGCTTATAATTTATCTTCGTTGGGCTTGATTTGATGGACTCAGGGAACGCTATTGGGATTTATTGTCGTCAGCGCTCTCCCTATGCCCCTCCTGCCTGCCTCCTCAATCCTCATAGCCTTTAGCGCCTCTGCCATGACTTTTAATTTATTTTCTTTCTTTGTTATTCACTTATTCTCATTTTTCTTCTTCTTCTTCTTCCTTTGGGGTACGATTGGTGGTCTCACACGGAGACAATGAGATTATTCCAATTTCACTACAAATTTGATATTACAGAGCTTTGATTAATTAAGATATTTCTAAAGCAGTAAGATATTTGAATATAGCTCTAATCAAACACGGGTTGGATGGTATAAACTACAACTTCTTCTCATATATAATTGTTCGAGGACTGTTAGTTTCTATGGTTGCGGCTGATGTTCGTTTAGCTATAAGTAGCTAAATTAATGTTTCCATGGAGAGAGTTGCCACTTGGATATAATTGTCTTCCCATCCAGCATACATTCTTAAAGCACATAGACTTATAATTATTTGATTAGATGGATTCGAGGAAGGAAGATGTGATTATAAGCAACTTGACATACAATGCATTTGTCATGTTTTATGAATCATGATCGTCGACATATCACTTTAATAAATATTAAAGAATTTTGTTTGAGTTCAATCCAACCAATTTAAGCTATTTTGGGATTCCTAACCATGACCATAAATCATGTAGCATCATGTTAATTATATGTTTTATAAGTATTACAATCATAGTTGTAGTAATTATTTTTGTTCGTGTAGCACTATTATTTCGACGCATTTATCGTGGTAGTTATTATTTTTGCAATTGTAATCGTTGTGTTTTTCAGTTGTAGGATTACAATTCCAATACAAATTATTACTATTCATATTGGTATAGTGTTAACCTACTATAGGATTAGCATAATATCCAGCTATTTTGTTATTTATGTCAAGGTCCATCAATCAAAACGCGGGCAAACAAACATACTGATTTACGCACTCCATTGCCGCTGCAAAATGGTTTTGCAGCATGCCCGTCCTAGTAATATATGTATACATAAATGCAATAGATTGGAATTGTTTGATAATTGCTTGAAATTGGTTTCGTTTTGTTGTTGAACACCTCGAATTGGAATATGCAGATTTTGGGTTAATTGCTCGGGTTAATAATGAGCTTAGAGGTCTTTATAACTCCACTATATGTGGTAACGAAATACGTGAAATAGTATAACAGAAAGATTCTGGTGGTGATTATATTAATCAAAATTTTATTAGGTGTTAACATCTCTCTTGCTAAATTGGATGTTTATGTAGTCTTTTGTCTTTTCATTTACCTTCTTCCTTTAGATTTCTCCAAGAGGTCATGTGATTATTATTATTTTCTTAAGTTCACTATTTTCCATCAGTTTGGTTTGCTAATGAAGCATTTCGTCTTTTTCTTTTAGTTCTCAATTGAGAGAGATAGATAATTTGTTTGGTGATATCATTAGATATTGATGTATGATGGAATTGAAATGAGTTTTAGGTATTGTTTTTAATTCGTTCACTTTTGTTTGGGATTCATTGTCTCATTGATCATGCATTGTCCTTTCTGTTTTAGTGTTGCTTCTAATTATAGTTGTTCTAACATATAACTCAAAAAACAGTTGATTATTTGATTTTTAAAGAATTTTTTGGGATAACATTTCTTAAGCAATTTTAAATAATAGATCTCTAATTGTGCACCAAATTTGAACTTCACAATTAGAATTGGGAAGACACAACACATGTATAACTAAGTTAAAAAAAACATATACTACATTCAGTTATAATCATCTATTGTATCCATATTCATTTTTTACTACTTTCCCGGCCAACACTAGCTAATATAAGCCAATGACAAGATATAGCTTTTGCCACATCAGCCCGCTGCTGTAACCGCCGCACAATTCAGAGAGTTTTTCTCGTAATTTGCCCAATCCTTTTATTTCACACATTTTTCTTCCAATTTCTCACCGAAAGTCGACCTCTCTTTCTCGCTTGCCGTCTCAACCCCTTATGTATTCGAAGCCCCACCACAAAATCGAAGTCCTCACTCGCTGTCCAACATAAAATTGAAGACCTCTCACTTAATCGAATTCTGATCATTCTCCTAGTTGCCGCCTTCTCAGTATTCCCTATTTTGGGTTGTCGGTGTTTTGTTGTCGATCTGTTTTGTTGTCGTTTGTGTGTCTCCGACCTGTTGCCAATTTGTCATTCTCGTCGTCCGTCCCGCTTTGTACTCTCTCTAGCAGCGAAGTATTCCCAAGTCATCATGGGCAACCCGCCTCTCTAGCTCTTGATGTTTGTCTCACCAGAAATTGAAATTTCATCCTTCCCACTCTCTTTTCAGGGACAAAGTATTCCCAAGCCATCTTGGGTAACCCGCCTATCTCGCTGCTAAGAGTAGAGAAACCTCGCATAGCACCTATTCAGAGCTATATTAGATGTTGGTGGTTCTAGTTTTTCTTTGTTTTTTTATGGGCCTTTAACCCTGAGGTATGCTCTTGCTCTATTTTGTTAAGGTTTTTTCCGCCTCTTGTTTCCTTGGATTTTTTCCAACTCTAGGCAGTTCGCTACAATCTTGTCCATCGCCTCGTAATACCGCGTTGAGATTCACTATAATGGGTTGTCTTCGAACAACTCGCAGGAGGAGACAATGTGGTATTGCTTTGTTCAATTGCCATGATCAAGTATGTATTGGACAAGTCAGAGCTTGTTTTGTGTTATTCTAATGAATGAGGTTGCAAAGGGTGTTCCGGATGCTCCATGTTTTGGCTCAGAAAGAATATCCCCTTGTTTGGTTTGATCATACTTTGCTTTCTTTAGTCCTTAGCTTTTCCTTGTTGTCTTGGTTTGCCCTTCTTGACATTGAAGCTATCTCTCTTGTATCCACGTTTCATGTTGTTATCCCTACTTTCTAACTTGATTTATCTTATGGACAATATGGCTCATTTGCTTCGTGGATAATAACGAATATTAAATGCAAACTTAATATGCACTACAAGTTGGTCATTAGTAAATGAAAGAGGATAAGTTGGTGATTAGTTTAATAAGTAGGGTTAAAATTGTACAAAGTCATCATGGACTTTGTACCCCAACACAAATCCCACCTCTTGGGGTGGAATTCTCAAGTCTGTGGGGTCCACGGATTTGGACCATAAACGTATGTGGGCCCCACGGATTTATTCATGCTAAATCAATCATGCAAACGACAGATTGTGTACAATGTCCATGATGCTTGATTTTTACGTACAAAATTCATGATGAATTTCATGAAACAAACAAGGCCTAAGTGATTCCTTTGTAAGATAACCTACTATAATTGATTTGATGACTTGGATAAGGGGTAGGAATGGCGATTTGAACCCACCTTGCTGGGTATTACCCTGCCTGACTTGCGATGAGGCGGGTATTATTCGATACGGAGTACTGTGGAGGAACATGGGTATCTACTTCCGACTAGGCTTGCCCCGTTATTAGCTCATTCTATCTTAATTCTTAATATCTATTCACATTTCTTACTTTGATTTTTTTCAACTGGTTAAACTTGATTTGTCAACTTGTTACACTCAAATACCCATTATATTATCTCTATTTTCATTCATAGAGTGTTTTTCCTTCGTTTTATCGTAAACAATAACATTTTGCTTAGGGCTGGCCATTCGGTTATCGGTTGCCGGTTAACCGGCCGGTTAAACCGATAACCGGAAGTTACCGGTTAACCGACTAACCGAAAAAAGAGGCTTCGGGCGGTTGGCGGTAGCGAGCATGGTCGTGCCGGTTAACCGGCTAACCGACACAACTAGCCGGCCACAAGCAAAATGACGCCGCCGACTGTTTCTCTCCCTGCCTCTACCCTAAATCCTAATTCGAGCAGCAGACCCTCGCCTCAAATCCCTAATCGAAGAGACGAAGACCCACACCTTCCGCTCCCACCTTCCTCCTCCCACCACCAACCTATTCTGGCACCGGCATCCCCACCCCAGCCGGCAGCCGCGACCAGCCTCCTCTGCTCTGCCGCCCCATTCTCCCTTCTCCCTCCCCGACTATTAAAAGTCGGCGGCTACAGTGCTGTGACTCAATTGTCAATTATCACCTACCGCCCCCTGCCCTACCCTTCCCTCTTCCTCCCGTCCATATTTATTCACCCACAAATCCTCCCAATTCCCAGATTGCAGAGTTCCCTTGTTTCCCACTAGAACCCAGAAAGCAAGAAACATAATTTCAAAATGGCAGCGGGTAATCATACCTTCATCACCAGGCAGAGGGATGGCAGGATTCGACTTCAACGACGCCAGGCCGCTGCCTTTCCTGAGCGCGCCGGCTTCCCCGCGGCGGTTCGGCGACCTCACCCTCAGCGCCCCGACGAGCCCGGGCCGGGTGGCAGATTTCTACCGGAGCTTCGAGAACTTCTCCGAGTATGACGGCGGCGGCGTCCCTTTCCACTGGGAAGAGATACCAGGGACGCTGAAATCGCCCAAGAAGCTGCCTTCCTCAAAATCATCGCCCAAAGCCCCAAATGAAAGTTTTAGTTTTTCTGGTCGGTTGCTTCGGTTAACCGAGCAACTAACCGGTAACCGACCGGTCGGTTGCCGGCTAACCGAAGCTTCCCTTCGGTCGGTTGGCGGTAAGCATATCGTATACCTCGGTTAACCGGTAACCGACTTTTCGGTTATCGGTTATAACCGAACTAACCGAAAATCCAGCCCTAATTTTGCTTATATTTTTTCAAATACATGTAAAAGTGCGCACTCTGACTCGCGCTTAGTACGCACCCCACTTCACCCGTTTTCCATCATTAATGAGGGGTTGATAGCGTAGTATCCTACCACTTTTCAATGTTTGATTAGTATACAATATGGATTTTATAACCTGAAAAGGGATGATGACTAGGGGTGAAATAGGGCCCAACCCAACCTTGCCTCGACCCTACAGGCTACAACTCCCCTAAAAACCCCGAGTGTATAGGTTAAGTATCCAACCTCGTTCGACCAAGCAAATTCTCCTTTGACCCTGTCAGGCCCGTATGGTAAGGCTGGGTCGGGTTGCACCATCAACCAAGTTTTTAAGTTTTAACCCATTCAACCCACTTGCTTTTGATAATTTCATCTCACTTTAATTTAATATGATACTAAATTCCAATAAATTTAAAACTATAAATTAGAATTAGATCTACATTTTTTTTAATCTAACGCATAAATTTTAGAATTAATTCAATAAAAATAAAGTTATAAAAATCCAAATGACCTTAGGAAAATCCTATTAAATAAAAAAATTCAAATTAATTAAAAAAATTCAAATTACATCTAAAACATGCAAATTATCTTACGAGAAATCCAAATCAAATAAATAAAATGTAATTAAATCTAAAAGTACACCATTTTAATATTCATCAACTACATATCTCTGAATCTCATTTTTCATATACATAACTTTTCAGTTATCATAAACCAAATCACACATGATAGTACTATCATTCAAGCAAAACTCCTTCAACTCTATAAAATTAACACCGCTAAATAAATTAACAAACGTATAAGCAAATGATAAAATGTCAATACCAGATTGTTGATCAAATTCATACCTTGCTCAAGTTCTTTGATTTCCTCAAATTTATCTTCCTTATCAATTGAAAGAGTACTTGATCGAGGAGGTGGAATCCTTGCCAGACGGCGGAGAGAAATCATCAGAGAGAAAAAGGGTTGTTGATTGTTTGGGTTTTTGTCGAGGAGGTGGAGAAATCGTCGACATCGATCGAGGGATTGGAAGACGCACATGCACGAGGAAAGAAGACATGAATAGTGTTTATGACTCAGTATTATTAAGACCGAGCCAGCGGATCAAGATAGGGTGCATAACCAAATATGGACCTTTCATTTAGAAAATCCAGATCTAAGGATGAAGAATTAAAGACCATTTTTATTTTTCCCAACTTTTTTAATTGGCTCATATCTTTTTAGTTTTAACTCGGATTTTAATTTTTTTTTGCACAGATGGAACGAGTTCATCTTGCTCTACAAAATGAGATCAATTTTCAATTTTTTTGAGAAAAAAAATTCTAGCCTCTCGGTACCAACTGCATACCATATGGTATTTTCTTCGTTTTAATTCGTTTTTTAAAAGTTTGCACAGAAGGGACGAGTTCATCATGATCTATTGGATCCACAAATTTCTGGGTGAACAAATTACATGACAAAAAAATACCACACAATACCATACAATACCATCCTGGTACGGGGTGGTATATTATGTACACAATGATAAAAGTCGTAAATGACAGTTAATATACTTCTACTATCATGTATTCAACCATCCTACAGTCTTGGTTTGTTCATGTCACCCTGGTACGCTTTTCAAACCACAGGTATGTTCTTATTTCAATACCAGTCAATACCATATGGTATAGACTGGTAAAAAATGACTCAATTTTTTTGTTCGAAAAATATATCAAAGTGGATATCATTTTGAAGAGCACAATTAATATGATCTAACTGTGCAAAAAAAATTAAATTTCAACTTAAAACGAGTGAGAAATCGTCTTAAAAACTTTCCAGGAGAGAGGGATGCAGATGTCATGCTGATGTGGGCTGGTTACTCATGGTTACTCACCATAAGGTTACTGACCTGGTTCGTTCCCGAGCCGAGTCAGTCGGACCACTAAAACTGTCACCAGGCCTCAAAACCAGCTCGACAAAACATTAAGCCGGAACGGCGTTTTGAAGCGGTCGATGAACGGTCGAGACGAAGCGATCACCTGGCTTTTTCATTCCGGCCGATGGGTTTAATTAAAAAAAATTGAATTCTGAAAGGGGAAAAAACATCGGTAAAGAAACCCTAACTCTAATTCTTATCTACTTCGTCTTCTTGCAAACTGAACAGAGAGAGGATTGCGCCGCTTGCCCTCTTCCCTCCGAGAGTCCCTGTCGCCATCACCACTCCCCATCCCCGCTTCCCGTCGCCATCGCCAGTCCCCATAGCCGCTCCCCGCTCGTCGATCTGGCTAGTTCGTCGTTGATTTGGCCAGCGAACCCCCGACGAACCCAGGTCAGCCTCTCTTCGGCAAGCAAACTCCCGGCGAACCCCGCTTCCCTGCTCCGACCGGCGTCCGTCCTCCCGGCGCCTGCTCCTGCTCCGGCTGGCGCCACCTCCTCCCACTGACCTGCTCGGCTACTCGACAAGTCCCATCTCCCATTCCCTGCTCGACGCAACATAGGTATATTTTGATTCTCGGTTGTTTGTTTCTTCTATTATTGAATGGCAAGATCCCTTCTAATTCAATATGAGATAGGTGATTTCAGGACTGATTGGCATGGAATCGTGATGTGTGTTTTTAATATCAAATGTTTCTTTTGATTTCAATGTTTGATTGGCATGGAATCGAGAATGGCAAATCTCACACAAAATCCCAACCATCCATCATTGATTTGAGTTCCTTCTTCGCTCGTTGCTTTTCCTGCAGCTAGCAACTAGTGGTGATGAAATTGGACGTGGAGGTTTTGAGATACCTCTCGAAGGATGATTTCAGAGTTCTTACTGCTGTAGAGATGGGCATGAGGAACGTATGTATTGTATCATCATCTTCTGGTTATCTGTTTAGTTTAGTTTAGTTCAGTTCATCGTGTAATTTGGTTGGTCTTAAGATTTCCCTCTGTATTTTATGTGACAGCATGAGATTGTCCCTGCAGAATTGATTTCTCGGATAGCTTCTCTTAAGTAAGTTTTCTTCATGGCCCTCTTGTTATCCGCCCTTTCAAATTTTGAATCTAATTTAATGGGCTGCATTCCTTTTTTGCTGAAAAATGATCATAATGCAGGCATGGTGGCACTTATAAAGTATTGAAGAACTTGCTCAAGCATAAATTAGTGCACCATGACTCCTCAAAATGTGAGTTTTAGTCCTTGTGGTTCTTTAGTGGATGTTTATCTGGGTTCAGAAATATACTTACTATGCTAATATGATTGTAGATGATGGGTTCCGGCTTACCTATCTTGGATATGATTTCCTTGCAATTAGAACTTTGGTCAATCGAGGAGTCATCACGTCTGTTGGCCGTCAAATTGGGGTTGGAAAAGAGTCTGGTAAGTTATGAAATGGTTTGTTTTCAGTGACTTTATGGTGGAAAGAATTGGTTTTTTTGTTCCATTTTAGCTTAATTTCAGTTGTACAATCAGGATATCTTGTTGAAATTTTTTATGAACTTCGCCTGGCACAGATATATTTGAAGTGGCTACAGAGGATGGTACAGTTTTGGCTATGAAGTTGCACAGGCTTGGTAGAACTTCTTTTAGGGCTGTGAAATCTAAACGTGATTATCTGAGACACAGAAATAGTTTTAGCTGGCTCTATTTGTCTCGACTCGCTGCACTCAAGGAGTTTGCTTTTATGAAGGTTGGGAGATGTCATGGTGCAGACTTCGGTTGTTCATTTATTATATTGCCTCTGACAAGTTTTTATTGTTGGAACAGGCTCTGGAAGATCATGGTTTTCCAGTTCCTAAAGCTGTGGATTGTAATAGACACTGTGTGATTATGTCCCTTGTTCAAGGCTATTCACTGTAAGTACTGCTGTTGTTTATGCATTATTTGCAGCTCTAGAATCAAGAATAGTGTTATATGCTTTTGGTTGTTTTCTTTGTTGCCAGTGTGCAAGTGAGGCAATTGCAAAATCCAGAAGTTGTCTTTGAAACAGTTCTTGGTCTTATCGTTCGTTTGGCAGAACACGGGCTCATTCATTGTGACTTCAATGAATTTAATATTATGGTATGTTGTATGGGTCTCAGGCATAAGTAAGCTTACATGTCTTACTTTTCAAATAGCTACCATTGAACCATCCTAATGTGTCATTTGTAGATTGATGACGATGAGAAGGTGACCATGATTGATTTTCCCCAGATGGTATCCGTGTCTCATCGGAACGCCCAAATGTAAGTTATTGCTTTCTTTCTCCTTGTTTGATGATGTTTTTTTTAGTTCTCTTCAGTGTCAAATATACTCCTTTCTTAAATGTTCTGCAGGTTCTTCGACCGTGATGTTGGATGCATCTATAAGTTCTTTGCTAAGAGGTCGGTCTAATTTTTTATTCAAGCATATTCAAAAGCCGACTGTCATTTCTTTAATATTTCAACATTGAAGGTTGGAAAGACCTTCATGTAGGATTGTGACTGTTTTGCTACATCCTCTCAGGAAGAACATTGATTCCTTTCCCCTTCTATCATTTGTTTAAAACTTGCCTCTCTATCTCTGGTGTTTTTTAATATTTGAGTCGGTTGAAGTATCATATATTCATTTGGGGTACTACTTGTGAACTTTTACCACGTTTGTCTGGTTAGTACCTAGATGTCGACTGACTTGAATCATATGTGCTTGCTATCTAGGGATCTTCTAACCAGCTTTTCCTTCTGTAGGTACAACCTCTCTTTTCAGGATGATGCAGATGATAACAATTATGCACAGGCAGAAACTGATGAAGCTGGCAGACCTTCGTTTTCCTCGATTTCTAAGTCTTCTGGTTTTCTCGATAAGGAACTTGCTGCTAGTGGATTCACACGGAAGGATCAAGATGATATGGAGAAGGTATGGGTAAGGTGTTTTTCAAAGTAAAAAAGTTACATTCTTGGTTCTTGATCGCCTATCCATGTCAATTGGTCTGTGGATTAACAAGTTAGTTTCTTTTGTATTTCAATGAAGTTGTGCTTGGAATCTTTTGTTCGTCATCTTGTTTGGTAGAGCTTTTGTCTTTCCACCTGTTGTTAGGTGTGTTTAAAATTTCCGCATGTGCTGAATTCAGAATGCTTTCGTTCGTAGGATAAGTGTTCGTTTTCAGTTTTTTTTTCTTCTTCACGCACTTGGATTATTTTTTAGTTCCTTTCCTCAATATGACGTCAAAATTTACTCACTTGGCTTTTGTTGTTAATATTGTGGTTTATGTATGTGGTGGAATTCATGTGCTTCACATGTAATCGTGCAGTTCATTGAAGGAGATGCTGACAGCGAGGAAGATGAGGGTGAAGAGCATGTTTCAGAGACGAATGAAACCAACATCACAAACTTAGATTCTTTGCAGATAGAAGATCAGGTTCCTTTCCCTCAATTATTAGATTGACTTTCTCTTTTTGTACAATAAAATATGATATGGCGCTTACCGGAAAATATACCATTCAGGAAGAGCAAATGAATGAAGAGGAGGAAAAAGTTGTTGCGAATCAATTGAGTGAAAAGGCACAAAGCGATGGCCTTGTAGCAAAAAATGATAATTATGAGGTATAAAATCATCTGGCCTGTAGTATCAAGTTTCTATAGTAGTGGTGAAAACACTTGACTGTATCTTACAGTTACATTGTCAATGTCTTACATGTATTTAGTTAGATCACAGTTGTCTGACCTTAAATTTTGCCTGAAACGATCATCTTCTTTTTTGGGGGGTTTGGGCCATTCCAGGAAGACGAAGACAACGAGAATGCAACAGAGAGTGATGCAGAGCTGACCAAGAGGCTGAACAAGCACAAGAAGCGAGCAATAGCAGCAGCCCGTGGAAGGCAAAGTCGAATCTCCTCCAGAAATTTATACAAAGACAAGGGCGGTAGATCCTCTCAGAGCTCCAAAGTTCAGAAGAACTTTGGTGGCTGGTAAAACCAAAGGCATAGAATCCATTTGGAGGGTTTTATATACGGTTGTGTGGTTGGTTCTTTAGCCGCCTTGTGTCTGAAAGTTTTGATATATAGGTGAGAGACCAAATTAGAAGAGAGCTTGTTATTACAATGAGTTGGTGCGGTTGTGCTTTTCATCGAGGTTTGTGAAATCTTTCCGGGCATCGAACTGATCAGGTTATTATCGAGATGTTCATGGTGTGATGCTCCTTGAACTGGAAATGAATTGAACTACCACGAGCTCCAATCTAATTTCCACCTACTCAACTCATGGCACAGTAATATATGAGCTTTCAATCATTTTAAATCTGGGCTCCAAATGTATTTTTTTCTTTCTGAGCTTCCAAGGTTCACAAAGTTGTTTATTTACTACGAGTAATCATTGGTACATAATACATATTGATACCCGTGAGCTTTTCCAGCAGTGAACCCCTCTTACTAAACTTCCTTTCACAAACAGAATTTAAAGTAGCCTAGCAACATCAACCGCACCACAACATAACATGCCACACATACACTTATGTAATGTGCTTCTTTCCCCCTCTTAAAGAAGTAGAAGGTGACTATGAAGAAGGATGACTACCCATGTTGTGATATCTTTTTGATACGAGCCAAACAGTTGTCTTTCGGTCGCGGGTGAGGCAAGTACTGTATTGGACACTCTGGATTCACAAGTTCCAACCTGCAACAATAATCTGAAAATCATTCAAATCTCTAAATCGCGAATCAGAACAGTTACTGTTGGGATCGAGTAAACACTTAGATGAGGGATATGTTGCAAGTTGCACTACTTACTCATAACCGACGAGGATATAGTGTAAAAAAGCAGCGATTTCGATCTTAGCAAAATCATTTCCAGGGCACATATGGCTTCCTGCTCCAAATGGTGGGAAAGTACCCGCCTTTGGCTTCAGATTCTACATTTGAGAAACTTCAATTAGTGTGAATACGTAATTCTATTCGCCCTGCACTACATCTCAGGTGTGACAAATGTGCTTTTCATCATGTTAATATGGGATTATGAACTTACATCCCATCTGGAAGGGTAAAATGCTCTTGGATTTGGGTATACCTCTGGGTCCAAACGCACACCCCAAAACCAAACTAGTGCCCTCCAACCCTTGGGAATCGTATAACCTGAGAGAGTACCAAAAAAAAAACGATTTACATTTTCTCAAGCACACAATGATTTGTTCAAATACGACGTTCTGGAGATTGATCAAAGATTAATCCGACCCATCAATAGACTCACCGCACGTATCTACGTCTGTTTTCGCTTCTTTAAATACTAGGGGTGGCTATACGGTCCAGTCCGGTTAAATTGACCCAAATTGATCCGGTCCAGTCCGGTCTTTTTGAAAATATAAGGACCAAAGATTGGATTGGATACAGTCCGGTCTTGATCCAGTCTGGTCTTGACCCGGTCCGGTCCCAATTCGGTCTTGATTTTATATTGAGCTTGTGGAAATTTGAGTGGCCTTAGGCCTGAAAGGGTAAGGAGTTGGTTAAGTTTTGTACTAAGTGCAAAAGTTTGTGACCGTTTATGCAAATTACCCTTAAGTTTTGGGTGTTGAGCTCTCTTATCGGGACTGTGATCCGGTCCCGAACGGGTTTTTACCTCAAATCTAAGCCCAAAGATTGGATGGATTGTTTACTATCCAGTCCGATCCGGTCTTCGTCCGAATTATACGGTCCGGTTTTGGGTAAAACCAAAAAACCCGTACCAAATAGCCTGCCCTACTAAATACAACGAGTGAGAATGTTATAAATCTTAGTGTCTCATCTATCACCTGCAGAACACATACACACACGAACACAAATTATACAACTTTTGCAACTGTACATAATTAACTAGCAAGCTGTAAAGGAAAATACTTGATCAGGGGATTGGCAGCAAAAGAAAAACAACCTTAGATAGGTAATCTATTTGGCGTATTTCCTATAACTCGACTTGTTAGGAGAGGTTCAATCGTGGATCATATACCACAATACTAACACGCTCCCTCAAACGAAAGCCACTCACAAGGGCTTGAAGTTTGCACAGGTCTGAAGACAAGAATACCATGTGCTTAACAAATGGGGGCCACCAGGAATCGAACACAAGACCTCTCGGTCACAGAAGGCTCTGATACCATGTCATAAACCAGTTGGTCCCAATAACTCGAGTTGTTGAGAGAAGGTTATGCTGGGTTGTTGAGAGAAGGTTATGCTGGATCTTATACCACTCTCTAACACGCCCCCTCAAACGAAAGCCAACCCATGGGCTTGAAGTTTGCACAGGCCCACCATACCATGTGCTTGAAAGACAACGGTTAATATTGGGGGTCGTGGAGATTCGAACACATGACCTTTCGGTTCTAGGCTCTGATACCATGTCATGAACCAGTTGATCCCAATAACTCGAGTTGTTGGGAGAAGTTCAATCGTGGATCATATACCACAACACTAACACAATACACCTTTTTGATGAGCTGGCCTTCGCCTTACGACTTCCTCTGACTCCTCCTGATTAAGCATGGAGCCTGTCGTATAAGCAAAGAGGGGTATAATCTGAATACCGAATCCAAACTAAATATAGAGAAATATGGTCCATACCCTGGCTTTGCAAAGGCAATCAGGGTGCTGATGGAGTAACACAGTTGCCCACATGGTGACATGAGCAGAGGATTCGTGGCCAGCATTCAAATACATCAACAGAATATTGATGATCTCTTCATCTCTAAACTTCCGCCCATTCTCATCTTCCACGCCCATCAATTCTTCCATCATGTCCACCTTCTTATTCTTTCCCAACTGCTGCTTCCCACTATCATCTTCGTGTTTGACTCTATTTCTGCGTTGGTATAGGATCGAGTGCAGCCCATCCACCACTTTCTTGCGTGCCTAACAGATGAAAACCATCATTGAGATTGATTCTAATTCTCATTACTCATTAAAAATCAAAGGGCATGAATCACTGCAAACAAATTAATTACAATTGTTACCTTGAGCGCTCTGTAGTAAGCAAAACCAGGGAGGTTAATACCCATGGCGGTTGACCGTGGTGTACTGCCTCTCCAGCGTTTCCATAACGTCCTCGCACTTGGAGCTGAGGAAGATGAATATTATGATCCGGAATGTGAGCTTATGGAGCTGGGTCAGCAGCTCCAAGGGTTCCCCGGCAGAGGACCATTCCTCCAGCGCGACAGCGACGTTCTCTCCTATGAAGGTCATGTAGAGGGAGAGGGCTTCGTATCCGTTGACCGGGGCGACGGTCAGACGACGGAGCCGCTTGTGCTCTTCGTAGGAGATTCCGATGAAGGAGTTCTTGCCCATTAGCTCCATCGTGGAGGTGGGCCAGCCGGGCTTGAAGGCTTCGTCGCCCATTATCACTCGTTTGCTTGCGTCCGGGGTTGTCACGAACACGTTGGGCCGTCCAAACATTAAGGCCTTGTAAAGCCTACTCCCTCCATATCTGGGCCCAATGGATTTCAAAGAAAAGTAAAATAAAACACCTCTTCAATTAAGATATCAAATAGGTTTCTATATTTCTTATCAGATAAATATCAATATTTATTATAGCTTTATTGGATTATTTGGAATGGGATTAGGTGCTAACCCTTATAGGGGTTAGCACAGTGATAACTAGCAAAAATCACTACGGATTATTATAAAATCAATACAACATCTAAACTAAATCACTACTAATTCAAACTAGTAGTAGTTTTTCCCTTGGTTAGGACGGTGCTAACTATTGTACAATTAGCACCGTAACCGTCCCGTATTATTTTCGTGCGGTTCGGAATCACATAGGATAAAAAGTAAGGGTTTGAGAAATCAAAAAATATTTTTAGAGATACTTGATTCTACTATAAAATATGGATTTGAAAAGGATATGGGGGTGTGGATTTTTTGTAGCTCCCCACAAAATGTATCATTAGCACTCACATGTCACATTACACATAACGCATGCCAATTTTCACATTAATTCCTGTAGTCAAACATGAAATTTGAATTAAATGATACAAAAGTAAAATTTATTCCTTTCTCACTTATCGATCACTAATGTTAATTATTTTTTATAAATTAATTAATTCTCCTCATTCATATCTTAACAAAATCTTTTAAACCACAGAGTATGTAAAAACTAAAAACAAGTAAGGGTCCCTGTAGGAGCTTTTAGATTTTTAAACCCTCTAGAATTTGATAATTGTATTATTCTAAGATTCCATTATTTGGTTCTTTTACCTTCCTTACATTATTCGTACTATAATGATACAATTGAACTACCATAATAATGGGGATACAACTTAAATGGTAGAGCGCCTGCTTTGCATGTAGGAGATACATGGTTCGATCCCCTACATATCCACTTTATCCTTCAATGGATTGAGTTTAATGGTAATATGCAACTTTCAATTCAATTTTTGAAATAAAAACTCATTGAGTTTAATGGTAATATGCAACTTTCAATTCAATTTTTTAAATAAAAACTCAACCTCTTAGTTATGTAATTTTATGAGTTTCAAGATCTCCCAGATTATCAATGGTAAGATAGTCTAACGGTAATGTAATTTTATGAGTTTCAAGATAGCCTAACGGTAATGGTAAGATAGCCTAACGGTAATGTAATATAATTTTATAGAATGTTACAAAGTAGCACGTGGGGCTAGGTTCCTGGCAATAAAAAAAGATCTCCCAGATTGTTGGGTGGATCAAAGGATGCTCCCATTTAAACTTAACATGATCTTTTAAAACATAAAATAATATCGAACAACTTGGGGCCCTTTATTTATTGGGTGTGCCTACGGTGACATGCATGTCACGGTGACTTGCACTTTTCGGTCGACCTTAGTTAGGATTAGGTCGACCTCATTTAGAATTCGGTCGACCTCATATAGAATTCGGTCGACCTCATATAGGATCTGGTCGACCTCATTTAGGATTCGGTCGACCTAATCTGTTGTTTCAGTGTAAAAACAGTTCATGGTGTCTACTTTGGATATTCATATCATACAATTGGCTAGATGGAAATTGAAGACTAAATACTTGTTTTGAAGCTGGAGTGTCCCTCTACATATTGAAGTGATTGAGAGCTCGATAAGAAGTCCATAAGACCATTTTTAAACCTCATCAAAAGGCTATGCCAAAACTGGGAAACTGCCTGGAAATGGCCAAGTCTGGAAACGTGTTTGTGAAGCCTATTTTGGAGCTCAATTCGAGAAGCATGAATGCGAGTCGAGTCCAGGAGCCTCTACCACGTTAAATTAGGTATGTTTTTAGAAAAATTTAAGGCATTGGATGAAAGATTGGATATCTATAAGGCTTCAAACAAAAGGGTCGAAGTTTCTACGAAGGCTGTTTTTCTGGCAGACTTCGAGCACAAGCAAGCTACAGAAAAACAACCTTCGTAGCAACTTCGAGTCTTTTGTTTGAAGCCTTAAAGATATTCAATCTTTCATCCAATGCCTTGCCTTTGTATAAAAAGATACGTAATTTAACGTGGTAGAGGCCCCTGGACTTGACTCGCATCCATGCTTCTTAAATAGAGCTCCAAAGTAGGCTTGACAAACACGTTGCCAGACTTAGCCATTTTCAGGCAGTTTCCCAGTTTTGGGATAGCCTTTTGGTCAGGTTCAAAAATGGTCTTCTGGACTTTCTATTGAGCTCCCAAGTACTTTAATGTGTAGAGGGACACTTCAGCTTCAAAACAAGCCTTTAATCTCCAATTTCCATCTAGCCAATTGTAAGATATGAATTTCCAAAGTAGACACCATGAAACTGTTTTTACACTGAAACAACAAATTAGGTCGACCTAATCCTATATGAGGTCGACCGAAAAGTGCATGTCACCGTGACATGCATGTCACCGTAGCAAAATCCTTATTTATAACTTTAATATTCTCCAAGTATTTGACATTCTATAAACCAGATATGTTGGATATCTTCTAAAATCATATTCATGACATGAAATAATAAATATGGGAAAATCACTTGTCGCCTCCTGGAAAATCATACAAATATAATTTAGTAACTTCTTATATATCGTTTGGTATAAATGAATTTCATAAGTTTTAAGGAATTTATTTTGAAATGAAATCTTTTTCTGTTTGGTATTTGGAAGAATTCATTTTCAATTCTAAATTTTGAATTCTATGGAATTAGAACTAGTTATAGCAATTCCGAGGAATTGAGATGGAATCTCCAAATGAATTCCACAAGTATTTACTATTTTTAATAGAATGATATATTTATCCTCTTTTATTAACTAAAATACTTATATATATGACATACCAAACATAGGAATTCATTTGACAATGAATTCTACTCGACAAAGTTTTTTATTTCTAAATATTTGAATATGACATACCAAACAAAAGATTTCATTTGAGAATGAATTCTACACGGTAATTCATTTTACAATGAAATGAATTATCGATTCATTTGATACCAAACAGTCTGTTAGTGTGTATTGCGTAGATATTAGATAAAGAAGAAGATATGTGATGTGTCATGACTCATGTGTGATGTTGCTAGTGTTTTTTTGCAAGATCATATACCACTTGACCGGTTTGTTTTACACTCATAGTACTCCAAATAGGGCTGTCAATTTGGTTTGGTTTGGTTAACCAAACCATTAAGTATGAAAAACCAAAAACCAAAAAACCAATATGTACTCATACACTTATATTTATTCCTATTTCTCTCCTTTATATTGAATAAAGGTCATAATAATGGTAAATAGCCATTACAAATTATTGGTTGGCATGTGTGTCAAAAGAAACAAAAAAAAAATATTTGTTGATAAATAATTTTATTCTTATTGGTTTCTTAATGGTTTCTATTGGTTTTTCGGTTTTAACCAAACCAAAACCATTAAGTTGTTTATTGGTTTAAAGCCAAAAAACTGAAACCATTAGCTTTCCAACTGGTTTGGTTTCGGTTAAAACCAAAAAACCAAAATCAAATGGACAGCCCTAACTCCAAATACTCTCAAAGTCAAGCCCGACAGTGAACACGCAGGCCCAGTATCGTGATACGGTCCGGACCTAGCAGTGGTCCACATAGGCAAATACCAAGTCCAGGAGTACGCAAAGAAAGCCCATTTGGAGAGTCGGCCGACGATACCAGCACATGAATTTCATGCATACATGGCCAAAGAGCAGTTGAGTCCACAATGATGTTGACATTGCACAAATTAACTGTAATCAAGCAAAACTCGACAATCGCCGAGTTAATTAGAGAACAACAAAGCGAGCTCCGTCTCTCACCAAATTCCACAAAAACAAGCAATGTATGGTGGGCGGAGTTACTTAGAGAGTAGTGTCACATGTGGCAGATGACATGGCGCCAACAAGGTGACAACAAGGCAGCTGCACATGTGGCATGTATGGAAGACTAGTAGCATAGAGATGCTCCTAGGATTCTCCACCTAAATGAGAGCTTAATGGTGCACTTATGAGCTACATTATGGGTAGCATTATTAGAGTGCATTATGGGGGGACTTTATGGGGTGTATTGATGTAGAGGGACCATTATGAGGGGCATTGATGCCTTGTATGAGGAGAGGCCTATATAAGGAGCCATCTCCCTCACTTGTAACTCATTCCATCATTTTTGAGAGTAATACACACTAGAGAGTTCTCCCAATCCTTTTTCTTTGTTCTTGTTCTTTGCTTGCTTGTGAGTTTGAGAGAAAGGCTGCCTAGCGCTCTAACGGAATTGAGAGCTAGGGCCGCACGATCAAGAGTAAGGTCGTGACAAGTGGTATCAGAGCCTAGTTCGGCTTTGTGCTAGCAAAGTTGAACCTAGAGCCAGAAGGAAAGGAAGAACCTCACCAGAAATGTCGGGATCAGAAGTCAATGACGACGTTGAGAAGCGTCGTGGCAGAGAGCCTACCCCAACCGGGAGGCCAAAAGACAAGTCGAGCACTCGTGATCCTCTCAAGTCCCTAGAGAGGCGAGTCTCGAGGATGGAAGTGAAGATTTCTGAAGATGTCACCTCCATCGAGGATTTGGGAGCTAACTTCGCCCAAGTCGAAAGCGATTTTCAAGGTATGAATGCTCGTTTGTTGAGCTTGGAGATTGGTCATGATGGCATACGAGAAGAGCTTGTGGCCCTCATCAACAACACCATCAACACATCCTTGAATAACGCCATTGAAGTTGTAAAAGAGCATGTCCAGGCTGAGCTGGTCGGCGTGAAGGAGGAGATTGCAGATCTCAAGAGTGAGGTCACTCTCGTGAAGAGAGCCATGGCTAGCGGACCAGCCACGGTACAATCCGTCCCACGTGCTGACATTCCAAGACCGAAGAGCTTCGGAGGTTCAAGGAATGCGAGGGAGTTAGAGAACTTCCTTTGGAGTCTTGAGCAGTACTTCAAGGCGTCCGGCATCCAAGAGGATGAGGTAAAAATCCGTACTGCTCCACTCTACTTGGTTGATGTTGCCATGGTGTGGTGGAGGCGACGTGAAGCGGACGTCGAAAGAGGTACTTGTGTGATGGTAACGTGGGAAGATTTCAAGAGAGAAATCAAGAGGCAGTTCTACCCAGAGAACGTGGAGTTTGAAGCCAGTTCGAAGTTGAAAAGACTCACCCAGAGGGGTGGAGTTCGAGAATACGTGAAAGAATTCTCGGAGCTGCTTCTAGAGATCCCGGACATCACGGACAAGGAGGCCATGCACGGGTTTCTTGATGGGCTGCAACCATGGGCCAAGATGGAGATGCAACGTCGAGGAGTACAAGACCTTGCAACTGCCATGGCCACGACGGAGTCTTTTGTCGAGTACAAACGACAAGAGAGCAGCGGCAAAGAGAAGAGTTCGAAGCCCAACAAGGGTGGAGAACAGCAGAAGCCTTTCAAGGAGGGTTCTCGCACTCAACAACACCAAGGTGGTTCGAGCAAAGGGGGTAAGTACGAGCCAAAGCCCATGACTTGTTTCCTTTGCGACGGACCACATCGAGTGCGAGATTTCCCAAGGAAGGCAAGATTGGCGGCCATGGAAGCTCAAGATGAGGAGCCCAAGGCGGCGGAGGCCAAGATTGGCTCAATCCGCAAGCTTGGTGCGGTGAAGACCGACGTCAAGGAGAGCAAGCGGGGGAGGTGCTATGTTCTGGCGCAATTCATGCAAGGCGAGTCAAAAGCCTTGGTGGATACCGGTGCCACGGACAACTTTCTTCGCGTCGAGGAGGCAAACCGGCTGGGTATTGCCTACGAGAAGGGGCAAAGGAGGCTCAAGACGATCAATTCGGAGTCCATCCCAATCCATGGAGTTGCTCACAACGTACCAATGAAGCTTGGCGAGTGGGAAGGCCTCATAGACTTTTCCGTCGTCACCATGGACGATCACCCAGTCATCCTCGGCATCCACTTCCTCGACAAGGAGGGAGTGCTCTTGAAGCCCAACTCCAACACAATGTGCTTGGAGAAGGAAGGGGAGTTTCATGCGGTCCATCTCTTGAGAGAAGATGGTCCCCATAGTGCTCTATCGGCCATGCAAGTGGTGAAGGGGTTCAAGAAGAATGAACCAACCTTTCTTGTGCCCTTGAAAATGGAGGAAGAAGGAGGCTCAACGGGAATCCCAACTCCCATCATCGAAGGCGTCCTCGAAGAGTTCGATGACGTGATGCCATCGGTGTTGCCCAAGAAGCTGCCACCAAGAAGAGAGGTGGACCACAAGATCGAGTTGGAGCCAGGAGCGAAGCCCCCTTCGAGCACCATACCGCATGTCGCCACCGGAATTAGAAGAATTGCGGAGGCAGCTCAAGGACTTGGTGGACGCAGGCTACATGCGGCCATCGAAGTCACCTTTTGGAGCACCGGTGCTGTTCCAAAAGAAGAAGGAAGGGTCGTTGCGGATGTGCATCGACTATCGAGCCATCAACAAGTTGACGGTGAAGAACAAGTGGCCGATTCCCAACATTGCCGACTTGTTCGACCAGCTTGGAGATGCGATGTGGTTCACCAATCTTGATCTTCGCTCGGGCTACTATCAAGTGCGGATAGCAAAGGGCGACGAGCCAAAGAAGGCTTGTGTGACGAGGTATGGCTCTTACGAGTTTCTGGTGATGCCATTCGGTCTCACCAACGCACCAGCCACGTTTTGCACTTTGATGAATCAAGTGTTTGAGCCATTCTTGGACCGGTTTGTCGTGGTCTACTTGGATGACATCGTCGTGTATAGCAAAACACTCGATGAGCATGCCGAGCATCTACGCCAAGTCTTCCAAGTCCTTCGCGACAACGAGTTGTACGTCAAGAGGGAAAAGTGCACATTTGCCGCCACGGAGGTTCCATTCTTGGGACATGTCATTGGTGGAGGCAAGTTGAAGATGGATGGAGCGAAGGTGCAGGCAATCCAAGAATGGGAGCCGCCGACGAAGGTGCCAGAGTTGCGGTCATTCCTCGGCCTTGCCAACTACTATCGGAGGTTTATCAAGGGCTACTCCAACATTGCAGCACCCTTGACGGATCTCTTGAAGAAGAACAAGGCGTGGGATTGGTCGGAAAGGTGCCAAGAAGCATTCGAGGCCTTGAAAGCAGCGGTGATGAAGGAGCCCATGCTCGTGCTCCCCAACCCAACGCTGGCCTACGAAGTGCAGACCGATGCGTCCGACTTCGCGATTGGAGGAGTGTTGATGCAAGATGGGCATCTCATTGCCTTCGAGAGTCGGAAGCTCAGCGAGACGGAGAGGCGATACACCGTTCAAGAGAAGGAGATGACGGCCGTGGTGCATTGCTTGCGCACATGGAGGCACTACTTGTTGGGGTCGAAGTTCGTAGTGAAGACGGACAACGTGGCAACGAGCTACTTTCTGACGCAGAAGAAGCTCACCCCTAAGCAAGCGAGGTGGCAAGACTTTTTGGCCGAGTTCGACTTCGTCATGGAGTACAATCCAGGCAAGGCGAATTCCGTTGTCGATGCTCTTAGCCGCAAGCGTCAGCCAGCCCACGTTTCCTTTGAAGGAGCGGATCGTTAAAGGCCTTGGCCATGACCCCTTCGCCAAAACCGTAGCGGAGTACATCGAGCAAGGTAAAACTCGGCGGTTTTGGATGAAGGATGGGCTCATCATGACCAAGGGAGAGCGGGTGTTCGTGCCAAGATGGGCCAACTTGAGGAAGGAGATCATGAAGGAGTGCCATGATTCCAAATGGGCGGGCCATCCCGGCATCGAGAGAACGCAAGCGCTCATCGAAGAAGCATACTTCTGGCCGCGTATGAGAGACGATGTGGAGATGTATGTGAAGACTTGTCTTGTGTGCCAACAAAACAAGATGGAGCAAAGAAGCCCGGCAGGCTTGCTAGAGCCCTTGCCCACGCCTCAAAGACCATGGGAGAGTGTAAGCATGGACTTCATCATCGGACTTCCCAAAGTCGATGGATGCGGTTGCATCATGGTTGTGGTGGACAGGTTTTCGAAGTATGGAGTGTTCATTCCCGGGCCAAAAGACTTAACGGCGGAGGATGCGGCACGTCTATTCTTCAAGAACGTGGTCAAGTATTGGGGCATTCCTAGCAGCATTGTGAGCGACAGAGATGGGCGCTTCACGGGCAGATTTTGGCGAGAGTTGTTCAAGATCATGGGCTCAAACTTGAACTTCTCGACGGCATTTCATCCTCAAAGCGACGGACAGACGGAGCGGGTGAATGCTTTGTTGGAAGTGTACTTGCGGCACTACGTGAGTGCAAACCAACGAGATTGGGTGAAGTTGATGGACACGGCACAGTTCTCCTACAACTTGCACCGCAGCGAGTCGACCAACACAAGTCCATTCGAATTGGCGACGGGGCAACAACCTTTGACACCTACGACGGTGGTAACGGGATATAGAGGCAACAGTCCGGCGGCCTACAAGTTCGCTAAAGGCTGGCACGAGAAGATGGAGATGGCCAAGTCTTACTTAGCCCGCGCTAGTAAGAAGATGAAGAAATGGGCGTACAAGAAAAGGCGGCACTTGGAGTTTGAAGAGGGAGACATGGTCATGGTCAAGTTCTACCCTCATCGCTTCAAGCATCTCAAGAACGTGCACAAGGGACTGCTTCGCCGCTATGAAGGGCCATTCCCCATCGTGAAGAGGATTGGCAATGTGGTATACAAGGTAGAGCTGCCGACGCACTTGGAGATCCATCCGGTCTTTCATGTGAGCCAACTCAAACCTTACCACGAAGACAAAGAGGACGAGCAACGAAGAGAGTCGCAGCGCGCTCCAACACTCGTCACCAAGACACACGACCATGAAGTCGAAGAAATCATGGCGCGTCGTGTCATTCCTCGTCGTGGCGTACATCCAAGCTTTGTGGAGTACTTAGTCAAGTGGCGCAACCTTCCGGAGAGTGAAGCAACTTGGGAGAAAGAGCTCACGCTTTGGAAGAACAAGGACTTGATCGAAGCATTCCATCAAGAGGACGCGACGAGGGCGTCGCGAGCATAGGTGGGGGAGGATGTCACATGTGGCAGATGACATGGCGCCAACAAGGTGACAACAAGGCAGCTGCACATGTGGCATGTATGGAAGACTAGTAGCATAGAGATGCTCCTAGGATTCTCCACCTAAATGAGAGCTTAATGGTGCACTTATGGGCTACATTATGGGTAGCATTATTAGAGTGCATTATGGGGGGACTTTATGGGGTGTATTGATGTAGAGGGACCATTATGAGGGGCATTGATGCCTTGTATGAGGAGAGGCCTATATAAGGAGCCATCTCCCTCACTTGTAACTCATTCCATCATTTTTTAGAGTAATACACACTAGAGAGTTCTCCCAATCCTTTGTCTTTGTTCTTGTTCTTTGCTTGCTTGTGAGTTTGAGAGAAAGGCTGCCTAGCGCTCTAACGGAATTGAGAGCTAGGGCCGCACGATCGAGAGTAAGGTCGTGACAGTAGGGTGGGCCAGAGAATAGTTTCGGTCCCTAGGACCGTAAAGATATTTAGATAAAGTTTGAATAAGTAGTACTCGGTTTATACATTGTGTTATGAATTAGTCATGTAGTTTACTGGTAGCTAAACTAACTATTTGCCTGAAGCAAACAAGTTTGATCCACAATAATCTCATTTTTGCTTTAACTAGTTTTTGGATTTTATTATCTTAATTCTCCTCCACAATGTTCTGGACCAAACCAAACAAGGAGCACTTCTACTATGCTATATAGTATTGGTGCTTTAATGTACAACTTAAAGTTGTACCATAACATTAAATGTATAAGTTTAGGTTGTACCATAAAGCAATTTGTACCATTATGTTATGGTACAACTTTACAACTTGAAGTTGTACCATCACATAAAAGTACAAGTTCAAGTTGTACCATAAAAGAATTTGCACAAAAAGTATAGGTACAATCTGAAGTTGTACCATAACGTAAATGTACAATTTTAAGTTGTACCATAAAGACAAAATCCTATAGCACCAATACTATATAGCATTGTAAAATTTCTCCCAAACAAGTTCGATCCACAATAATCTCATTTTTGCTTTAACTATTTTTTGGACTTTATTATCTTAATTCTCCTCCACAATGTTCTGGACCAAACCCAACAAACCCACCCTTCTTTTTTGTTATTTTAATGCACTACAAATGAAAAAAAATAACCTCTATTTAGTTCACTTGGGATTCTTAGCTCTTTATAGAAACTATATCCATTTTTTTTTATCTATGTGGGGATCAATAGAAATATGATTGTCAAGGGAATTCTATTTTGTTGATAGGTGATTTGTCTTCTTCTAACGCTTCCAGTTTTTCACTGCTATATGTGATCGTGCGTATTTTCAGGTATAAAGATACTGAAGAATAGATTGCGCGGAACAAAATAAATGATGAGTTTCTTGTTAATGACTTGCCGTCAGTGATTAGTCCTGATGCTTCTTCCATACTCTGGGGTTTAGTGATGGAAATACTTACGTGGGGCAGGTTTGATGCCCTAACTCACAGCAGCCTTATTAACCTATCTCCTTTTGCTGTCTCTTCTTCTACAACTGGTATAGCATTTCACAACAGGTGGAAAGGCCACAAATGGATCCAACAGTATTGGAAGGCCATGATGGAGAAGTGAGAGCTGTAGATTGGTAATCTCGTCTTAATCCTTTTTTGCTAATCACTAACCACAAAATCAACATGTGCAGTGCAGGTGCCAATCCGGGGAAGGCAAGATAGCAACATCAATTCTACAGCTGCAACATCACCACTTTTGCTGAAATCAGAATGTGTCAATCAAGCATATAGCAACCACAATTTTGATGTAGACTAGAATTGTACTTCAATTGAAAATGGTTATTTGTAGCAAGTTTCATTAGTAAACATTTAAACAAATTTCCTTGGGTTCTCATCAAGATCAGCGGGTACATGAAGAACCTGATTGATCTCTTACTTAAAGCTAGATTACATGTACAACAACAGCAGCAGCAGCACAAAGGGCTAATGACAAAGCTTTGAGTGAGCTCACCTTAGAGAAGGTGGTACATTACATAAATACTGAGCGGACCTATTATTGAATGATGAAAAGCTCTTGCTTGGCTATGAAGTAGCACCCAATGGCATTTCCTGGTTGCATGATGAATTGCTCGTGAAAAGTACCCATCCGCTTGGAGGCTATATCGATAGAAAGATCTTTGAAATTCGGAAGGCCTTCTACTTGTATACCTTCCCCACAAATCAGGAACTGATTTCCAATGATGAAGGAACCTGAAACTCGGATTGCAACCCCATCCTGGCCATGAGCACGACATTGTAGCTTTTCAACAACGTGAACGAGCTTCTGAGGTGGCCAGTCACCTGCCAATGTTGTTCGGATGCTCGACAAGGTCGAGAAGATTTCTCTGGAACCGACTGATTGTTTGCCACAGAAACTGGGAGAAATTTGAAGAAAAAAAAACAAAGCTCACTAGAGAACTGTAACGAAAAAGAAAGGAGCCAATAACTAAAATAGATAAATGAAGTTGTACACAGGCGTATTTGTGATCAATCATAGTAACATGACGTATTTATTGGGAAACAAAACTCTTAGAAAGAAGCAGATTCCATTCCTTAAAAATGTGAAGGTACCTAAATGTTGACTCGTTGTTGTACAACGTCGTCATGTGCAGCCAATGTTCATCTGGCCCATTGAAGAGTAAGTAGTAATGCATCGTCAGCATCTGCCACAAAGGATTTAACATCAATCCCCAGTAAGCAACATGAAACAACTCTAACATGGAGAATCTAGCAAGAGCATTCTGATAGAACAAAAAACAAAAGACGGATTCTTGTGCCTACATGAATACACTTACATCTGCCAAATCCGTCATCTTTCTCGTTGGATCAAAAACACTCCGAACAAATGCAGCCAAGTCTACACTAGTGTCATGAGCGTGCTTCGTAATAAATGGGTGTGTAAGAAGCTGCAGCAAGAGAACACCAAATCAAGTACCAAAGGTGCCCTCTTAACCTTTTTTTTTCGAAACTCGAAGACATTTTGCTCTTGCATAAAGTTATCATATTTGAACACAAAATTTACCTGGTCTGCAGTTGGCCTTGCATCTGGATCCTTAAGTAGGCACACATCGATAAATGAGCAGAAATCTGGTGAAAATTTGTCCCTGGGAGGTGAAGGTGATGGATCATCTAAAATCTTTCCCATGAAAACATAACTTAACTTCAGTTGGCGAGACACGGAGAGAGAGGACAATAGCAATGAAAGTACTTAGAATCTTGTTTAACATTATTATAACTCTCACCTGCAACATAAGATTTACTGGTCCATCGTTAGCCGTGTAAGGAAACTCCCCAGTTCCACACTCGAAAAGAGCAAGGCCAAGACTCCAGATATCAGCTGGATACGAGTAGTTCTCATTTCGAATTCTCTCGGGTGACATGTATGTTACAGTTCCGACAAAAGTTGCACACTGACAAGAGTAAACATGTTTAGGATTTGGGCAAGGAAACTCTAATTGGCTGGCTAATCTTTTACATTCGTAAATGTAAAAAATGCAAAAAAGATGAAGGAACGAGAGTCATTCGACCACAAACCATTGCGACTGAATTCTCCAGGCCAGCACTTATCCCAAAATCTGTTATTTTGGACTCTCCTTTGAGATTTACCAGCATATTTGCTGGTTTGATGTCTCTGTGGACTAAATGTCTCTCTCCATGCAAGTAACTTAGTCCCTTATGGAACAACACAATCAAGGAATAAGAGTTATTTAGGTGGAGTGGATGAAGGAAGCACAAAGATTATGGCTGTTCATTTCTTACATGGAGAAGCTTTTGAAACATGAATGAAAGCACTGGTTCCGGTATGCTTTTCCTCAATCTCAAGATATCAGCCAGTGAGCCACCATCCATATACTCTAAAGCTATACTTATTTGGCCAGAATCAGGAGTGTAGAATGCCCCATGAAACTCCACCAGACCCTCATAGCAAGGTGCCTCACATAAAGTCCGTATCTCAGTAAGAAGCTGTTGTCTCTTCTCCTAAAAATTGAAATAAAATAATCCATGTAACTATGTACATATGAGAAATGGCGGACATCAGGCAGAAAGCCAAACCTTTACCTTCTCAAATATATTGATCTTCTTCAAGGCGAGAATCCTATGAGTTGGGATGTGGATAGCTCTCTGAACGACACTGCTTGCACCACTACCAATAGCACCAAAAATCCTCATCTCGTGGGAGGCACATCGATATGTCTTTTCGCTATGCTCGGTCGTGCCAATAGGGGAGGAAGTGCTTTTGTGCAACCCAAGCTCGTTTATGTTGTACACCCCATATGATCTGCTCAATAAGTTAACAGTTCCTCCATCCGAAAGCTTCACATGCCAAATTGCCATATCAATTTACAAACAAGAAATGATTTGAGATCAACTACCTAGATTTGTTCATAACTATAAGAGCGAACTAACTGACCATGTACGAATTGTTGAGGTCCAAAGATGGCCCAGCTGAGAAACCCTTCTCGGCATCAAATAAAGGCGTCAGCTTCTTTCTCAACTCCTCCAAGCCAGCCATGATAAGTTACCAAATCTATCGTCCACATTCACTCCATATCTCTGCACGATAAACATAAACGATTGGTTAATACTGCAAATATCTGGAATATGAGTTCATCCACCTAACTAAACTCAGTATGAAGTGAAAAATTGAGCAGTAAAGCAAGACATTGTTCATCATTTTTTGTCAGAACAAGCAATAAACAAGAATGCCCAAGCCACAAATTTCCCATCAAAGCCGGCTTAAACCCCATAGAAAGTCAACTAACCAACCACAACCACAACCACTGGTCCAATTCTCAACCCCACCAATTAAGCATTGACCAAAGCTCCAACTAATGTTATACAGATAAGAAACTCCAGCAAGCAACGCAACCTCAATCAAGAACAGAAATCCAAACGTTCCAAGTAAAATTCAAGATCAAACATCAAAGACCAAGATGGAAGACTGACCATAAACAGCAATCCGAATTCATATATGAATCGAAGGATAAGTGACGAGCCGGAAAGGGATCAGAATTCAGAAGCAGAAATGCGGGAACTTGATGAGGCGAGGAAGCTGAGAACAGATGCACGAGGCCGTAAAGATGGAAACTTTAGAGCGTAGACTCACACTAGGAATCTCGTACAGTTGGCGATAACAAGTTTCTGGGTTTGCCCTTTCATGGGAAGAATCAACAGTATGAGTAGTTGTCTGTGGCTTTTTGGCAGTTCGCGTTCCTTGTGCGACCTGCTTCCCCCCTTTGGCAAGTTGGCAAGTTGCGACTTCATCGCGGTTTCCAAACGTTCCGGTTTTTGCTTTTTTTGGTCACCACGCCGGCGACACGTAATCGTTTCCGTCGGGTATTTGATTTCGTTGTTTTTTTAGTGTTTTACCCCGATCTGATTCGGGTGGTTAAACACATTGGTCGTTATCTGAGACGCGGCAACAAAACTCGAACCATAGGTATCCTATCCGACAAAACTCGATCAACGCGGGTAAAATATGTGTGACGGGTTTTGGACCAGCTTTGAGTTTAAACCCGTTCACTATTCATCGGGTTGGGTTTGGGTTTAGGTAAACCCATCGCATGGGTAACCTCCTACACTCATATAAATAATTTTTTCGGTATATTTAATATTCTAAATAACTAATATTTTTTTATGTTTGTGGAGACATGTCTAATTTTTTTCTTTCTAATTGTGTAGAATGAAGTTGATATTATAGAGTTGAGAGTGAGGAAGCTTAATTGACAAGGAGAAAGAAGCTTTCATTCGATCATGTTGTTTATGGATAATTTGTGATTTGCTTCATTTTTCTTGAGTTTTCCAGATTGGTATTGAACAATTTTTATAGTTAAGTTGTGATTTGCTTGAATTTTCTATAATGGTGTTTTACTTATAGATAATTTGTATTGAGAAATTGATATTTGACTTTAATTTTGATATGAACTTGTTATTGTAAATTTTTTTTAGGACAAAAACCCATGGGTATCCATGAACCCGCGAATTACCAGCGGGTTGGGTTTGAGTTTTTCAAACCAAGTGGGTTTTATCCCATTTTTTCACGGAAAAACCCATGGGTTTGGGTTTGGCAAAACCCGACCCATTGTCATCCCTACTGGTATCCAAGGTTGTTAAACCGTTATCGAACCCCCGGTTGGACCCGAACTGACTCGAGTCGAGCTTCAAAACGATCTCCAAATAGCCCACTGGTCTGACCCCTAAAGTGGGAGAAGAAGAGAGGAAGAAGAGAGAAAGAGGAACGTAGTAAGGGAGATGATGGATGAGTGATGAGTCATGTAGATTAGGTAGATTTATTTTATGAAAATAAGTTTTTAATAAATATATGTAAGATACATTTTATTTTAGTAATTAAATCTTTAATTACTAGCTTATTTGTATATATATTTAGAAAACGCCTAAAACGGCTCAAACTGGTCGGACCCTGATCAAATCATTAAACCTCAAACCTCTTACTTAACCCACTCAATAATTTAAACCGGTTTGACAAACTTGCTACTACTCAAATGGCCCCTTAATCCCTTATCTTTCCATGATTTTTTTCTGTTTTTTTGCTGTCAAATCAAAAATCAAGAAACAAATTTTAAAAAAATGTGTCATTTGTCATTCTATTTTCTAATTGAGAAACCCTTGGACAATAAAGTACAAACAAATTGATTAATTTTGGTAAAATAAATTTATAATCCAAGAACCAAAACTGTAGATAAAAAATCAAATGTGGCAATAAAATAACAATCGCAATTAATATCAGTCCTTTTTCACTGACCGGAGATTGGACACCATATTCCCCACAGGACAAGACAAACCCATCCAGTCACAGACCTCCATGTCCAGTCCAACACGCGGCCCCATCCCATTCGACCGTCTCCCAGAAAAAAACTCCCCGTCACAGGCTCCGTAACGCTATCACTTCCCTCTACATTGAAAACATCACCGGTATAAATTACTTCCCCGCGAAAGCTTCACTTCTATTTCCCCCCTTTTCCTTTCCTTTGCCTCTCTTCCTCAGTCAGCTAAGCTTTCCTTTTACTGAGAAGGCTTTCTCTCTTTCTCTCTCTTCCATTTCATTTTTTTTCTTCGTTCTTTCCTTTTCTACTATTTCGTGTTTTTTCTTCTCCACCTCTCCGAACCCTAACAAAAAAAAAAAAAAAAAAAAACAGAGAAGAGTAAAGCAACATCATCACCCACGAAGAAGGAATTTTCTCAGTAAACAAACACCACCAACTCCTTCCCCGTGATTTTGCTCCTTCCACTGGTTCACTCCCGATTCCTGGGTTTTTGCTGGGACAAAAATGCAGCACCAGCAGCAGAGGCTGAAGCAGCAGCAGGCGTTGATGCAGCAGGCTTTGATGCAGCAGCAGTCTCTCTACCATCCGGGCCTCCTCGCTCCCCCACAGGTTTTCTTCCCCCCCTCCCGCAACCTATTTCGATTGCTCTAGGGTTTTGATCGCCAGCTGCGATTTTTAATTTTTTAGGATGATTGCGTTGAACGCGTTACTGTGAGCTGGAAATAACGATTCTAGGGTTAGTTTTTTCTTGTTCGGGGAAGCTGGAATGTGATTTTGTAGAGGATATTTTTGGGTTGATTGGGGTTTTGTTCAGTTGAACTCGGGTCGGGCAGGATAGTGGCCACTCTGCTTTTTTACCCGTTAAAGTTCTGATTTTTTTTTATTTGTTTTGGTTAAAAACTTTTCCCAAAGTGTGATTAGGATTTGGACGTGAGCTGGTATTACTGTCAAGAGAACTGGAAATTACTGTTCTGAGCTGTTTTTGAGAGGGACCCTTATTGTTTAGCGCTGGATAGGATTCATTTGTTCGTAACTTTACTGGTACTGCTGCTTACTCACTCGTGGATTTTATTTGGTTAGAGTTGTTGTATGGTCTGTAGTTATGGGCTACAGTAGTTTAGTCGTCTATTCATTCCCTGATGGTACCTCTGTGGGTTTTAAGTTGGCATATGCCTTTCCTTTTTGTTCTTCAGTACTTTGTTTAAACATTTTCACTTTTTTCCCCCCAGATTGAGCCAATTCCCAGCGGAAATCTGCCTCCTGGTTTTGATCCAAGCACTTGCCGCAGTGTGTGAGTGTTTGCACTTTGCATAGTAGTTTTACCCCCCATTGTTCTTGCTATGTTTCTTTAGCATTTCTTCGTTATGATTTCTTATGGGAATTTAGCTTTTGTGTTTTCGTTTCTCCTAGTTCAATGGAATTTTTATTTATTACCAAGAATAGTTTTTGTTTCTAGAGCATAGTAACTAGTAAGTAATGACTTCCCTTCCACTGAATGATGTTGATCAAGTTGTTTGTGTATTTCCTCACTCCCCTGCCTTGTGATAGTTGAGGATACCTGCATATAAGTTTACTTATATATCTTTTTTCTTCTTTTTCTTTAAAATTCTAGTTTTTTATTCTTGTAAAAATTACAGGTACGTGGGAAACATCCATACTCAGGTCACTGAACCACTTCTCCAGGAGGTTTTTGCTAGTACTGGTCCTGTTGAGGGTTGCAAGCTTATAAGAAAGGAAAAGGTACATTCATCAGCTTTTTGTTTTTGATAGCCACATGTTGCATTTAGTTTTGTTTTGAGATTTGTTATAAATTCCAGTCTCCGACTATCCCTTACCTGTTTGCAATATGTGTTGGCAGTCCTCCTATGGTTTTATTCACTACTTTGATCGCCGATCAGCTGCTATTGCGATAGTATCTCTTAATGGGAGACACTTGTAAGTGCATATCACTCTGGATGCTTACCTGTTCCTCTGTCATTCTTTTGATTCTCTCTTGTTCTGGTGATATTCATGGGATGTCTGATTGTTGATCTGAATTTCAGATTTGGCCAGCCTATCAAAGTTAACTGGGCCTATGCTAGTGGTCAGAGGGAAGATACCTCAAGTAGGTCTTATGGTTGTGTTCTAGGATTGATATTTGTGGTTTGCTGGATTTTGTAAATCCTAAGTGTTTTCTGTAATGTGCAGGCCACTTTAACATATTTGTTGGAGATTTGAGTCCTGAGGTCACTGATGCAACACTGTTTGCATGCTTTTCTGTTTTCCCCACTTGCTCGTAAGTTCCTCTTCAGTTATTTATGTTGTCTTGCGTGTTAAGCTAAAATGTTGAAATTTCTCTATGTTCAAATCAACTGATTTAACCTTGTGCTGTATCAGTGATGCAAGAGTTATGTGGGATCAGAAGACTGGACGCTCTAGAGGTTTTGGCTTTGTTTCTTTCCGTAACCAACAGGTGATGCTTGTTAACTTAGTAATATCTTGGCAATATACATTTGATGTTCATCAATATACTTACGTGCCATTTGCCCATACAGGATGCCCAAAGTGCAATAAATGATCTAACTGGTACGTATGGGGAGCAAATGAGAGATTTCGACTATTAAACCATGTTCAATTGCTTTTCAGTTGCCTTCACGCTTATGCAAATTGCCTTATCTTTATTCAGGAAAGTGGCTTGGTAGTAGGCAGATACGGTGCAACTGGGCAACAAAAGGTGCTGGATCCAATGACGACAAGCTAAGCTCAGATGGCAAGAGTGTTGTTGAATTAACTAATGGCTCATCAGGTCAGTTGACATTTGACTTCACCGAATGTTATGTGATGTCTTCTGTTACGAAGTTTTGATCTTTGCAACATTCTTCTACATTGGTTACACAGAGGATGGCAAAGAGCCAACTAACAGCGATGCTCCCGAGAATAACCCCCAGTACACAACTGTCTATGTTGGCAACCTTGCGCCAGAGGCAAGCAATTTGTCTTCTTGCTCTAGCTTATTTTAGATTCTTAGCTTGTTGCCTGAGAGTTGTTCGTTTCTTTCTGTTGGTCATTTGGCAGGCTACCCAGCTCGATCTCCATCGCCACTTCCACTCTCTTGGTGCTGGGGTCATTGAGGAGGTTCGTGTTCAGCGTGACAAGGGATTCGGTTTTGTGAGGTACAGCACTCATGCTGAGGCTGCTCTTGCCATTCAGATGGGTAACACACAATCATTTCTCTGTGGGAAGCCAATAAAGGTAAGGTTTTTTTTAGTACTTCATCAGTTCGTATTGTCTTCTTCCTACATGTATTGTTACTTACAGACGATGGTTTTCCATTCTTGTAGTGCTCTTGGGGGAGCAAGCCGACTCCACCTGGGACCAGTTCAAATCCGCTCCCACCTCCTGCTGCAGCTCCAATGCCTGGTCTCACAGCAAACGATCTATTGGCGTATGAGCGCCAGTTGGCCATGAGCAAGATGGGTGGGGTCCACGCTTTGATGCACCCACATCAGCATCATCACCTCAAACAAGCAGCGATGGGGATGAGCGCTGGAGCAAGCCAAGCCATTTACGATGGTGGGTTCCAGAGTGTTGCTGCCGCCCAGCAAATGATGTATTACCAGTAATAATTTGACTTTTCTACTCTTTCTGGAGCGCCTGGGGCGTCATGGGAATATATTAGGAGAGCCTTTTATTCTATCTTTTGATCTGGTGTGGTGAAAATGAGTGTTCACCCGCAAGATATATATATGTGATGATCACTCGAGTGTGTGCAATCTGTATTGGGGAGATGTTATACCATATGTAATCCTCTTTGTTTTCTTTTCCCCCGTTTTCTGACTACTCCTTTTTTTTGGGGGATTACCATTCACTGTTGTAGGGATGAGGGAGTTCATGATATCAGAGCAATGGGAGTGGAGAGTTCAGTGTCTAATTAGATGTTTAGTTGTTGGACTGTACGATGATGTTCTTCTCATGGTTGCTTTACGGCAATTTGTCTTTGTTTCCAGATCGCAGATGTTATGATAAAAACCTGTTGTATTGAGATACTTCATGCATCTCTGTTCTGTTAATTCAAATAAATTACGGTCTTCCCCACTAAAATTCTCATGCAGTTTCATGCCATTTTTGGCAAAGGTGGTTTTGTGTATTGTTCATAAGCTTTGGTCGACTGTTCCAGGTTAATATCTAATTAACTAAGTGGTTCATGTAGGGTTGAGCTTCGTACCTATGAAGACTAAAAGGGATCAAAATCGTATTTGACCTTTCCATGGAATCAATATAAACTATAAAGGAACTTGAAAATTGAGATAGAATAAAGCAACCGTTTCGATTTGATCCATACGCTGTTTCAGTTGAACTCATCCCTGTGTTGGGTCAAAATTAGCTGAATTTGGTGGGAGTACACATTCTGTGTTGCTTCAGCCTGAGTTATTGAAGTATGAAACCAAGCTAAATAAAGCTCAAGGAACATTTGGTCGTTGGTACAACATTATCCACCGCCTAAACGTGTGCAGATTACGGAAACTACCAACAAGTTTGAACAAAAAGAGACGTTAACAGAGGTCAAAAGATCCAACTCTACTTAATCTAGTTGACTTTTCAGTCGGTTTCTAGTCTTGCAATATACTGGTCATAGAACTTCCCAGCTTGCTCAAGGTCGCCAAGTTCAGTGTAACAGTCTGCAATGGCTCCGTAAGCTTCAGTGTTTCCAGACTCTTCTCCTTCCCGCTTCGATATCGTCAGAACCATCATGTGGTACTGTATCGCCTCCGGATACTGCCCCTGCCTTTGCAGGGAGGCTCCTGGACAAAGAAACGAATTCCTGGTCAGTTAACAGAGTACAATGAGTGAAACCGGTTAAGGAGTATAAGCTAAAACAAACCTAGGCCTCTGGCAGCCTTTTTCTCCTCTATGGGATCATTCAAATCTTGGGCAAGGGCAAGGGCTGCTTTGAACTCATCAAAGGCCTTCTGTGGATCTTGGTTCCTCAAATAGTTCTTCCCACTCTTCAAACGGGTGATCAGTTCTTGCTTCCTTGAATCAATTATCACTTCGTCCGAGATTCTGCTGCCCACGGGTGCATAGCTAAGTGTGGGGGCGTACGACTCAATCTTGGCTTGTCTTCTTAGGGCAGCATTGATCTGGCGTAGTTGCTCGTTCAGACGCTTCAGTTCTCCTTTCCTCTGCCGTGCCACCAGACCTGTGACGTGGGTTGCAAACTATTCAGGAAGGTTCCAAGTCTCCTCATTCATTTCCATGAAGATGTGTGCACAAGGCTGCTATGTTAGTTATTTTCAAACTTAGTCTACAAATTTGTTAAAAACCAGAGTTTAGTGACTAAAATTTGTTGGTAGCCCCAAATTTTAGTAGCCATTTATATTGATCGACCCCAAAAAAGTTATAGCCTCTGCCCTCTTGGATTTACCAGAAAACCTTTTGAGTGACATGAAAGAAAGGAGCATAGTGTCAAACCTCCAACAGTGGCCCCAATCAGTGCAACGAACAGCAGCACAGGCATGGTCATGAAAGAGTTGCTGTCAGCCTCACATGTTTGAGCCAGGGCTTCAGAAGGTGCAGCCATCATGAAAGCATTAGTGAAAAATGCTATTGCTGAGGATCGTACGTACATTTCCTGCAAATGTTATAGCATGCTCGGTAAGGGAAGGACCATACAAGATACAACTGTTACAATGATAAGGTTCCGAATGGAGCATTCATCTTGTAAGCTTCGACTTTCTAGACCAATCCCCAGAGAGACTATTTAGGGTTCTAGACATAAAGGATGGTTTGGTATTATAAACATTACGACTTGAATCGGAAGGATCCTAGATTTAGTACATTGTTAATGCCAGCATTCTAGGTGGTTCAAGCATAGCCTAATAGTTCAAGGTGATGAATTTTTTTATTTTTGCTTTCGGGGATTCGCAATAAGCTATTGCAAACAGAAGCATTAAGGAACACATATCAAACAACAGTTTGGACTCTCACAAAGATGATGAAAGCGTAGAAAACAAAACAAAAATGGGGGACTCACCATCGTACCTGATGAGCTGAAAATAGTTCAAGGAACACATCTAGATTTCCTTTGGACGATGAATGCCTTCGATTTCCACCCCGTAACGTCGGCCAAGTTATGGAAGGTATGTTAGAGGCATCTCTAGATGACAATGGCAATGTCAACTTATCAACTTTGAACAGGCCACAAGGCAACTTCCCTGCATAGATAGATCACAATGAAGTAAAAGAAAAGCCCCTTTAGATATGCAAGATCAACAATGCAACACAAGTCATCCAAACTTCTGCATCCTAACCCGTTATGCTACAGCTTGACGTCAATAGAAACGAATGAAACATCAATCATCCGAGCATTTCAAAATTCAGTACTCAAGCAAAACATTATCTTATTTAACTACTAGCTTCACATGATACAGCTAACTCTTTCATCTGGCATCATTTGAGACGTCTCGATTCACGATTAACCCCACCTCAACTCATATGACACCAGCACATTCAAAAGAAAAAACCTCAGAATCAGAAACACCAGACCAGAGCAGACCTACCATTACCAAAATGTCCAGCAAGAGCAACACTTTTAAAACTCTAACAAAAACCCAATTCCAGATTCTACCGAAGGCATTTCCTTTACACTCTTAAGTTCCACTAGTTAAGTTCCTAAACTTTGGAAAGGACGTTAAATTGCAGAATCAAGTGACAAAGCTAGGCTAACACAAGTGAGAAGGGTGTTCCGTGCGGAAAATGAGATGGGAATTGGGTACTGACCGGAGATATGGGATTTGGTGGAGATGAAGTGATCAGGCGGCGGAGAAGCAAAGCAACGGATTGCCACCGCCATTAATCCCTTTTCTCTTTTGCTTGAATATCTTGATGATAAGGAAGCGGTTTCCTTTTCCCTGACGGTTGCCTGCTTCACTTCTAGACTGTAGTGGGCGGGTAGCGTAATCGATTTGGGATAAACTAAAATAAAAATTTGAGCTTCCATCTTCCCTCATTTTACGGTTTTGCCATTTAGCTTCTTCTCAAAATTTGTCAGGTCGGGTCGGATCAATGGGATCAGCGAGGACAACCCGATAAGGATTCCTAGTTACCAACAGGCCCATAGGTCAAAGCGCATACAAAATTCAATATTTTTTCCTTTTTTTTTTTTGAAAATTGATGGATGAGAGAATTTATTGAAAATCAATAAACGAGTTTCAAGACGGGAGTGCAACGAGTTGGTCCATACTAGATTGCATCAGATTAAACTGACATTTAAATATGAACATATTGAAATGAATATACTTGGTTCGGTTTTTGGTTCATGAATTCTATAAATGTTAAAAAAAAGGATCGAAATGATATTTGGACTAGACCAAAGCATATCGAATGCAAAGATTGGTTGAGTCCTTGATCCTATGATGTCTCTCATTTATTGGAGCACAGTTCACATGAGTTTGGTCCGCTCCTAAGTGTTGCACAACCCTACTCAAGAGTCAAGGGTTAAAACTAGTAGGGAAAACAAAATTTTGAATGAGGGCTTAAAATTATACGCTTGAGAGATTTGAACAATGTGATTGGTGAGGTGGTTAGTGTCGTACCAACTAGTCTATTTTGAGAATTTGTTACACATTTTACCTAAAAAAATCTTAATGTCTAAAAGAGCGAATGGACCACATAAGAAGGAATATTTGCTTTCTTATTAGACTTTTTTCCAAACCATATAAAAGAGCACATTTTTTTCCTGTATTTTTTTAGTGAGAATAAGAGATGAGATTGATTATTCCTCTTATTATTAACGTTAACTACAATAAGACACAAGCTAACAATAGTAAAAAGAGAAAAAGAAGTATATCTATCATAAATATTTCATAACATACTTAACTTTATACTTAAATTTGTCCCTTTCTCCTATCTAATATCGTTTTTCTATTATTTGTTTCCACGGTTCGATTATTCTATATTTGACTTACTATGTGACTCAATTAAATTATCACCACATATTCAGGTAATTCAAGTCAATCTATCTATTATTTCAATTTTTTTTAAATAATGTTCTAATTTTTATTTATTGACTGACTGGTGATTTATTTACATTTTATAATATTTACATGGAAAAAAATTCGGCCACATTTTGTTTATGAAAGAGGGTCTCCATAATCTCAGGGTTGGCCCTCATGCCCCTCCATTCACAAATTTGCATTAGTTGTGGCCAACCCCTTCAAATAAAAGGGATCAAAACGAAATATTCATATTGATTGAACCTAGTGTTAAGTGTTAACACGATACGACCAAAGGTCACATTGCCCAATTGGTGAACCCTCGTTGGGCGCTCGTTCTGGACGTGTGAGGTTCTGAGTTCGACTCTCCTCGAAGCCCTTTCGTGGTGTTACTGGCGGTCCTAAAAGGGGAACTTAGTAAAGGGTCCAAATGGCTTCTTGAACACCTAAATTTGATATCGTTCTATCATTGCTCAAGCAATGTATGTGGGAATGTTCCTAGGTTATTAAAAAAAGTGTTGACACGATACGATGTATGCTAATGCACCCTCACTCTTCCTCATCAATTCATAATCGTGTTTTCTGAAAAATTCTTAGCTCCAACCTTGGCTGGACGCAGAAGCTCCAACCATCCACGTATTAGTTTGTTTTTGGTCTACTTACCTTCATTTTTTCTTAATATTTAATGTTCTTAAGAGCACTCCTACTATGCTATATAGCATTGGTGCTTTAATGTAAAACTCAAAGTTGTACCATAACATTAAATGTATAAGTTTAGGTTGTACCATAAAGCAATTTATACCATTATGTTATGGTACAACTTTACAACTTGAAATTGTACCATTACATAAAAGTACAAGTTCAAGTTGTACCATAAAAGAATTTGTACAAAAAGTATAGGTACAATCTGAAGTTGTACCATAACGTAAATGTACAATTTTAAGTTGTACCATAAAGGCAAAAACCTATAGCACCAATACTATATAGCATTGTAAAATTTCTCTGTTCTTAATTATTCTAAATAAATCAAGAATCTACACATAAATATAAGAAAATGTCAAACAAAAATTCTTGCCACATTAGTCGGTGCTGTGTATACCGCATAGTTCAGAAGGAGTAATTGGTCAATTCCTTTTTACCTTTTCCATAAAGGCCGCTGCCCGCTGGATGCTATTACGTTTTTTTTTGTGAGATGCTATTACTTTATTCTTCCATCCAATAAATAATATTTAAGTATTACAATCTCATTAACTCTTTTCTTTTGTACAACCCACGACCCTCTAAGTCTAATTAACTAACTTCTTCCACTCCAAACAAATCTCTGCTTCTTTTTTATTTTTTTACAAAAGATAATCATATATTGATTCCAAAAAAAGATAGTTACATCCTGGATAACAGCCGGGCCTGGAAATTAAAAGCACAACTCATAGTCGGGTACAAGGAGAGGGCTTTCCTAGCCACCAAATGGGCTACCCTATTGTTACTCCGACCTACGAAACGAACACTGAAACCAGGATTACATTCAAAAAGATTCACCACTTCCTCCAAAACAGCACCCATCATGCTATTTCTGGAATCCCCGCGCATGATTTTGTCAATGACCACTTTAGCATCCCCTTCAAACCTAACAGAGGCGAAGCCTTGTCCCAGACACCAGAGAATAGCCTCATGCAGAGCAGTCAGCTCCACTATCACAGGATCATCTATGACAGGAAATTGGACCCCACTGGCCCTCAGGACGACACAAGAAGGGGTCATAAGTACCATTCCACCGGCCGAATGCGATCCCCGTCTCGTGGCGCCATCCCATCCACAGACAAACTCAAAAGACCCCACCAGAATAGGCTCCTAGTCCCCAACCACCGGGTTCAAGGGAATGTCCTCAACTGGGAGACGCGCCCATTCCTCAACCGGCTGCGCATATTGCCGCATAAGAGCCGGAAGACCAAACTGTTTGCCTTCAAACACCACCCAGTTGCGGGACTTCCAAATCCGCCATAGAACCGCAACAATGGCCATCCAAAGTGACGGCTGATGAACTAAAGCCAGCAGCTTCTTAAGGAACAGAGGAAAAGTGTGACGTGGCAAACCCTCCCCAAGGTGTTCTAACCCCGCCAACCCCCACAAGGCACGCGCTACCGGAAAATCCAAAAATAAATGCTCCAAGGTTTCAGGGCCTTCCCAACAGACCGGGCACCGAGACAGGACCGGGATATGGCGACTAAGGAGAGCTTCAGTGGTAGGCAAGATCCGACTAAAGATCTGCCAAACAAACACCTTCAACTTAGGCAGGATGTTGGCCTCCCACAGCCGTATCCAACTCGTCCTATCCATCCAATCCACCGTCGCCTTCCAACAACCCCTCCTTTTCTCCAAGGATACAGCCAGATGGTATGCCGATTTGACCGAGAACTCCCCATCTGCTGTATCATGCCAAATGAGCTTATCTTCCACATTATCCCGCGGGAGAGGGATGGCTTTTATGATACGGCACGTCACAGGATCAAACCACTGATTAAGCTTTTGATCACACCAACGCCCCTCCCCTTGACAAATTAGCTCCGCCACCAGTGGATCACCACCATCCGGCAAAACCTGAGGATTATAACGCAGGGGCTCAAACTGAAATTCAGGGACCCAGGTAGAATGGAGCATAGATGCCGAGCGCCCATTCCCTACCTGCCATCGTAAACCCATCTCTAAAAGCTGTCGTCCATACAGGATACTCTGCCAACCCCACGATGGCCTAGATTGCGCTTTAGCAGTTAGGAAATGACCATTAGGGAAATATTTACCCCGATAGACTTGGGTCAGCAAGGAATTGGGTTCACTTAGGATACGCCAACCAATTTTAGCCAAGAGAGCCTGATTAAAATGCTCAAAACGGCGGAATCCCATCCCCCCATCATGCTTACTCCTACTTATGTCTCGCCAAGACATCCACGCACCTTCGGGTGACCTTCATTCTCTCCCCACCAAAACTGGGCAACATGCTTGTCCAAAAGGCGGCACAGGGACAAAGGGAGCTTGAAGCAGGACATCACATGCAAAGGCAACGCCAGAGCAATAGACTTGATGAGGGTTTCCTTGGCTGCCCATGAAAGCGTCCTTTGTTTCCATCCCTGGAGTCGTTCCAACAATTTGTTTTCCAAATACCGAAAAGTCTCCATCTTAGATCTGGCAATCAAAGATGGGAGACCCAGATATTTGTCATGGACTCCAACGGCCCCCACCCCCAGAACTGCCGCCAAGAACTCTTGATCTTGTTGCACTATATTCCTACTGAAGCAAACCGCCGATTTGGCCAGATTCACCCTCTGGCCACTCAATTCCTCATATTCATTCAGGACCTCGATAAGGTTTTTCACATTCCTGAAGCGTGCCTCGCAGGAACAAATAGGAATCGTCGGAAAAAAATAAATGCGACGTCTGGGGGCCCGTGGAGCCACTTTAATCCCAGCCAATTTCTTTTCTGATATCGCCTTCCGGAGAAGCGCCGCAAACCCCTCGGTGCATAGCACAAAAAGGAGAGGAGACAAAGAATCCCCCTGGCGCAATCCTCTGGAGGGAGAAAAGTAACCAGACGGAGTGCCATTCATCATTACTGAAAAAGATGCAGAATTGAGGCACTCCCTTATCCATCCTACCCAAATAGGGCTAAAACGCAATTTTTCCAAAACCGCAAGAAGAAAAGGTCATTCGACTCTATCATAGGCCTTTTCCATGTCAACCTTTAGAGCCATGAACCCTTTCCCCCCCCCCCCCCCCCCCCCCCGAGTTTTGGTTTTCAAGTAATGCATGAGCTCATGCCCAAGTAGGATATTGTCTACAATTTGACGCTCCTTGATAAAGCCATTCTGACCTTCCGAGAACACCTGGGGAAGGACAATGGCCAATCGCTCTGCCAAAATTTTGGTTATAATTTTGTAAACAAATTGGCATAAACTGATTGGGCGCAACTGCCTCATTGTCTCCACATTATCAACTTTAGGAATTAACGTGAGCCATGTGTGGTTAAAACTGCGGAGCAGCCGGCCCGAAGTCAAGAATGAGCAGACCGCATCAGTTACCGAGGGTCCCACAATGTCCCAGAAGGCCTTGAAGAATTTGCCAGTAAAGCCGTCTGACCCAGGGGCTTGTTTGGAGCCCATAGCAAATACAGTTTTGCGCACCTCCTCTGGGAGCCCGGCAGCCGTTAAAGCCTCATTCATGGTTGGGGTTACATTTTGGGCAATGGGTAGGTCATGCAGCCGGCTATGCATATCCTGGATCTGGTTTTTGGATGTGAAAAGGTAACTATAGAAATTAGTAGCAATATCCGCTTTACCTTTCTCATCCGTGATCCACTCGCCATCGTCAGCCCGAAGCCCACTCACAAAATTCCTTTTCCGGCGGGTCCTTGTCACCGTATGGAAATACGAAGAATTTTTGCCCCCCTTTTTGAGCCAACGGATCCTGGAATTTTGCTGCCAATACTCTTCCTCCGCCTCCCATTGCCTATTTAACTCGATATCAAGGCAACGGACCTCATCCCAATTAATGGGATGACCTTGCTTGAGTCTATCTATTTCTGCCTGCAGGGTCTTTATGTTTCGTAAAGAATTTGTCGTTCCTGCTCTGCTCCAATCATACAGCAAGTGACGAAGTTTCTTGAGCCGTTCCCATAACCTGAACATTGGGGTTCCTTGGACCTCTTCTTGCCAGACATAAGCCACCATGGCTCTAACTTCCGGGTTATCCGCCCAACGGGCATCAAACCTGAAGAGAGGCCGACTATTACGGACATAAGGCTTGTCGGAAAGCAGGAGCGGCCGATGATCCGATCCCTGATCCGTAAAGTGTTTCACCAGGGTATCAGGGAAACGATCCAGCTAGGACGGGGAGCAAAGGGCTCTGTCTAAGCGTTCACGCATACACGCAGCTCCCATCCGCTTATTCGTCCAGGTAAAAGGATCCCCCTGGTACCCAGGATCAATGAGGCCCATGTCATGGATAAAATCACGTAAGCTAATCGAGTGAAGAGCATTCCATTGATTACCCCCGTCTTTCTCGCACTCGTGCAGAGTAGTATTAAAATCACCTATTATAACATAGGGACTAGAAACCGCACCACAAATATCGCGCAATTGATCTAGTTGGGCGGCTCTTACAGTAGAATGGCAACTAATGTAGACAAAAATCACCACATACGAAACGTTCATTTCATTAATTTGAACACAAATACAAAACTCCGAATGAAAAAACACCGAAGCATCAACTTCGGGGGACCAAGCCACAACCAAACCACCTGATGCATCAACCGCATCAACAAAAAAACAACAAGGAGAGAGAAAACCTAGACCCCGCAAACGTCGGGCAACTACCTTCCGTCTCGATCGCGTTTCCGAAAAAAACACTAGATCCGGTTTATTAGAATGTACTAAACCAAACGCAGTTTGGAATGTGAGGGATGGTCCAATTTCTCTCACATTCCAGGCCAAAAGCCTCATTTATCCGCTTGGGGCCATTCCAGGCTGGCTTCCTCCACCTTTTCAGTTTTGTCCATTTCTTCCACAAATTGTTTTTTGGGGATCGGAACCTCCGCCTCCTCCCCAGCTATCTCATCCAAATGACGTTTCTTGTTGCCTGGCCCCTTCTCAATAATATTAGAACCATATTCATCAATAGCGATGCCCGTCACAGCACCCTCAATATGAGGCAAATGGATGGCCATTGGTGGCTCAATTTTCGCTATGGTCATCCCTTTTTCAAAGGATTGAACCACTTGGTTCACCCGGTTGGAGCGGGCCAAGCGTTTCAGGCTCGCATTGCCTTGAGGAGATCGGCGCCGAACTTCAAACACTGGACCCTCCTCTTCCGATGTTGTTTCAGCCGATTCCCAAGAGGCAGGACTTGGAATTTTTTCCATCCCTCTCTGTTCCGCAGCAGGGACTTGCCTCTCCTCTTCCCCACCTCTGCCTTCGGCGGCTGGGCCTGCTTCTCTGCCTCTATCCCACCATCTCCCAAACTTTTCTCCCGAGCCCTCCTCGATTGGATGAGCGATTCCCGGGGGAGATGGCACATCCCATCATCATTACTCTGCTCAGGGGGAATCTGCCTAAGCGGCACCGCATCCACCACCATATTTTCGGACAGGCTGCGATGCTGATATGCCTCAGTCTTATTCGATCCCTCGATTGGATTGGAGAAGGAATTTCACTGAGAACGAACTCTTCCTCCGATTCTTCTTCAAGGATCAGCCGCCGATGTCTCGGTCTCCCCTCAGCTTTTTTTTGGTTTGGGAGCCATCGAGGTGTTGGGGACAGGCGAGTTATCTCGCTGGCGATGAGCAGATCCCCCTTTTCTCTGAGCCACGACGACCGGATCAGCAACAGCCACCACTCCAGCCCGCTTCGTCTGTCCAGCCTATAGGTGAGTTTTGGTTGGGCCGTCAACTTCCATTGGGCTCGGGGAGGGCCCTTTCCTGGGCTTCCCACGGCGAGACGATTTCCCCAGGGCAAGTTTGGGTCCATTCGCCACCAAGAAACGTTTTGGTCTTCGCCCCTGGGAGCGGGCTTCAGTGGTAGCGAACGGGATTCTAGACGAACCCATCCACAACGGGCTCTCCGACCCACCTTCAGGCCCATGAGTGGGGAGCTTGTTCGGCCCAGGTCTTTGTGAGCCCGTCTCCCTGCCTGTCCCAACGTGCTTAGGCCCACGGTTCTCTGTGTTAACCCATACCGATCGTGGGAGCCGAGGGGCTTGAGGCCTTGCCTCATCACCATCGAACACCTTCGTCCCCATCTTCTTAGTCGACCTATGGGGACCAAACCTCTCCTTACTTGTTGGGGGATCAAAACGACATGTCTGACGAGCATGACCCACACGTCCGCATTTAAAACAGACACTAGGAAGGAATTCATATTTAAATCGGATCCAGAACCCCCCAGTCTCGTCATTTGTTGCCATGATCTGAGACCGTAGCGGTTTGGAAAAGTCCACCAGGGCCCTCACTTTGACAAACTTCCGGGCCATGTCAGCACTAGAGAAGACACCCGCTTCCAAAACGCGGCCTATCGTGGAAGCTACTATCTTCCGCCCGAATTGGTGTGTACAACATTCATCCTGGACATCCCATAACTGGACGCGGAAAGGGACGATCGCGAGTTCCTCGAAGGTGCGATGGGAAATTGAGGGACCCATGCTTTCAAATGCAAAATTCTATCTGCAATGATCCATGGGGTACGCTGTAAAACCCATGATTTGGATGCCTCCGACGAGAGCGTGAATTCAAACAGATCATGCGCCAGTTCACGCACCATGACACATCCTTGACCTTGCCATGGCCGATTCACCGCATCCCTCAGCTCGACAGTGGAGAACCGATCATCAGAGAAAAGACGACCAATGAGCATTCTCGATTTGTGAGCGCGAGTAGCTTGGATCTCTTCAAGGGAGAACTCCACCACTTGATCATTAGTGATTCGCGCCATGGATACCACCATAGAGCTTCCTTGCCTCACACTGTATTTTATTTCGCTGCCAGCCCTCTTGTTCGGTAGTCTGCTGAGAACGAGACAGAATCAAGGGGCCAGTCGAGTGATTTAAATAAACCAGCGGTGGGGTTATTGGTCGGGGATGGAGTAGTTGGATTAGGAGACTACGACTGCGGTTTTTGAAATCTGAATGATTGGTTATCCCTCCGCCTTTCACGATACGCTGGCGGTTAGGAAGAAAACGTATTCGAGGAGGAGATGGATTTTTCTTGAGGCCGTTGGGAGTCCAACCCCAACAAGGCCTGTCGAGTGGGAAAGGTCGCCGACACAAGCTTGGCCAGGAGGGCCTCACCGGGCGAGAGCCAGCCGATCCAACTTTCAGCACTCCACCATCACGTAATGACCCAGGCTTCGCCCCATTCCGGGATCTGAATCCTGAACCTACCGTTTCGTTTTGCACGATCGGTGCTATTATCGTTTCCAGTTTATCACAAGAAGCACAAATTGCTTCCTCACCCCCATCACACGCAAAGGCCGATGGGAGCTTGAAACGCCACGCCTGCCTACCAAATGTCCTCGCCCCCATCCCGGGATCTGAGTCCATTATGATCAGGGTCTTCAATAGCGTTTTCTTTCTTTTTTTTCATTATGGCTTCTCGAGTTCAAAATTGGAGCTTCCCACGCCATTCCTTCAACCTCATCCTGGGAAGGGAGGCGGAAACACCACCCCGGCTTCGTTTATTCTTATGGCCGATCTGCAGAGAGTCCATAGCTAGACTTCTTATCCATTTGAGAAGGCCATGGTCCCTCTCGCCCTGACTTTTCCAAGTGCTGGTACGCATCCTTGCTCCGCTTGCCGATGATGCGCATCAAGTTTCGCAGATCTGGGATTATCCTGATGGCCATGATCCTGCGTAGCAAGGAGACGCTCGATCCACCGTAAGTTTTGCACGCCCTGGTTAGTAAGCGCCCCCGCCAAAACCAGGCCTACCAATCGACCGATTGCTCCTCTGGCCGTCGCAAGAAGAAAGGCAATTGTCGACCAAACAAACTTGAGGAGAGAGCTCCCCTATCCATTTTTTTATCACACTCAAGGAATTATAAAATAATATTGTCTTGGTGCATTTACTTAATACGTATTTTATTTGTTTTTTGAACAAAAGATAAATTTTGATGTAATTTGTTTGATTTAAATATGAATGTTTAGATGTTCGTGTTATTTGTTGGAATCAAATACAGAATTTTGAAAGATGAATGTTATTTAAATAAAATAATTTTTATTTTATTTGGAATATTGTATTTTATTTAAATAAGTATGAGAATTCTTGAGAGATTGTTTTCAAATATGTTATATATACGCCAACAACTTTCCTACATGTTCTGATAAAATCGGCATGAATTGACATAAAAGGATTATACCACCCGTTAGACAATACCACTTACCAAATCGACATGACGGTATAAATCGATTTGACAATCTTAATAAGAAGCCATGTAAACAATAAAATTAAACTTATTATTATTTACTTTTCAATTTTTTCTACTTCAGGGTCTCTTCAAAGAATCATTATCATCTTAATAAAAATAATGAACGAAAAACTGTAATCTTTTTGTGAGATCGAAAGCTTTATCGTGTATTAGTGAACTGAGACGGGTATAATAAGAATTAGATTTTCAATGGGTACAGAGACTGGGTTTTCTATATATCAATACAAATGAGGGTTTGAATAAATAATAACAATATTTGGCCTGTATTTTATATTTTCTTTTGTGATATTAAAGTTGCAGTCGAGTCAACACCCTTTTGAAAAAACCGAAAACTTTAATTTAAAATATAAAAGTATAAGCTCTGATTTGGAGCTTCTATAAAAATTTGTTTTAAAAATACAAACTATTCTTATCATAATTATTTTTTTCAAATTAAAAATTATTTTATTTTATTTATGTTATCTAAAAACTACAGTAAAATACAAATGAAATCCAACATGATTCATTTTGAATATTTTTATTTACATTTTATATTATGATTTTCTTTAGTCATTTTACAGGAACTTTGATATCAAAAAGTAATTTCAATAGTTTATTGGTCAAACATTTAACTATTTTTTTAAATACTTCTCTAAAATATTACCGACAGAAACTGCTTTAAGAAAAGGTACATCAGGACCAAACTAGCCGAATAAAATTCTATTTTTTTTATAGGAAACAACATAGTGGAGTGAAAAAACGGAAGAGGGAGATAAAAATGAAGTATTGATTAATCGCGTATATCATGGGAAAGTTTATTCATTGGTGAAAAAGTTATTAAGATGGAAATTAAATTTTTCTATCTTGATTTTAATTTTTTTTTGCCTCTATTCGTGAGTTGTCCAAACCAATTAAGCCTAAATTTCATTAACCATAAAATAAAATATCTTAACCAAACAATCCAAATTAACACGAAAACCAAATTAACCAAACCAAAATTGAATTGGTTTGGTTAATCGGATAATTGGATTAACCAAATATCATAACATTACATGAAAACAAACATAAACTATCATTTTATATAAGCAATAATAATAAGACTAACCATCCATGATTATCATTATCATTCGAGTTAATACATCATTCATCATTTCTGCACCTAATATTGATAGCTTACAACAAACCCCTTAACATAAATACATATCAATACCCCTAATGAGAAAGTTAAAGCTCAACTATATATAAAACACTTAAAATATACATAGTTTGAGGTGATTGTCAACTTGTCATGGTATTGTACATAATTCTAAAGTCTAGTAGTTGTCCAAAATGTTTTGGTTTAGTAAATATAGGCAGGGCCATTTAATTTTTGGCCCATAATGTTTTGGTTTGTTGTGCACATGGAAATAAAATAGGAAATCATGAAAGTTTGGTTTGGTTGATTGCATGGAAGTATAAATAATTTTGTATATTAGGTGTATCATGTAATTGGTTAATTGGTTTCGTTGGTTAGAAGTGTTGAAACCAAATCAAACCACCTAAACCAAATAAGCTAAATTGTTTAACCAAACCAAGCCAATTATCCAAATTAACCAAACCAAATTAACTGAATGTTCCTGGTTAATATGGTTATCACGGTAACCAATCCGTTTGAACACCCCTAGTTGGAGCTAAGAATTTCCGTGCTTTCATCTTTTTTTTTTTTTGACAAATATGATTATCACGGTAACCAATCCGTTTGAACACCCCTAGTTGGATCTAAGAATTTTCGTGCTTTCATCTAGGGGTGAACAAACACACCCGCAAAGCGACCCACCCGTCCAACCCGACCCAACCCACCCGTATTTATCGCTAAAACGAAGGTTTTGGGTTGGGTGAGGGTTTTATTTTGTACAACCAGCCTCTTTTGGGTTGGGTTTGGATTTTGGATTACACAACCCGTAGAACCCGACCCAACCCGTGTTCCAAATATTAGTATGAGTTCGTATCTGAAAAATATTTATGTCGTATATAGCCATACTTATGAGAAAATTAAGATATTTCGCCATGTTTTTCTCTCATAGTCTCCATAAATTGATGCATTCATCAACTTAAAGTTTAGGCATAAATTGAATATAGTTACAATTCATGTAATCCTTTTTCTTGTGTAGAATTTTAATAGAATATATTATGGTTTATAAACTTTTTAGCGTATTTCAACAAATATCGTGAAAAAACTAGACATGTGTTGAAGTAAATCACATTTTATTAAAATTCAAACAACATTTGTGAATTTTGATAACTTTCACCTCGGTTTATTCTTTTGAAATTTTAATTAGTTATAAAATATTTTTATGATGTAGAATAATTATATATTTTATGTTGGGTTGGGTTTTTACTTAAAAATATCGCCAACCCGACCCAACCCAATTAGAAACAAACCGTAGGTTTAAATTTTTTTGGATGAGTTTGGGTTTGATATTTTCTAAACCGTAGTACATTAAGATTTTTCTAAACCGTAGGATTATGGCAGATTTATTGAGAAGTATCGTTGCCGTTGGAGGCCACACTACTTAAGTTGGAAGACTACATCAATCAATCTATCAGTTTGGTTTTTGTGAGTGCAACAGTCGGTAACCTTGTCTATCTAATCATGAGTGAACGAGATTCAACAAATCCATCCAGTTTGCGAATTCCTTTCGCTTTTTCTGAACAAGATTTTAGCAAATTCACATGGGGGTGATAATCAGATTTACATTGGAGAGCTCGAAAGGCAACATCGAATTCTTTCAGAGGCACCCAGATAGATCTCTTTGCTTGACAAGGTGATATGGAGGCGTCATATTCTGAGATCACAGGGTGATTGATATTCTACAATGTTATCCTATACTACATTCGTGCATTTGATAACATTCTTTCAGCATAATCTTCTCCATGTTGCTTGTTGCAGAAGCAATTCTATCCATCTTCGATCGTTCTTCCTTCTTCAATATTGTCTGAAAGTCAGATTGAGACGCCCCTTCTGGAGATTGGTTTGATCAAGCAATGCCTTTGGGGCTGTGTTTTGCTGAACTTTCGTCACACCATGAAATATATTTCTGGATTTGCCCCCGAATATCAGTACATCTCCAGATTCCAACAATACCTTCTCTGCCCTTTTATCGTCCCTTTGATCAGCATACTCAAATTCCGCTGAATCTCCAATGGAGAAAGAAACCACTGGTAACCCCTTCCGTAGACTTTCGAAACTTTCGGCTTTGTCCTTCATACAAGGGGGAAACTAAATTGTGAGATGTTGGAGAAGTCAGAAGTAACAGAAATACAAGGAAATTTGTTGCTACAAACCTGATGAAGACCCAGCCGGCCAGATGCTGTATAGAAGTTTACTACACAGATGCTTGGTGACATTGATGGAAGGACATATTCCACATTCCCAGGTTTGCAGGTTTTTTCTATTAGCGCTTGAGAATCTTTAATAGCATCTATAACCAATAGACTGAACTCTTGAGGAATGCTATGCGGTTTAGCTCCATCAACATTCCGGTTTTCAACGTACTTATCATCATCAGGTTCCCAGTTATGGCCAAGGCACATCATTTTCAGATGCATCTTCTCACCATTCCGGTATTCCGGTTGATAAAACCCTCCAGTGCCCACACCAAGTTTTCTACATAAGTTCACAATTTTGACCTAAAAAGTAGGGATACAAGATAAAAGTTTAGAGCACAAAGAAAGTGGAGAGATGCCTACAATGAATAAAGAGATTTTCTGTAGCAAATCGAAGTACAGCAATAACCCCACCCACAGTCAACTCTCCAGGCAAAAATATGAACCTGGTATAACGCAAAATAACTAGGATAAGAATCTGTTTTCACTCATATGCAAAGACTTCTTGCAGAGCAGGACTTTACTTACTGCTGTGTCACTCCTTACATCAGAGGTCAAACGTATAAACGAACCTTCGGCCAGTTTTGAAACTAATATACTAGCATCTACTACACTAGTGCCAAGCCAGCTCAAACTTCTACCTGCTGAAAAAGACCTAGAAAACTGATTTGAAGGGAAGTAAATGCAAAAGGCAGTACCTGATTATCCAATGAAAGATGATGTTTCAAAAGCACCATCCCGGGCCTCAATACTCTTCCATTATTCCCTTCCATATTGCGCTGCATATTCCTCTTTAATTTGTTCACCTCCGACAAAGAAGGTTTCAGCCTAACAGGACCTCCAGTCTTGGGCGGACAGATATCGAAAGATGTCCTATTCACAGGTCCTACCTCAGCCTGCTCTGACTCGCTACCACTGGCCTTGGCAGCGGTCTCTCCTTTCTGGCTTCCCCCATCATCAGAATTTCCAAGTTCAAATGGGTTCATCGTCTGTAACATACCGTATGCTGCTGGCTCAGATGCTTGATAAGAATCCCTTGGAAACGTGCCAGGAGAATTCTGGTGAGAGCTACTCCCTCTACCTAGTGACAGCCCACTCATTCTTCTACTGGAATCATCAGCATAGTTCTCTTCTACTCCGACCTATTCCTCCCATTGGCAAGAAAAACATTCAGTGCAACGCCCACTAAATATACCAACATAAACCATGAACGATATAACATCTAGCGACGAGGAAAGGAAGGGTAGTCAGAAATGCAGCCTACGCTAATCCGTTCGCAACATCTAACCCTAATTCATCAGCATGCAAACAGAACCAGCCACAATAAGCAACAATCACAGGCCATTCAGAGTAGGGTTTAAACCTTGTAATGAGTGGGAGGAGAGTTTTGGACAGGCGCCCACGATGATCGGCCTCCGACAGAGGCAGAGCGGCCTCTTCCGCCTCTTCTTCCTCTCTGGCCGGCGGTCGGAGTGCCATGGGGATTCATCGAATGCCAGCGACGCTGGATATCAAGCGGGGGGGAGGGATTTAGTGGGGAAAATTAAGGGTCGGAGCGACTTCAGAGGCTAAGAAGACGAAATTGGGGAGAGGAGCCGGGGAGGAATGAACCGATGGGGAAACTGGAAAGTATATAACGCGCGGAGTGACCTTTGGAATTTCATTAGAATGAAATCATTTTAGGATTAACTAAAATCTTTTTCTTTTTCTCATGAGTCATGAACATCGAGATCAAATATGCATGGTTCAGGAAACCGTACCGGACATCATACCGGAATCATCCGTGGTAGGGTATTTTGTGGTACAACCGTGGTTCAACCCTTTTGTGCCGGTAAATATCGTTTTAATAATAATATAATATTATTTTTGTAAAAAAACCGTATCGACAAATTAGAGTATCGTTTCGGAATAATACCGGAATAAAAACCGGAATATACCGGAATAAAACAAAAAAAAAAAAAAAGGCACATGTCATGTCTCCCATCTCATTCCACTTTTCCTAATGCTGCCACCCACTCCCACGTTTTCCCCTCTCTCTTTCTTTAATTATTATATTTCTTTGATATTTTTCCCTATCTCTTCGCCTCCCGCAAGCCTCTCTCTCCCCTTGTACATTTTCTTTTCTCTCTTATTCTCACTGATCCTATCTCTTTCCTTCTCTTCCTCTTCTTAAAACAATGGCGGCCGGAGGTTATGGTGCTGGCTTCGAGATCTCCACCAGCGATATCATCGACGCCGACGCCAACAACAACAACAACATTCACCAATAGAGCTGCAGCAGCCGCCGCCGCGGGAATTGCCGTAGCGCCACCAGCAGCAATAGCAGCCGTCGTCGTCTGTCGATGGCGGCGTTCTCGAGCAGCCGTCGTCGTCTGTCGATGGCGGCGTTCTCGAGCAGCCGAGTTCGTTCTTTTCGCCGCCGTTGTCGGTCGTCACTCGCAAGAGGTAGGGGTGAGCTGGAGAAGAGAAGAGGAGCGACGGATTAGGGATTCGGAATTAGGGATTCGGAATGGCTATTGAGTATGGAAGTGATTTTTGTTTTATTTTTCCCTGTTTCAAACGACGACGTTTTCTTTGAAAAACAGGCAACCGCCGGTTGGAACAAAACCGGGCGGTATTTCGCTTAGAACCAGTTAAACCGAAAATTCCGGCCGGTATGGTATTTATAGCAGCCAGTGTATACCGTTTCGTTTCTGGTCCGGTTTCCGGTTTTACCGGTTCAACCGGCCGGTACGATCCGGTTTCCTGGACTATGCAAATATGGAGTTCACCTATTTCAGCTCTTTGGGCCATTCACGAGAATTTTCATTAAATGCCTTCGGGAATACTAAGCGGGTTTTGGTGGGAGTTGAACAGAAATCTGTCACTTCTCGGAACGAGCGCCCACTAATGGTTCACCGCTAGACTATGTGACTTTTGGCATAATTAACTAAAATCGGTTCCGCTTATGAGTCACGAATTGGAGAATTAGACGTTTGATCACTCTGTTATTAAATTTATTTCGTGATTATCACTTTAATATGATTTCTTTCTTACTAGTCACTAATTTTAGATTAGTATTTCAATATTAGTAATTGGTTGATCATTTCTATCAAATTTGTCATAACAATAATAATATTTAACCGTTAAGTAACGAATTATAATTTAAACACTATAACAATTAAAATAAATTATTTCAAAATTTCATTCACTATTAGCACCACTAAAATATGCAAAAGGGCTGACTTTGCTAGCATAGGTTTTCATGCTTTCGATATTTCCGATTCAGGTGTTAAATTTTGGACATTGTATGCTACGCTGGGCATTTGCCAATATCTATTAGGCAAGGTGCTACATCCCACTTCCTAAAAAAAAACTATGAGGTCGTTTGCTCTTAGGATTTTCATCAAGGATTTTGGATCGAAAACGCACACCAATAGGATTATGCACAAGGGTGAATTGTACATTTGGTCACTCATTTGATAATATATTACACGTTTACCACTAAAAAATGTTACTTTCTTATTGCTCAATTGGCTTCAACATCTTATTTCATCGCTGGTCACTACCCGTCAATTTCGTTAAATCCATCATGTGTCGGAATCTCGGTGCTGAAACTCAATGTTAGAAGAGAGGCATAGACCCCAGGAGGAAGAGAAATTATGCAATTACACCGCGATCGACGGGGAAGGTATTGGTTCTTTGCAATGGTCCGAGGCTGTAAGCGGATGACGGTGTATGAGAGAAGGATACGGTGGAGACTCGAGCATATATGGAGGACAAAGGCCATTCATCGATTGTGATTGGCGACAATGAGGTAGAAGGGGGTGGCGACGATGAGGTTGGGTTTTACTTTTTAGCGTTCGTGAAAAAAGAGAATCGAGAGGCAACGTAGAGGAAGTAAAGGGTGGGAAAGGGTCGAAATATGGCAACAGAGGGCTGAAGGGGTAACACTTTTGATATTATTAGGTGTTTGGGTGGCTAGCTACCGATTAACCATATTTTTATCTTTTAGTAACTGGTAACCTCGGGTTAGTAAAAAACGCAAAATGCCCCAATCGAAGCCGAAACCACTATCCTATTATCGCTTTTTGGTTTACCGGTTAACTTATTTTCGTTGGTTTTTCGGTTAACCGACAACCGTTTATCACTCCTTAGATGTGGACGCCACCACAAGTGGGATTCGAGGGTGGCGGTGGCGGTTTAGAGTCGAAATTGGACCCAAGAGGATTGGAAATCAGGGTCGTCTAAAATCAAATTAGTTTTGAATAGAGGGTAGGTAGGCGTAATTGGTCTTTCTATAAGATCTCTTCGGTAGAGATTGGGGAAGCGGCTGCATCTCTGCTAGCGAATGTGAATTCAAACACTCTTCGTTTTCATCCTCTTCATCGTCTTTGGTCAGTCCATGATGCGACATCATTTCAATTTGCATTCATAGTCTTCTTCTTCTTCTTCCTCCCATGAGTAAAAGTCAAGGACAGACTCGTCGTCATGGGACTAAAATCGGTTCCATGTAGAGAGAGAGAGAGAGAGAGAGAGAGAGAAGTAACATAGAAATGTGAAGTTGTGAAGAAATCGAAACCTAACTCGTTGGTCATCATCTGGCGCTTGCTCCGAAGCAGAGGGATGTCGCCGTAGGGCATGCATGGTGTCTCTGTTGAGCCTACTTGCAAACCCTAAAATTTTGGGCTATTGTTTTTTGTTTTGAAAATTTCTTTCAATAAAAATTCATAATTTAAATATGATCTGGCGGCCAGGTAGAATGACATAATGAGTTGGAATTGATGTGGGAGTCGAAGTGGCATCCACATCAACATCTTTTAAATATTACTGACGACATCTCTAACACTATCAAAATTTTAATGAAAATGTCTGAATTTAATAAAAAATATCCCAAATTTGACTGAATTCGTGTATTATTCAATTGTTATCACTTATCACAAAGTGTTATGTGTATCGACTCTATTTTGTCCATGGTTGTCACGCCGGCTGGCGTACCACAGGTTGAACCTGGTTCAACCTATACCGGTCATAAAATCAGTACGACACCACCGGCATGATCGATATACGAATCTCTAAGTAAAATGATCTTATATTAGTGAATTTATTTGATAAAAAGTAATTTATTATTTATTTTTTGTGTTAAAAAGTTAAATGTTGATGTTATTTGTTGGATTCAAGTACAAATATTTAGGTATTGACGTTAAATGTCGTGCTTAAATATGAGTATTTGTAAATTATTTGTAATATTAACCGACATGAACCTGCACAAACCGGTATGTACTACAGGTCGAACCATTCCACTTGCTAAACCGGCACACTGGCACAAACCGGTTTTTTTTTACAAAAGATAATTATATATTGATAGAATCAAATCGATAATTACATCCTGGAATTCAGCCAGGCCTGAAAGTCAAAATAAAGACACATAGTCGGGAACAAAGACAGGGCCTGTCTAGCTACACTGTGAGCTACCCTATTGCTACCCCGACTTACAAATCGTACAATGAAGCCCGGATAAATCGTAAAAACTTGCAGAATCTCCTCCAAAATAGCCCCAATCCGACTATCACGCACATCAGCCTGACAAAGCTTCTCAATGACCACCTTGGCGTCCCCTTCAAACCTCATCGACACAAAACCCTGCGTTATACACCAGCGGATTGCTTCACGAAGGGTAAGTACTTCCGCCACCATTGGGTCATCCAGCCGAGTGAACTGAACACCAGCATCCCAAAGGGTCTCCCCTCCCTCATTAAGGAGCACAAAGCCTCCCGCAGAGTGAGACCCTGAACGAACTGCTCCATCCCAACGACACACAGGCCCCCTGTCCCACCTAAACCCACTGTACTAGTGCTAGGAGGAGACAGAGAGGGACGCCGGGGATCATTAGGTAAGCTCAGCCATTCCCCTACCTGTTGGTGATACTGCCGCATCAGAGCAAGGATGCCAAACTGCTTCCCTTCGAAGACCACCCAATTCCGGGATCGCCAAATCTTCCATAGGATAGCAATTACTCCCATGAATTGCGAGGGTTGCTGCAAGATAGCCAGCAGCTTCTTCAGGAAAAGAGGGAAAGTGTGTCGGGGCAATCCTTCACCAAGATGATCTAGATCAGACTGAGTCCACAAAGCCCTGGCCACCGGGCAATCAAGGAAAAGGTGTTTCATCGTTTCCGATGGAGCCCAACACACAGGACACTGGGGTAGGACTTCAATTTTCCGCTCGATTAGCACCTCAGTAGTCGGCAGAATCCTGCTTGAGAGTTGCCAGGCAAATATCTTCAATTTTGGAGTAATGTTGGCATCCCACAGTCGGATCCAACTAGCTTTGTCCATCCAGCTAACCTGCGCCCGGGCAAATATCTTCAATTTTGGAGGAATGTTGGCATCCCACAGTCGGATCCAACTAGCTTTGTCCATCTTTGCACAAACCGGTTTGACAACCTTGATTTTGTCCAAATTTTTTGGCTACAGAATATACTATTCTCCCCTTTGCCACCCGCGGCGATTGTGACTTGTGGGTGGAGTTTTAATTTTAACTTCCCTTTTGTTTTCTTATTTCATTTCGGTTTTCCCCTAAAATCGGTTTCATTGTTCGTGAATCTATCAAACTCTTCGTCCTCGTAGATTCGATTTCACCATCAACACCGGCCAACTCCCTCAGATCGACGTTGCTTTCCAACCTGGAGATCCCCCAGATGCCATAATCAGGTAAAGCTTCCACCTGTTTATCTCTCTTTCTTTCTCTCGATTGCCGCCGAAATCATTTGCTAAATTATCTCCGAGCGCCGGTGCTTGATATTTCCATCCGTTTTCCGAGTTTCTCATTCGATGGGTTGTTTTGATAGATCCTTTTGTTGCAGATGCTTTCCCTTTATCGATCGACATTGTCTGGCTCTCTTTGTTAAAATTCTGTTTATTAGGGTCCAGAATTCTTTGCTTCTGTTTCTGTTCATGTTGTTGGGATACCTGGCAATCGATACCTCTAAAGTTTCGTCTGGGTTCTTGAATGATGAAGTTTTTTAGCCGTTTTCTCGAATGTTTAGCTCTGGCTTCTTGTGATTCTAGTTCCATTTGGTGAAAATGATGCCTTGCATGAAAGCTTTGTCTAGAACTTTGCTGCTATATTGCTATACGGCTTTCTATCTCAATCGAGTACAAGCCTGTGTGGTAGAGAAAGTTTAACGCTGTCTTTGTTTCGGTATGCTTGATGCATTGTAGTTTATCATACATATCTGAGGAAGTAATAGGTAGAAGATGGTGAAGCTTACTATGATAGCGCGTGTTACGGATGGGCTTCCACTTGCTGAAGGCCTGGACGATGGCCGTGAAGTCAAAGATGTTGAATTGTACAAACAGCAAGTCAAGGCCTTGTTCAAGAATCTTGCCAACCGCCCGAATGAGCCTTCGAGGATGTCGGTTGAGACTGGCCCTTATGTATTCCAGTATCCTACAGCTCACACTCAGTTAATAATGTTTGCAACATGTAGTTGTTTATTCAAAAATACTGTATTCTGACCGTTAGGCTTATTAACCTGCTTGTGTTATTGATGGATGGACCTCGGTAGATGAATTTGAGACACTAGATAGAATCACCCTTTTCAAATGACAGAGTGAGTCTTTAAAGAAGCAGACCGGTAAAGTAATTTCTTCGTTGTTGTATCCATTTAAGTTGTTTAGCGAAGCCTACATTTTTTACTGCTTGATGATAGTTTAAGTGACCCAATTTTGTGTTGCTTATGTGCATTTGCAGAGTGTTATACTTGTGGCATAATTTCTTTGTTTGAAGTGATTCTTTTCTAGCATTTTCCTTGACCAGATGGTCTAGTTATATTATCGAGGGACGAGTATGTTACCTTACTATGTGTGACCGTGCATATCCGAAGAAACTCGCCTATCAATATCTTGAAGACTTGAAAAATGAATTCGAGCGTGTCAATGGGCCTCAAATCGAAACTGCTGCAAGACCTTATGCGTTTATCAAGTTTGGTGTGCCCTCTTAACCTTATTTCTGCAAGTTTTGCATGTGCTCTGTCTTCGTGTTGAAAATTGTTGTATGTGCTGTTTCTGCAGATACTTTTATCCAGAGAACAAAGAAACTGTACCAAGACACACATACACAGAGGAATATTGCCAAGTTGAATGATGAACTGTATGAAGTCCACCAGATTATGACTCGTAATGTGCAGGAAGTTCTTGGGGTTGGTGAAAAGCTTGACCGTAAGTTTCCTGAGTTCTTGCATGCTATTATCGCTGTTTATTAGTAGTTCCATAAACAACAAATTTTGTGTTTTATCTGTATAATAACCGCGTACATATGTGAATTCTGCAACACTTATGGTTTTTTGGTGGTGGAAAGGATCTTCCTGCATTTAATGACTGTTAATTCCTCTCATTTGGCGTACTGTAGGAGAATTGTCTTATATGTATATTTGGTCATATTGCAGAGGTGAGTGAAATGTCCAGCCGACTAACATCAGAATCTCGAATATATGCTGACAAGGCTAGAGATTTGAACCGACAGGTTTGTTTCTCCAGATTATTCCCTACTTCAAAATCTATCTCTTGATCATGCTGAACCATAATTTGCAAGATTCTTGATGAACGGTGTAGTTATTGCAAGCTGCATATATGTTCCAAGCTGACTTCTTGTCTGCTGTATGTGTTTCTTGGTGCAGGCGTTGATTCGGAAATGGGCTCCAGTTGCAATCGTGTTTGGAGTCGTTTTCCTCCTCTTTTGGGTCAAAACCAAGATCTGGTGATCCTGCATTCCAGATATTGTTTGCACAGACATGCTGGGTTTCTGTAATTTGTTTGCTATGTTCATGTGGCGATTTTTCCAACTTGAGAGACAGATAGAGAGAATGGAAATGGAGACATGTAACCACCCAAGGAAGGAATTTCTGGTTTAAGTCGTTGCCTCACCAATTACCCCATAGGAAGAGTGTAAAAGAGAGACCCTTGTTGAACAGGCTTAAAAGGGTACACAACGTCCTGAGCTTAATTAGTTTTATGCACTAGTGATAGTGATGCATTGTTGGTTCATATTTCTACAGTTACAGGCTTACAGGCATCGACTAGGTGCATTAATCTGGGAGGATTCATTGTCTGTCCGAGTCTTCCTCCCCCTTCTGTATGTGCTCATCAGAACTTCTCATGTGCTGTCTGCATAGCTTTCGTCACAGTTTGCTCGCCAGACCCATAAACCGGTCTACGATTCTAAACCAAAATGAGTTTGATGATTGGATTTACATGTTCAGGAGAGAAATTTGAGACCTGGGCAAAGAAAAGCTGCAATGGCAATTCTGGGATCAATGAACATCACTTGTAAGGTGCAAACAAGGTTGTAGAGTTTTGGCATGCGAAACCAAATGAATTGGATAATGCCACTTTAATCTCCAGCCTCTCCTTTCTCGTCCCAACCAGCACATCCTTGTCCTAAAGCCAGCACAATAAAATCAAGTAGCTCCACAATAATGGTTTCTTCCAAAGCAATGAATCAGTGTCTGGTATTCTGTTAGTCTCCTGTTCGAGTCAATGATGCATTGACCATTCACATAGTTCACATCCTCTCTTACCATGCCAGACTGAGCCAATGCCCTCTCTATGCAGATTGCAGTTCCAGTTTCTGTTTTATTGTTTCAGCCAGAGTCAAATAAGATCATTAAGGAGTTCTAAAGACTAAGCTCTGAGCTGAAGGGTTTGTTTGTTTGTTATTTACCATCTGGGTGGGGCAGAGTCAAGTGATGAGCATCAAAACTGAAGCTCCTTCCATGAAACTCTGCATAGATTTTGGCTCCTCTTGCCTGACATTATCTATCAGAAGAGGGCGGTAGGTGAGAACCATTGAACATGTGAAATTCGCAATGCATGTGAGCATTTACCTTAGCATGCTGCAGCTCTTCTGACAGCAGCACACCAGCTCCTTCTCTGAACACAAAGCCATCACCATCCTGGCTACAAATTACAGAAATCTCACACTTCTCAAAACTTCTTTGTCTGTAGGCTATCTACAATCCAAATCAAAATGGTAATAGAGGGTTTCCTAAGCTGTTTAACGGTTTCCAAATAGATTTCAGCATTCTGTCATCACCAAAACGGATCATGAATGAAAAGCTTACAATGTCTCACAGTACTGATTGGAATGATGACACCGGCAGAACCACCACAGAGCATCAAATCCTGCAGAAGAAATAACAATGGTTGAAGCCACACCACGATTCAGGTCTTTTCGGGAAGGAGTTTGGCTTGTGCAGACTCACAGTTTCTCTTCTGATGATGTGATTTGCAGAGCTGAGGATGCAGAAGTTGCCAGTTGCACATGCTGAAGAGATTGAGTAATTGGTCTCTATCCATCCCAAGTCCATAGCTAGCTTGGCAGAAGCAATGTTTGTGGTCGAGAATGGGACACAGAAATTAGGATTCATCTTCTTATGTGAAACCATCAATGCTTCAACCCCATCATTGCTGCTAACCAGGTTAAATATCAATTTGGTCATCAAATTTGTCCATATGCAACCGATTTGGATACTGAAACTCGGTATTGACGAGACCATTAACTCATTGAACTAGCCAAGTTCCAAAGTGCATGCTATGTGGAAACCCTTGAAAGCCAAAATCTTGTTGCCTTCATGCCTCCAAATGCAGAGCCAATGATCACTCCACATCTACTCTTATCCAACTCTGCCATTTCATCACCTTCACTGATCCCCAGCGCCTAGATCAGAAACTTGTCTGCTCGCCTAGATGAGAATGACTTGATTTCTCCTGCAATCTTCTGCATTAGCACAGCATTAACAACTCAATTTCCAAGGAGCTCCATCAAAGTAAATAAAAGATAGGCAGCCAAAGAAGAGAGAACGTGGAAAATATTTACACCAGGGAATTGTGAGCAGTCAAAGGACTCAATCCCACTTATCCCACTGATTCCATCCAGCATATTGCTGTAGAATACATCTAGATCTTCACCTGAAAATTGGCAAGTTTAGAGGGTTAGAGGGGTCAACTGGAAATGTTCTAAATTAGGATGATATGTTGACAAATTATAAATCGATGCAATCATACTCCAAATTAGGAGAACCCGCCCATTACCATTCTTAAATACTTGTACACCGAGTATATGACTATCTTAACCAAATACTTCTCATTTGTTATGTGTGTAGTACCAACTTCTTGCCACAATTGATTTAAAAAATAAAAAGAATTTCATGCATTTACGTCCATCATTTATCCAAGCCCATAAACAAACTTTGTTAGTCCAGGCCATTTATGCTAGGCCCAATCCAAACCAATTGAAATGGACCTAACATACTCTTTGGAAGTCCACTGCGCCACCAGTTTAAATTTCGTGCCAAAAGTTTCGTCTTCCCAAGGCTCTTCGTTGTTTACTGCGCCAATTAGCATTAGCAACACTAATAAGTTATAAGTACTAACGACTAGTAACCTACTTTCCACCTTTCAAAATTTCAAACCCCCATTGTTTGTTCCCCAATTTCCCCACCTCAGAAGAAGCAAGAATCTCCATCTCCGATGGCGACGACCGAGCAACAACAGCTCAAGCACCAACGTCTCCGCGATCAGGATCGAGAAGTTCAAGAAGAACAAGAACGAGACGACGATTATAATGTAGGCGGCGAGCGATCAGAATCCGATTCATCCGACCTAGACTGCTGCGATTCGGACTCCGATTCCAGTTGCAGCACTCTGGACGAGACCAATCGCAAGCTCTCTTCCCTTTCCATAAGGAAGAAATCTCGGACACGGTTTGTTTTTTCTTTGGGCTTTGTTACTCCCCTTCGATTCCTGAATTTAGCGTTGAATTAGGAAAATGAGGGTTTCATCTTTTAGCGGACGTTTTTTTCTTATTTCTGTTGCAGCCTTGCGAGAGAATATGGAGTGGAAGGGAACGCTGGGGAGATTGAGGTGAATGGGGACGTGGTTGCTAAATTGGTGGAAGGTTAGTACATGCGTCACAAGAAATCTCTGCTGCTGAAGTTTAATGATTAACACTGAGAGGGCTTGCTTTTTGGGGTTAGAAGATGGTTCTGGCTGGGTAGAAAGATGAAGAAACATTTTTGTTTTCAGTTTGCTTAGCATCAAAACAGAACTGTATCTGAATGCATAAATGAACTTGTTTCACATTCTGAGCTGGGGATGGATAGGATTTCATTTGTTTAGAATGTTTGATTGAGCTATCTTAAGTTGAATGATAAAAAGATATATCGCCCCTTTTAGTACTGTTTAGAAGTGTTAAATACTTAAATCGAGCTGTAAATAGCAACGGAGATAAGGCTTTCCAGTTCCCTATCCCTATAATTGATTATTCATTTTATTTTATTTTATTATGGTGATGTGTTGGCAGCTGGGGAGGTTGAGAAGCTGAAACTAGACCAATGTAAAGCTTACTTGAGGAAGCATGGACTGCGATTGAGTGGCTGCAAAAGCACACTCATTCAGCGCATTAAGGAGCATCAAGAGTAATGAACTGGTGCTTAAGTGTTCCATGAGCATTGTGTTTTCTGAAAGCTTTTGCTAATCTATGGTGTTGCCCTTACAGGATTTCTGGTGGTAGAGGGGAGGAAAAGTATCCCCTGTCCAGCTTTGTGGTAAATTGTAAAGGTATAACAACGTGGTGATGAATTTGATTTGCGTTGTATGCATATAGCCAGCTTGAGTGCAATAGAGTTTAACATTAACCTTTTGATATTTATCTTGGCATGTACATTGTTACTATCTACCCTTGGAACATGCATTGGTCACCCCAATCCCTTCGTCGTGTTCATTGTTACATAATTACAGACTGCAAACTTGGGTGTTGACATTGGCTTCTGAAATAATATTTGGTTTTGATGTAGGTGACGCATGCATGGGTGATATTGTTTTGTTTGAACAAAATGTATATGACATGTAAGTCATGAAACAGTGTTTCCTTTCGGAAAACTAATGATGAAGTTCAGCTTATTTGTGGGTACCACAATCAGGTTTGATAAAAATGAATTGTGTGTGTCATTTGTAGGTATAATGTTGCATCACGGAGTGCCACTGGTCCTCCCTGTGGCAAGAGAACTGTTGCAGGGAAAATTGTGAAAGAGAGCTACGGTGCAGCTAAGCAACAACATACTTTTACGGTATATCATATTCTCAGCTTCTTGCATTTTGGAACTGTCGAGTGAACTGGTGGCTGCTTTACTTTTCTGGATATATGTGTTTTATTGGAGGGGAGTTGAATGAATTATAGAATGAGATAGACGTCATTAGTGACCTCAGCCAATCCTCCTGTTGTGCTCCCTACCAATGAACTGTTTAGGTTGTTGCATATGACTGTTTTAGGTAGATAAGTTTTACTTCTTTGCACCTGAACCAAACTAAAACTTCTGACTTGTCTGATCAGGTGGAGGTCCTGTGGAGCAAAGGCGAAAAGCCACTCCCTCCACTTCATCCCCTCCTCATTAAAGGTCGGAATTTGTACAGATTGAAGACCTTGAGACAGGTGATGACATCATGTTTTCCGTTCCATTTTGCTTCCAGTTCAGCTTATTACTACTCTCAAGTGATACTTTGACCTTTCCAGTGTGAAAATAACTTCCGTTTTTCCTAATTTAGAAATGGAAAGATGAAGAAGAACGGACTAGAGTTCTGATGGAAAAGCACTCAAGGGGCTCTCTTGCTAGATCTGATAGAGAAATCAGAATCGGAGTGAAAGACAAGAAGAAACAAATAGTGAAAAAGGGAAGGTACGGAGAAACATGTTTCTGTTCCATAATTTTTGTTTCTTTTATCCTTGTTAAATATTTGTGGTCTTCTGTACCATAGGGTCTCGAGGAAGAATCCAAATGAGAACCACCCTGATTCAGTAATGGTGGATTTGACAGTCCAACATTCTAGTGTAGTTGCTAACTCAGAAGCTATGGCAACTCTTGGAAAAAATTCTGGGAAGGGAACAAATCAAGATCTGACATTGGCAGCATCCATCCAACCTCCACGTTTTCGAGCAGCCACTCATGCAGCTCACATGGGAGTCAAACCTGAGAAGGCTACAGTTCTACACCCTAATTCAGGACAGTCCAATGGCAATGACACTATTGTTAAGGAAGAAAGTAGTAGACATCAGAACTCATATTACCCTCAAGAAGATTCAATCCGGCATCAAAACTCCAGGGTATCTCCTCCCAAGTCAAGGAAGGTATTACCTCAAGCTGGCATGCCGAGGAACCAAACCCAGAAGCATGAAAGTTACAGGCGAGATCAAGTTCCTCTAGACTCCATGATGTATTCTGATGTTTTCAGCATGCAGAGGAATTACGACCGTTCTTGTTTTGATAAGTATCAACACATGAGTTTTAGGAGGGAAATGTCCCCGGTTAAAAACTATGACAGGAGCTTCAGGAGGGAACTGTCGGCTGCAAACTATAACAGACAACCTTTTTCACTACTGGATAATGGCCTTCCACGAATGCCGTACCATGGACAACGAATCAACCGTAAACTAGAACTATGTAAGTACTATGCTAGGGGAAGATGCTATTTTGGAGATGATTGCAAATTCTCACACCAGCGAGAAGAGGTGCCATATGGTCATAGGGGTGAAGTTAGGGAGCAACATTATGACGGAAGACTATATTCATGAGATCGTTGCTAGTTGACAATGGGATCGATGTGAGTTCAGGGTCACACCAGCTGAACTTGGCGATTTGTATTGACTATTATCTTCTTTCCTTTTCATTCAATTTTGACTGATTTTGCAAAAGTTGAAGTCCATTTGTACCAATTCTCTGTTGCATGAATGCAACTGATTTTGTTGTTGGGTATCCCATCTTTTTGAAGATTTTAGTGATGATGAGTTTGAGAGGTGCTTGGACTTTGGAGACAATTCGCAAATGCATATTCTAGAAGTTTTTTACATTATATATAGTTGTTCTCAGATTTGGCCTACATTAGTCATATTCTTTGTTTTCTTCTGATCACAGGTTGAACCACCTACTTCAGTCCTTTCTTTTGAATTGAAACATTCCTATGAATTCCTTACTTACCTTGCCCTTCAAGTGTGTCTGGATTGCTTTGTCGATTCCCACCATTTCTTGAGCAACTCTGGTAAGTGGTAAGTGGTAACCATATCCTTTTTGGTTGCGTGATTTGCCTATTCCTTTGAAGGGAATACTCAACTAGGAAGATGGTAAAAATTGAAACTTGCAGTGTAAGGAAGGAACAATACATTAGCTTCAAAACGACGATGCAATATTTTTTGTTCACATGCTCGATTAACTCTCTTTCGCAGCAATGAAGGCCCTGGAAGTAGGTGCTGCAGGGGCTGTTGTGAACTCCCCAGTTGGATTACAGTCCTGCCAACATCACTGTTGTGGAACAGGTGCACTGTAACAACCTCAACTGAATTCGATGGATGGATGAAAATTCATTAGCAGCTGAGATCCTCTTTGGCGAAATGCAGGTGGTTAACTCTGTGAAAGGGAAGATCCTGGTGATCGGAGTGAGGAGAGGCACTGGCATTGGGAGCACAACGAATCCTCATAAGCTTCCATAAGTATGAACCTGTAACATGTCTCATCTTCACTTTCCTACTACATTGCTCGCAGATGGAGGGGCCGGTACTATATGGGTTGGCTGCAAAGGGAGAACAAGGGGCGAGGGAAGTGATTCAAACGATGAAGAATGAGTTCGAGCTCACGATGGCCCTTGCTGCTGTGCTAGCATCAATGACATTGCAAGGAGCCATGTAAGAACAGAGCGTCCTCTGTGCTCTATGTTGCACCGTGCTATTGGTTCTCTATTACCGTGGCGACCATTTTGATACTAGAGACACAAGTCTCAAATGCAAATTATGTAACGTTACATTATTACACTGCAGAACTGATTTTCTCTTCTTTTAAATTTGGGCTAGAATAGAAGGCAGGTATTGGTAAGCCATGCGTTTGTAGCTAAGAGATAATGCAGAGATCTTGCACTTAATTTCAACCATCATGGAAAAAGTAAAGAGCTCCTTGACCTTGAGCTGATATTGAGACACTTGCAAATGCTAGTAATGTGTTTTTCTCCACTATTTTTTAATCATAATTTTTTTTAATGAACTCGATATTAACCTGTATCCATTTTGTCTCAATTAATTCAATATTCTCGCAAATGAAGAAAAAGTGATGGAAGAAAATTTTGGTGAATCAACTATGAAAAGTAGAAAGAAAAACCCGCATCCAACCAAGTCTTTGACCAGGGAACGGGAGAATTCCCACTACCGCTGGTAGGCCAGCCGGGCTTTTTTGAATTGATTTCAATAATACTTCCAATTACTTTCAGGTAAAATAGCATTACTATTTTGAAGACTAGTTTTCGGTTATAGGTTATGTTTGACTGCAAATTATTTTGATTGGATCCGTTACAATTTGTAAATAAAATTTACATAAACTTATTAAAAAGTAATATTATACATGACTTGTCGTACACAAATTATATGTTTTGTTGATTGCAAAATGATTTTGTATACATAATTAATTTTTTAGGATAAGAAACAACATCATACAAAATAATAATATTACACATATACTCATGTTCGAATAGCTAATCTAAAAACTTTTAAACAAGCAATGCATTTGAAAATGTGTACATAACCAAATATTTATATTTCCCAAATATCTATATTTAAAGTCATTTGGAAAATACAACACCTAAATTATTAAACAAGGAATAACAAGTTTCTGATTCCCCCTTTCTGAGCTGCAACACAAACTAAAGCAAAGATTGAGCACACGCTACACATTGTTACCAGAGTTGCTCTTGTTTACCCCTTGGAGCTCCATAGGAGAGTTTGTGATACTTCCAATGGAGTTAACAGTCTGAGAACTCAACTGCGGACTGGCAGGGCAACCCTCCGGGTTACCGCCGCTCATGGCGTGGATCGCCCCTGAGCTTATCTGTGGACTCATAGGAGTTCTGGCCATTTGCTGCGGGCTAGGATGCTGTAGGGGTTGCTGCTGCTGCTGCAGCCCTATGGTCGATGGTGAGCCCACTTGAGAAGGCGAAACAACACCCTGAAGCGACTGAAGCGACGATGTCGATTCTGGCTGCTGCTGTAGCTGTTGCTGCAACTGCTGCTGCTGTAACTGCTGATTCTGCTGCTGCTGATTCATGAACATATTCATTCCGGCCATCAGCTTCGGCGGGCCCATGGGGTTCATTGCGCTCCTCTGTTGCTGCATCTGGCCCATGTTGGGCCTGTTCATGGGCTGACTCATCATGGAAATCCCAGCTGCGGCAGCAGCATTGGGGAGGGTCATCTGCCTAACGCCGGGCGACATTCCAGCAACACCTGACCGCTGGTTTAGCCTAAACTTCGTCGTCAGGTAAGCAGCCTGCTGCGGCGTCAACTGTCCCGAACGAAACTGCTGGATAGCGGCGATGTTCTGCTGTGTCTGGCCAATGTTCATCGGGTTCTGGCCCATATTCATCGGTCCAGATATTCCAGGACCCGCTAGCCCCCTCGCAGCTCCCATAGCCATCGCATTTCCTAGCGTTCCTAGCCCCACCATGTTGTTTCCCATTCCCATATGCCCTCCTAGCCCCATCATCATTTTCCTCTGCTGCAACTGCTGTTGTTGCACCTGAAGTTGGGTCTGCTGTTGTTTGTTAACCATTTGACCAGCCAAGTGCATGTTGTTCGAGTTCTGGCCTATAGCAGCATTTAAATGGGAGAGTGGATTTGATGGAAGCGCCATCTGTTGTGTCCTCTGAAGCTGCTGTTGATGCTGTTGTTGCTGAAGTAAAGCATTTTGGTTTTGTTGTTGATGCTGTTGCTGCTGAACGGATAATGGAGCATCAAGCTGCTGCTGTGGTCGAGATGGCGAGGCACCAGACGAGAGACCTTGAGACATCTGTAAGGCCTGAGAGTTCCCAGGTGGTAGCATTCTTGGATTCAGGGATTGATTTACAGAAACAATGCCACCATTAAGAGCCGGCTTCACATCATTTGAGGCGGCTTGCTGAGCCGCGACAGCTTCGTTGTATTGTTGTTGGTGCTGTTGCATATCCAGCGTCGTATTGTTGCCCGTCAGAATTGGCGGTTGACTACTCAATGGAATATTCAACATCCTTGTTGGTTTTTGTTCAATGTGATTCTCCACGAGATAGCCATCACGGCTCATCTGCATATATTAAAAAAAGAAACACCTCAGAATCATTAACCAGGAAATAGGATCAGAAATATCATTGAAGTCAGATGTTTATCTTTTACTTACCAATGTGCAGAATTGTTTTGCAAGCAAATCGGCATGATGCTGCAGGAGAACAAAGATATGGATCAGAGCATGGCATCTTATGAAAAAAGAAAAGGCAGCCTATGCAGTACCGCGTGAGATGGAAAAGAATACGAAAATAATCACTCAATTGTTTATTTCAACCAAATACATAGGTTGTTTGACTGATGGATTTACCGTGATGGATTATGTCCAATCCACGGCTAAGTAGATTCTTTGGCTTATAAAGAAAAGCAATAGATTTATAAATCAAGAACTTGATGGATTCCAGCAGACTCGGCTACAGAGTGTGGAAGAGGCTAATTGGTAGACGGGGCATAGAGGTTGGACTTGGGCAAGCGGGAGGCAGGTTACAGTTACAGGGAGGGGATTAGGGATTCTGGATCTGTCATATGAAGGAGACAAAGGGTGGAGTTTTTTTTTCTTTTTCTTTTTGTGAGGGGCGGAGTAGTTACACTTTACAGGATAGAGGGGCGAAGGGGCTCTGTTATAGGCTGTCGTGGATAGTTTCTAATTACAGAAAGGAGAACGTTGCAGTGGGTTAAATCTAAAAGCCCATTCATAATTTTAAGAGATTGCGGGACACACAATCTACTTACCATAATCCAGCATAAAATTCCATCAACCAAGGAATAGATAACAAGAAAATCCACATTTCATAAATCCTTCTTGCTTCCCAAAAGCATCTAGTTATCAAACTCCATCAATTAGAAAATTCATCCGCCAAACAACCCCCAACTCTTAACAGCTACAACAGCTATGCAGAAAATATTTGAATTATGTTTCAGGATAGTGGAACTTGTAGGAAGCTCTTTTTTCATGAATAACTTGTACGGAAGATCTCGAGCTTAGTCAAATTACATTTTTTATGAACATTCGATGATCAAGAAAATCTGTGTACGGGACGAGTTAAAAGTTATAACTTGGAATTCAAGATGCCAGCAAGCTATAAAGGAAAGCACACAGAGGCCTTTATCACAAACAGAATTACCGTATTAGGTAATGTAGGAAGATACTCCTCGGCAGAGAGAATATCGCCATCCTCCAGGTCTCCATAATGCATAGCCACAGTACCATCGCTTGACTTCTCCATCAAGACCATCCTAGCACGTGCCTTTGGGACATAAGCAACAACATTTCCTGCATAAAATAAGGAGAGGAATGAAATAGCCGATACGTATTAAAAGGTTCACCGCAATCTTTCCATAATACATTTTGCAAGACATGAAACAGACCTTGAAGCACTCGTTCACCTTGCATAAAATTCATAACTCTCATCTTGGGAGCATTCCTGCTGCCACCAACGAGTGAATTCGATAATTGCCTTTCTTCAGAGTCATCTTTGAAATCCTCGTTATTTGATGGATTGGATAGGCAGGCCGCAAGATGCTGAGGATTACATACGTTTGGCTTCCTTGGGTAGTCATCCAGTTTGTTCTTTTTACAGTGCAGTTTATGCCTGGAACAGAAGAAACTAAATTGGCTAAGGAAGTCGATAGCGGGCAGCAAGATTGATTTTCATATTGCATCACCAACTTTTCTGTAGTAAACATAAGAACCATTTTGAATCCAGAATAGATATCCATGCAATGAGGAAAAAACGTCCATTCCAGAATAGATATCCATGCAATGAGGAAAAAACGTTCATGCAGGGGTAATCAAAAAAGGTGTCATTCAACTATACGGACTTTTGCAATGAAACCACTAAATTCAGTTTTTATGTAAATAAAGCAATGAAGCAAGATATTTGATGTGCAGTTAGTCACTCCTTTCATTTTTGTCATCGAAAGCTGAAATCCAACTTTTATTTTTATCTTTAGTCCCCTGAAGCTGAAATTTATTCGAAGTACCATTGGGAACTTTTCATAAACCAACTCATCGACAGATCTAAACTTTTAAGCCAAGTCCAATGACAATTAGTCTATTTTACCAGTCAATGCAGCAAGAGTATTTTGTGATAGACTCAAGTTATTGAATCCAGCAAATACAAAGCTTTCAAATTAAAGAGTCTACCTTGAAGCCACCATCTCAAGCTTTGCAAACCTTTCGAGAACGACTTGATCAGCCAACTGTGCTGCTCCAACCATAGGACTAGCAGCGTTCATGTTTCCAACACTTGCTGGAGAGGCGACTCCACTCATAGCAGCAGTGGTCCTGGGTACAGAATTTGACTTCCGCTTGCTCACAACTTGAGCCGGCTGCTGATGCTGACGTGGCAAGGAGTCATTGCCGCTGGAATTCAAAGATGCTGCCGCCCTAGGAGTTGAGGTAACTGCCGACTTGTCCTTCTGCGATGAACCAAGCGCAGCAGTTGCTGCAGCAACTGCTCCAATGTGGAGCCCAGCTGAGTTACTCGAGAATTCCCCAGATCTAGATGACAATGGAGACTGAGCCAAAGCACCTGCAGATAGGAGTGGTTCACCGAAAAGCCGATATGGACTTAATGAAAAATATAAACTGATTTTCATGTTTTCTTTGTGGTTTTTTCTGAAAGTTAAATTTTCTGATCCCGCCCCCCCCCCCCCCCCCCCCCCCCTGTTTTTTCTTCCAATGTTTAACTGAAAACACCGTGAAGCCAAAACTAAAATCCACCAGTGTACAACAAAAGACACTTCAAAGATGATTTAACCACTCCAGTTACCGTTTAACCGAAAAATTAAACCCCAATAGTAACCCCTACCTCCTGATACACGAGGACTTTGTGCTGATTTCCTCTTTGGAACCTGCTGATCGTCCTTCCTTGTCTCTTGGCCGAAATTGCTCCATGCTGTTGCCGGAGGGAAATTCGGTCTCATCATATGTTGAGGCAGTCTTTCCATCTGCATATCACTCTTATTACCCTGACTGAGCTCTGATCCTCCATCAAGCTTTTCCGGATCAAACTGCTCTTCCTTCGGACCAAATCTCTGATTGGTAACCCCTTCAAACATTTGTGGGTACTTTTGGATCCCGACATTATTACCATACTGCATTCCTCTAGCCATTACTTGCTGCTGAAGCAACGAGTTCCTCCAGTTCATATCAGATGTTTGGAGGTTATCCATTTGTGGCTGTTGTATCCCCTCAGGACCTACAGAATTCATTCTTGATCTCTTATTAAAATTGGGTAATTGTGATGTTTGTTGTCCATCTGGATTCTCTCTTTTACCATGCAGTGAAGCGCCGGCACTCATATTGTCACTATGATTGACCATCATATCTTGTCCAACAGAAGAAGATGTAGAAATATTTACAAGAGACCCAGCCGAGCCGTGATCCTGAATGCCCCTAGGATTTCCAGCTGCAGCTTGATACCTTTGTTGATGAGAAACTAAAGGTATTGCTTGAACATTGCCATCTTGAAAGCTCCTTGACCCAACACCTAGCATGCTGCCAGGACCAAGATTTGGAGACGTCATATTTTCCTGGACATGATACTGCTGCATCATATGGCCTGACTCAGCAAATCTGCTGCTGGAGCTTTCTGGGACTTGATCTATGGAAACTTTCTTCCCATGGAGTCTGTTTGTAGACATCACAGTTACATTTGGCATCTGCCTCAACCGTTTCTTCCGCAGGCTACTCAGATTTAGATTAAGCTGCAAGTATGAATTGCAATAATTAACAAAATAAAACTGAATGCATTCCTCCAGCAAAACATATCTATTGAGATATTTTTTGTTACCCGGGAGGGAAAAGGGGTAGCAGAGAGCCTATCCAATTCAGGTGTGGGATCAAGCGAAAGTATCGGCTGCAAAGCCTTCACTATCCTGGCTTCGACTTCCTACAACCACGAGTAGAAGCAAAAACTGAGACTTGATGGCTGCAGATATATTACAGGAAGTATGAAGAATAAGATCTTAACATTACCATTAGGTCGCCATAAGTCCAGGAGTTATCTGAAATCAGGGGGATATCCTTCACCACATTTTCCAATGACATCTTAAGGCGCACTCTATTCATAGTAGGAGCCCCACCAAGAGATGGCATACCAGAACCCTGCTCAGTAGCACAGTTCCGATAATCTCGTACCTGCAGAACATGTCACCATTCTGGAGACATCCATCACTGTTGGAAGTTGGAACAGACTTAAGATACCCAGGAAATACACTCACCTCGCAAACAAGAGTTCCATTGGTATACTTGCATGGTATATCATCCAGAATATCTCCAGGCAACCGGCCAGATTCAATTGCCTGCAGGTTCATATATTGGAAGACAAGAAATCAGTTAAAAGGAGACATAAGGTGGAAAACTTCAAAAATAAAGAATGAGAACCATGAGTATATACTGCAAACGGATCACTTGCCATGATGCCTAAACTAGCAAAGGTGAAATGGGTTTTACCAACGGAATGCACAGGCCAACAATACAAGTTCTAAAAAACTTTAAATCTAGCACTAGATTGAGGCGATGTCCCAAAAATAGATCTTTTCACTGAGGAAGGGAAAGCCTACTTAAAGAGAGACATATCCACAGACAGAAAATTGGATTCCAACATGACCCAGAGTTTTAACAGATAACCAACATCCAGTTCAAAAGAAACAAGAATAGAGGTGTCCTTTACCGAAAACATAGCTTCAGAGGCCCTATCATATGGATGCAACACCTTTGAAGCATCTTGAATGGGAGGCCTGCGTGCAGCATCATTCTGAAAATTCACAGGCTAATGTAAGCAAAATCAAACAAAAAGAAGATATAGCTCTTCAAAATCTGAGGAATATAGTGATAGTTTTTAATTGACACACCTCAGAGACTTTTCCAATGGAATATCCATCTCGATAGAGGTCCAACGTGAAAGCAACTTCATCCTCTGGAGAAAACATGAAACAGCAGCAACCATTCAGAATAAATGAATAGCAGCAAGACCAGCCCAGCTGATAAAGAATAGAATCAAGCGACTAGCCCAACAAATTCCATTACCAGAGATTGGTGTACTTGAGATGTCAGCTACATCCTCAGTGTCCTATATCATACACAAGTTACTATCATTAAGGGCAAATAAGAACTTGAGGTGACTGTTTATCCACATGCTCTTATCATTTCAATGATTCATATGAGGAGAAAACCAAAAATGACTCAAAAACTAAAAAAATCATCTGTTTGAGAAAATGTATACATCTTTGATTTCCAAGCACTACCACCCTACAGGAGAGCACACATACAGTAGCACAAACACGAGAAATCCCTACAGTTTGCATACATTCCTTAGCCACATTTAACCAAATACCTTGACTACGTGAATTTAATAGAACTCTCCACATGGAAGCAAAAGAGACCAGTCACCTCCCGAATTCGGATATCCATCCCCCAATTCCCTTGAAACAAAGTTCAAACCTAAGCAGGAATCTCCCTAGAAGAAATCTGCCTTCCGCATATAATCGAACCGAATTGCAATCAGAAGACATGCCGTTTCCATACACAGTAAGTAAGCTCAATCCCCTTCAATTAAAGCAAGAGCAAAAGTGCACACCAATCAAACCGGACAATTACCTCAACCTTTCTCTTCGACGACGGATTTCGGGCGCCAATTAACGAGCCCTCCTTGGAATTTTCTGATGCCTCATTGAGAGCAACTTCATCTGGCTGAATCACAGGTTTGGGACGGAACCTTGAACCTTTCCTTGCGACCTTAAACGAAACACCCATTGGAGACTCAGTATGGACGCTTCATCCGAGGGGTTCTCGATCGCGGGAAAGTTGAAAGGAGAATTGGGGAGTAGATATTGAAGTGTGATATGAATTGCCCAAATAATAATACTCCTATTCAGTTCTTCAATTGAATTCAGCTAGACATGGATAGGAATTGAGGGAAGTGAGGTTCGGAGGAAGCTGAGAAAATTTGAAGAACGGTCGACGGGAAGGAAAATAATGGCAGACGGAGCTGAACCGGCGAAGGCAGCTATGACTTATGGCTTACGAGTTACGACTTACGACGATCGGGCCTTGGTTCCTGAAACAAGAGTTTGGTCCTGAGCTTCGATTAAAATGTTGGGCTTTTCGAGCTAAATAAGCCCAAAGGGGAGGAGCGCTTTGCACATAGGCATAGGCAATGTTTAAACTTCAAATTGACCACACTAATTTTAGTTTTACTGCCACTTAATTTAAACAAACTTACAAATAGTGAAATTGATTACAGTGAGAATTGGCTGAGGCTTACTGCTAGCAGCTGAAATCAGTACAAAAATACTAAACCGCAACAGCATATACCCATTGATTCAACTATAACCACAGACTCATCCCTTTGCCTTTAACAGAGTACATTCTTCTTTCTACCCACAATGAACCCCCCAGAGACCTGGAACTGCTTACAAACAACGAACAAACCGATGTACCATCATCATATGAGTCTAAAACTGAGAAACCCATCAGCTTCCACTCATGCATACAATTGAAAGGAAACCCTTCATTTAACCTGGCTGCAATTTCCATTTCAATGGTGAAGCTTGAACAGTGTAGAAAACAGACCACAATGAATCAAATTCATGGAAGTATCTATCATTTTGATCAGATTTAGAACCATCGATATGTTTAGGCGGGAAGCTAACGCAAGTAGGCAGGAGATGGCAGAAGAGAGAAGTGAATGAAGCAACTCGTCATCAAGATGAGAGTTCCTCCTGCAGCTCCATTTGGCCGATGTTGTATTCCCTCTCGAACAACAGAAATTCCTGAGTTAACAAATCATAAATTTCTTGTCAGCTTCAAAAAAAAAAAAAAAAAAAAAAGAGGGGTGGGTGGGGGTGGGGGGGGCAAGAAACAATGAAGTTACAGGAAAAAGGTAAGATGTTCCTAGATTGAAAACAATCTGTTTCAGGCACTGCTAATGCAAGTTGAATCTTGAGTTACCCAAAGAAAAAGGTAGATTTTCTGGAACATCATCAGAGAATAAGAATCACGGAGAATCAAGTCATATGGTTTGAAAAAGTGGCCGACGCACCTGCAACTGTTGCTGACTGAAGAGATGGACGAACCCAGTTTCCTCAGAGGAGACAAGCTCAATCAACTCGTCATGGCTCTCAGGTGGGTTACCGGATTCCATTAGAGAGACCGAAACCTAAGAAAATGCCACGATTCGTAAACAGAGTTGCAAATATGAAACCAGCTGACACGCCATGGAGAGAGTTGAAATCGCCAATAAATAGCTCTGAATCTTAAAAGAAAACATTTAGCCCGTACAGCCTTACAGGTTACATGCTTACCTCCATACATCGAAGAATTAGTTCCGGCAGACAGCACCGGCGGCAAAGTCCCTGCACGATGTAAGATGCAGGGCCTTCCAAGGTACCTCCTGCATCTGAGTACCAAGCATCTAATCTGGATATTTCCATTGTAACTCCAGGTTGAAACCGGCTAAGCTCCCCTGCAACAAAGACAAACATAACTGAATCAATATAATGTCATCACTTATCACCTACTCGAAAATTTTGCCTCTATATAATCCTGTTTTTAAACCTAAAGATCATACAGCATGTTAGCATTTTATCAGCAACATGAATATCACAGATTACATCTGCATGTGAATGAATTGGGAAGAACATAAAGGGCTTGCAAGGTATATTTGATGCAATTCAGATATTAAGAGAAAAGAAGGATCGAAATCGGTTCATAAGCTTAGTAAACACATTCAGACTGGTCCGGTTCGATTCCATCCACTTTTTTCTTTTAAGATAACTTTTAAGAGGATCAATGGAGTAAAAATAAAAGGCCTCGAGGTTAAGAAGCCGAATCATATTAACTTTGGTTCCAATTCGATCAAAATGACAATTCGGTACGATTCAATCCAGTGTGAACCGAAATGCCCATCCATCCGACGATAGCTTCAGTTCCAGGTTTTGACCTCATCTCCCTACCTCATAACACGACTTCAGTAATATAAACCTCATGGAAACCCTCATGGAAAGGACATGATTACCTTTGAAACCAGCTGCCATAACAGTAGCTAGAACACCACCATCATTAGCCTGGAGTGGTCCAAGTCCATCGCCCTCGACGGCCAAACACCGCAGAATAACCTCAATATAATAATTGTCCCTCCCCGAGATGGAAACATTTACCTGTCGATCACAAACACCAGATAACAATGATTAGGAAACCTCGTGAAAGGGACAAAAAATTGAGTGCTCAATTTTATCAGTCTGATATCAGTTCATCAGGCACACCTGCAATTTTTAGGACAAATGTTTAATTACCCGCAACATGTCAAATAGTTTTTCACCAACTTGACCCACATTCTCGGAGTTACCAAGCCACTATGTTATTCAAAACAATCTCACTCAACTCATTGGCGTAAGCCACATCATCATTGGGTTAACTTAATGAGGAAAAAGACAATTATCCATACCATTAATTGACGATGAAGCACAACCTCCTCACCCACAGAAGAGTAAAGAGCACTCATCAATGCAGTGCAAACGGTAGCATCTGGGCACATACATTCACCTGAAGGTAGGCAGAGCATTGCAGTGGCATGCAACTCGAGGTACAGATGAGTTTCTGATTCAAATGCATGATCTTCTATAAAAGCTAGCCAAGGATTTTCTTTTCCTGCGCGAATGATTTAAAGCATTAGAACATTTCAATCACTCTGTGGACAGTACCACCATGTAAAAAAGGTTTGATGGAGCTAGCGTACTTAGTAGTAGAGACAGAGAACAATCAAGCGCCTCTCTGGCTGCTGAAGTAGCTTTATGTTTTTCTTCCATAGAAAGCTCGGTGGTAGATACCTCCGCATTTTCGAGTTCAACTTTAAGCCATTTACGATATGTTGCGTCACATGAATAGTACTCACTCTATTACAACAACTCACACAAGAAAACACCAAATTAGAACACTAACAGAACGGAGCAAAACAAAAAGAAACACAGAAATTTTAACAATGGAAGGTACCCAGTCGTTGAACTCTTTTAGGTTCTCAGAAATGTTCTCAAAGTCGGCTGGAAATTCAGAAAGGCGCTTTAGAGGCTCAGCAAGTAAACTAAGCAATGCATGTGCACCTATTGGCATTGCTGGTACTCTCCACATAGAAATCAAAGCAAATTCCCTGAAGAGCATGTTGCTGCGGAGAAAAACTGTTCATTAATATATTATGGAAGGGCAAAAAGAAGGAACCAGGACACTGATATATATCACTTTCTATCCAACTGGTTCCTCCATTCCCACAGAAACCTAAGATTTCGTATGCAAATTCCTCAACTAATATGCATCCAGTAAAAAGAGGATAAACCACTGAACACGGCATCTATTTGCAACAAATATTGCTGAAAAAAGTTCCTTCTTCACTCCATCTTTTGGAATAGATTACCCACATTACCAGTCATACTATGAAATATATTAATCATAGGTTAACAACACCATGCAGCTTGGCTTAAAATGCGGATCACTCACCTGTGTATCAATGCCCGCATAAGAAGTTTTCCACCAATGTCTTCGACATTGGTAATAGTTGATGGGGGAGAAAAGCACAGCCATTGGATAACCGTAGCTTTTTGGAGGCTCTGTATCCTGTGCTGCTCTGCCACTTCTGCTGACTTTTCATACTTTCCAACTTTGATTTCACGAGATCTTGAAAGAATCCTGTTAGAATAGTTAGTGATAATGAATAAACTGTTAAGATCCTTATAAAAAAAACTGTTAAGATATATGATTTCCTGTTTATCTTCATTCAGACGTCAAAAGATGCACGCCAACTAGTACGTACCTTTCTATAATCTCTTCAAAGCTACCTTTGGAATCATCTAATGGAGAAAATTGCAGGTACTCCATAGCAGCAAGAAAAAGCTTGTACTTCACATGCACACTGCATGTCAAGAAAAGGAGGAAGGGTGTTAGAGCAGAATCTCCAGATCGAAATCAACATTCACCAAAAAGGCTTATCACCATATCTCCTAGTTTAAGACTAGATCTTCCAGGAATAGCCTATAAGAACTATTCCCATAGCTCATTTATATGTATACCAATTAAGCTAGTGCCTTATATGTTTCAAACATAGATATAAGCAAGCCAGTTCTCAACAAGCCAGAACCACAACAGAATGCATAAGTTTAGCTAAAAGACATGATTGAACTTTGCTTTTTCTATATGAGAATCCGTGACCATACAAGAACAATGCATTGTAGCTCAAGTAAGAAGTCAATTCTACCTGCTGGTAATCCTTAGTTCCATCATGTGCACAAAGAGGTCAATGCAACGATGACGTGCAAGCTGAGAAGCATAAATGCCCACCAACTCCTCATGTTGCTTGGAGAATAGAAACATGACATACCTGGAAGGAGGGTCACAAAGAGAAAATCAGCAGGACAACTCTGTTTAACATCTCAAATGACATTTTCAACATGAACACAAGCAGAGGTTAACAAAGTGGCATTGCACAGACTATGCCACATATGTTTATTACAGGATTTTTTTTTTTTTTTTATAATTAGATATAAAAGTTACAGACTATTCCAAGACTATGGCACAAATGGTCAGGTCTGCCAGCGCAATGTCTAGCCCTTTTATGGTCTCAGTCATTGTATATTAAGGCAAATAACATAAATCAATCCCAAGTTACGCCCACTACTTAATCTCATCGGTATTATTTATCCACTCAATGTACACAGCAACTAAGTCATAACTGATAGTACAAAAGCTTACATGTGTAGAATGAGATCACCAGCGTTCATTAGCTTCTCTCTAAAGGAATCCTTCATTTCCTCAGCAAGTAAAAACCTAAGCACAAGTACTAGGTGAGCACCAAACCGTATCAACTGAGGATCACCATGAGGCCTGGTAAGTCGCATTGGCAAAGAACTATAGTTAGTAAGAGGAGGTTAACGATCTAGAAAAAGGAAGGCTTCGCTGATTTATCCTGCTTTGTGAAACACCAGACCTGAAGACATTCTCATCATCTTCAGAAGGTGCTATCCACGACCATATCATGTCAAGTAGGTGTGGAATATTCCCCAACATCATATTCATCTGCAAAGTAATATCTTATCAGAGCAAACAGCGAAAAGCTGCTGCAGAAACTAAAAAGACTATAGTAACTCTTTTTCAGACAGAATAAGCCAATAAGCACAGAAAGACCTTTATAAATTTATATAATTGACAATTTGGTAATTTAAAGTGGTTTTTCTCCTAGTGAACATGGTTGAGACATTTATTCACCTTACGACCGCCTTCATAAGTAATATACATGGAGGCCAATTTTTCAATAATAATAATATAATTTGTTGTAGTTTGATAAACTTAACTTTTAAGGTTCATTGTATTCTCTTAATAACTCAAATTCATACATCATACATAATTAGTTCGATTACGCCCATAAATATTCATTGTATCTTCTAAATATTCCAAGTTTATAGAATAACTTATCGGGTTCTAAGTATTCATCGTATTTTTTAGATAAGCATAGTTATATTACAAATTTCTTGATGAATTGTATTTTTATTCTATAATTGTTAATTTTAGAATTGAGAATACATGTATTTATGTAGGTTGATCATCAATAACTATTGCCTTGATATTCTATTAAATTTTCTCATATTTTACATTGGCTCGAGTAAGGACCGGATCAAATATGAATTTATAGTAGGTTATTAATTTGTAGAGGCTTTACAACACGATAAAAAAGGGAATTCGAAACTAAAGTGGCATACAGCTTTATAATAATTTTTAACTCGTAGCTGGGAATTTGGTTCCTTTATTGCTAGCGTTATAAAAACCTAAATGACTTAAACATGGACGGAGTATCTCAAAGCAGTAGTTATGCACACTTGAGAGACAGAAGTACTAAATTGTTTCTCAAGAAGAGCACCTGAATTTGCCGCTGCTGCTCCTTGCACCCTCTAATAACAGCTTCATTGACCAGTTCCCTGGGTAGAGCAAAATTTCAGCTGTTAGCATTTTCAAGAATAAAACAGAGTAAGCACTTAGTATAAGGAATAAAATAGGTAATGAAGAAGCCACCCGGAATGGAGTTTTTGAAGAAGAGCTGAAAGATTCCTTGGTTGCTGATTCTTGACCTGTAGTGGCCAGCTATGTGGTCCACCTGAACCATGAGGGCCATTGTCATTTTGGACAGGACTGCCCTCAGTACTATCTCCATGACTCTTAAGCTGCTCGAACCTTCCAGTTTGTAAGCCAGATAGCTCTAGATCAACCTGAACATCAAGCCACGACTTGGCCATTGCCCAGCAAGCTGACTGCAAGATATGAGGTGGAATTAAAATTCTTCCATTGATAAAAATAAATAGGTTAACAAGGAACTTAAACAAAACATTAGGCATTTAGATATTAACCCAATGGTGTAGAAAAAAAGCCGAACCACTATAAAATCCCACAGATACCAAATAATAGAAAACAAACAAATCCTCTGAGTACCAGTGAACAGAAACTAAGAATCAGATAGCTAGCACTAAATATGATGAATACCAGCTAAGAAGAACACTATACTAATAGATCCACCTATCCACAAAAACGAGTTTCACGAGCATTATGAACAAACTTTAAAATCAGGATATAAAAGGAAAAAAGTGTTCACCTCCCAGTCAGTACAAATTGGAAGCATCCGTTTTAAGTTGCTACACTGTGCTGCATACACACCTGCTTCATATTTCCCGCCATTCTGCTCTGCAATTTTCTGCAAAATAACAATAGAAAATCAAATTCAACCCGATCTTATCACCTATGTCCAATCACAATGAGGACGGATATAATAAAAGATGGTTCATAGGTCAGTATAATTAAGGATCCCACTTTTCTTAAAAGGTGAAGCTCATGTGAAATAAACATGGAACCATGATGCACCACTTCGTACAGAAGAATGCGAACTATAACAATAGAAAATCAAATTCAACCCGATCTTATCACCTATGTCCAATCACAATGAGGACGGATATAATAAAAGATGGTTCATAGGTCAGTAGAATTAAGGATCCCACTTTTCTTAAAAAGTGAAGCTCATGTGAAATAAACATGGAACCATGATGCACCACTTCGTACAGAAGAATGCGAACTATAACAATCTTATATAAGTTCCAACGAGAAACTGAAAATTTTCTACCAAAAAAAAAAAAAAGAAACTGAAAATTGTCTCAGAAGAAAAGTAACTAGAAGCATGCCACAACCATTTGAGGGTAGAATAAATGACAGAACTACATACCCAAAATGGCTAAGTTTGATAACTCAAACACCCAAAACAAGTTCCAAGTAGGAATACCTCTGATGCACAATATGCAGCCCATTTCCAAAGACGCCATTGATGACCAATGCCACTTTCAAGCTCAATGGCTTGGAGGGTTCTACTTTTTCCATTCTTCATAAGCGCCTCGATAGAAGGAACCATGTTCAATCCTCCAAAAGGACTTAAACTTGCAGCTCTCCATGACTGATACCAGAAGCAAAAAAGACCTGATTTGCTAATGAGAACTAATAAAGTACTTTTCTAAAAGTTAAGAAAACCTGTACTGGTATTGAATACCTGCCCAGCAGAGCGGCAAAGATCACATGCCTCTTCTACTCTTCCAGCCCTTAACAATGTCCACACATCCTCCAAAAGACATTCCTCTTGTTTCTGTAAACGGAGATAATTGTTGCTGCTTTAAGCGAATGAAACGCAATCATGGTATATTCTAAATTCGACAAAAACTTCCTAAACTATCCATGTTCAAATCAAGGCTATCACATAATTATTAGGACAAAATCTGGTAGGACAAAAACTGGTATATCTATGGCTAGTTGAAAGACTTCATTGATTGAAAAAACATAAGTTTAACATAAATCTCAATAGCGAAGAACAAAGACAGGATACCTGATCATCTGGTAGCAGGTGAGCATGTTCACGAGTTGGAGCATCAAAGTCCAAGTGATGAACAGTATTTACAGTGGATGCACCTTTCTTCAGCAATCGTTGCGTATTGTGCCAAATTCCAGAATTAGGAAGATATGTACCAACACGAGGTTCACGTACCTGTGATTCTAGGTCAATATCCATTTCAAATAGAATTCACAAACTCAAAAATTCCAATCAAATGTCAGACCTAGATAGAATATCAGGAAGGAGGGGGACAACAAAATTCACCCATCTTCTCTGCACCTAAAGGCCTTCAAAAGAGTGCTGGCCTCACGTTTGATGGATACTAAATTAACTTGGATACCAGGGCTTTATAAGGTTTGTAAAACAAGTATACACTATGGATAAAATGTATTAATAAGATGTTGAAGCAAAGATGTTCCGTCTGTCCCCTGTTAAACCAATATCACCTAAAAGCTAAATATCCGGATCAGAACATCTTCCTATATGGGGGGCAGCAAGTTTCAGTCAGAAATACTGCTCCATACACAGATAAAGAACAGAAAGCTAACCCAACAGCAGGAGCCAAGTAAAAAATCTACAGACGCAAAACGAAAATGCAATGAACTTAGGAATCACCTTGCTTTCAAGATCTAGGGATTTAGAGGCTAAGCCCTCCAGCCACTCAATGATACGGAGGCAAAGTTGTGCTGTATGGTCATTTACAACAAACTGGCACGCCTCTACATGTGACGTTGATGGAGACTGTCGAAAACAAACAAAGAATCCATGAGATTACGTGGGGTCGAGTTTTGGGGTAGTATAAATGGAACCCTTCAAATAGTTCAGAAGACAAAGCAGTGAACAGCCATTCTGAATTGGTAGTTTAGTAAGTCAGAGTGAACCAGCAGAAATTTCAGAAAAGCATCCTTAATGTATTCTTTCATAATGGTTCTGAGAAAAGAAATTGTGTACCACAAGCAGGTCTTCAGTAGGTTCTTCTGTCGCTGTAAGAAGCATAATGGATTTATATCAACACCACAACCCACATGACAAGGTTCATGGACCACGAACATCAGAGTTAAGACGAATAGGAAAATTTCTGAGTGTCATTATCCACATATAACCAAGATCAGAAAGAAAGACTGGTAATAGGTTCCTCTATCTTCAAGAAGAATCTAGGAGAGCAAATTAGAAATATAGCATAGTAACAGGGTGGACCTGTGGCTAAGGATAAGATGGTAAATCTACAGGAATTTAGAAAAGAAGTTTCTCATAGCGTCCATTCTTGTTGCAATCAACTTTTAGAAACATAAGGTCACTTCACAACATAAAAACAAAAGATCAAAAAGTGTATATCAAGCTCCCCCTCCTTTGTCAACTAAGTGAAGTTTGACATATACTGGGACGCATACCGTGTTACCAATGAGACTGTGCCCGCATTAATACTAGCATCCACTCAACATTCAAACACAAAGATGCAAAGACAGTAATGATATTTCTATCAAAATCTCACTCAAGACATATGCTGCAAATGGGAAAACTTTTACAAAAAAAAAAAAAAAAACTCACATTTCCCATAGAGGTACCACAGAAGAGACCAGGTGCCAGCCTCATCCAGCAGGAGCTGAACCTTCTGCCGCATTAATTTGTCCTCTAGAACTCGATGCCTTATGTTTGACTGGGACCTGTACAAGCAATAACAAAGAACCCTGATGATAAAGTGAAGCCAAACAACTGATCTTACTTATTCCAATCATGAAGACAGAGAGGGACAATCTGGAGAATAAATATTTTCAAACGTAATAGTCTGCACTAAAAAGACTGACAAGTCATGGTCAAGACATGTATGTATTCCATATTATATGCGACTCACCTTATATCTTCCGATACACTACGACATGATCTCTCAAATCTCAAAATCAAATCTGGAATTGGCATCAAGCCTACAGAAGACAAGGAAATGAGCCTTTCAATCAGTCACTAAGTAGTAGCAGAGTCAAGACCACTAGATTGATTTATACGATAGTGTCTACAATTCAAATACTTTAAGTGATTTCATTTCTACGCTAGGAAAAATTAGATAGATTCATTTTAAACAAAGATGAAACTAAAGAGATTTGACATAAGGCATACACGAAAGCAACTTGGTATTTATATTTCAACAGCAGTGCAAGCAAACTCTTGAGACCTAAAACTTTATGCTCCGACCTTCCAAAGAACTACCACTCTAAAACCATTCCAACCAGTATCACACGGAATAAAACATAGACAGCAAGGTAAGCTGTTCATAAAAAGTTAAAAGATGACTGCGAAGGCAGAAAGATAACTTGTCCTTGATGAAGCAGTCCATTCTGGTATCAGACCAACTTCCATTACCAAAACACAGACAAGCTACTATTCTAAAAAGCATAAGTGGACAGTCCCCGCATCACAACTCAATCAGAACACTGCTCTACAAGACAATATTTCCAATACCACTCTCGAATCTTAACAATTTCTCCCAGGTTTTCCCACTAAGATTCACAGATTAGAACGTAAACTAAACTAAAAGGTATGAGACCTTGAATAGCAGAATCCAGAAGAGATGCGAATAGACCAAACACTGCTTCTCCGCTGTCAGCTGATTCTTCCTCCATTTTGCATGCTTTGAGCGATTTAGTTCCAGTCTGGAGTTCTGGATCAACAATGAGATCACTCTCTGAAAATCCATCAATCGCCATCCTCCTTTTACCCGAAGCTTGCACCTTCCCAGGTGTGGCATCAAAGTGATCAGAGCCCAAACCATCAGCCTCTTGTTTAATATCCTCTAGCAGAAGCACAGCATTTGTGGGACTGTGTATGTTTTGCCCATCATACAGTAGTCTTGAGTCCTTGAACTTTGAATTCGTACTGTCTTGACTTGGGCTAGATATCGAGTGCCTTTTACTGCATACAGCACGCTTTCTCAGAAAATCAACAACGTATTAAGATACAGAAACTCAATAACATACAAGAACACACAGTTCATTCTCGTATATCTAATCAACAAAACGATTCAGAGTTCCATTTGCTTCACGAGAAAAAGGGGGGAAAAGAGCCTTCGAATATGGCCATCTCCATTCACCCTCGTAGAGAAAAAGGGGGGAAAATCAGATTCGCAGAACAATGAACAAGAGTGTACTGAATAGAGTGAAAACCCCAGCCTGTTGAGTTCAATAATCACTGTACAAAATCAACCACGCAGGAGAACTGCATAAATTCAATTCAGTCGTCTATAATCCTCCTACTACCTGACAATACAGCGACTCCTAAAGAATAAAGCGAACTGAGAATAGCGAGTTGAAAAGGGTTGAATATGACAGGTTCAGCAGGAGTACCCGTAGCGACGAAACTTTTCTCTGATGGTGAGATCTTCCGGCCGGAAGTAGCCAGGCGAAGTTTCCATTTCGACGTCCATTTTTCCGCCACCGAGCTTTCAGAACCAGGAGGGAGGAGAAAGAAAGAAACCCTAGAAAGCAGCGGAAAGTAGGGTCGGCTATTTTGGCCCGGACTGTTTGGTTTACCCGAAATCGGACCGTATAACCTGGACCGGGACCAGACTGGAACCGGATAACAAACTATCCAATCTCATATTTGGGCTTAGATTTGAGGTAAAACCCGAATAAAAACCGGATAAGAGATCCCAACACCTAAAATCAAGATCAAATTAGGACCGGACCGGGTTAAGACCGGACCAGATCAAGACCGGATTGTATCCAATCCAATCTTTGGTCCTTATATTCCCGAAAAGACCGAACTGGTACCGGATCAATTTGATCCAATTTAACCGGACCGGATCGTATAGCCACCTCTAGCGGAAAGTTCAAAATCTCCAAAACCTTAAACTCGGAGAAGGGAAGTCTAAGCGCGGGAGGAAACGGGCGTCGGACGTCGACTGACAGAAGAAAACGGCGATCCAGAACGGCGGCTCGTATCCCGGCATGACTTTTTTTGTCATATTATTATACGACGAAACGGAAGGGTTAATTCCATTGTTACAAGAACAATTTTTTTTATAGGGTTACAAGAACCAAATTGGATCACCCACTTGTTCAGTAGAACCACCAAACTAGTTGTGATAGCTGTTTGGTTTGTTTGCTTGAGTGATTGAGAATGAGTTGAATAGTTTTTAACGATTTAACGTAAACGAACCATCCCAATTTGAATGATTCACTATTTTAACCACAAAAAAATTATGAAAAAAAGTTTAACGTATCAACATATTTTTGTATTAACGAATACCAAGGTTGTCAAACCGGTTTATGCCAGTGTGCCGGTTTAGCAAGTGGAATGGTTCGACCAGTGGCACATACCGGTTTGTGCCGGTTCATACCGGTCAATATTCCAAATAAAATTATAAATACTCATATTTAAACATGACATTTATCGTCAATACCTAAACATTTATACTTGAATTCAACAAATAACATCAATATTTTACTTTTATACTCATAAAATAAATAATATAATAATTTTTATCAATTAAATTCGCTCAAATAATGTCATTTTACTTAGAGATTCGTATATCAATCATGCCGGTCATACCGGTGGTGTCACGCCGGTTTTATAACCGGTATCGGTTGAACCAGTTACAACCGGTGGCACGCCGGCCGGCGTGACAACCATGACGAATACTGACTAATATTTTAGGGATTGTGATTGAGATTTATTATGAAGTGCTATTCGATAGTCGGGATTACGAGATTGAGATTGATATATACCGAAATACCGAGAAACAAGAAAAATTAATGAAATATAGCATGCAACCTTTGGTTTCCTCACTCTTTCACAACTCACTAATCCCCATCCGACTCAAGTTTGGCTTTCAAGTTTAAGTCACTCTCGTCTCTCACATAATCTCTTGTTATTTTCATAACACAAAAAAAAAAAAAAACACTAATAGTAGTTGTCTCTCAATCTCTAATTCGATTACCAATGAATTAGAGATTTATTATGAAGTACTATTCACTATTCGGGATTACGAGATTGAGATTGATATATACCGAAATATCAAGAAATCATAAAAATTGAAAATTAATGAAAATTAAGGCAGTCATTTCATTATCCTTCCTGGCTTCCAACTCGGCAACCTATGGAAATTAACATGAATCTATCTATATATCTATCTATCTATCTATCTTCTATATATTTATCTATCTATCTATCTATCTATCTTCTATATTTTATCTTTTATCCTCCATTAATATATAGTAGAGTTTTGTAAACTTTTCTCCATTTCAAAATTCCTCCAATGAGAGTGAAAGTAGGAAGGATATTTTTATCTTTATAATTATTTATTTATTTCATAAAAAATATCAATATCAAGACTCGAACCTTGGTCTCTTCAAACAAAGATAGTTGTCATAACCAATTATACTAAGTGTATTTGTTGTTCCTTTTTTAATACAAAACATACATGTATTGAAACTGTGAAAAGTAGAGAACTTTTTCATCATGATTAACAAGGGCACTAAGTCTACCATATGTATTTTCATGGTGCTTAATACTTCAATTTTCATAGTAGAGTTTCATTTAATTTTATCAATTTTTAGAATTCATGCTCTCTTCTTAATGTTTCGCTAAAGGTATATTGGTAATTGGCTAACATGGAAGAAACTATTTCCTTTATTACGTGTTGTGTCCTTGCATTTTTCAATATAAATTTAAATTTTGTGCCTTTTTATCTTTGTTCTTATCTCTTTCTAATTTTCTCCAAAATTCCCTCCATCGTGCAATAGTTTGCGTGCTTTCACTTCCCAGTATAAGGAGCATTTGAAAATCAACATCCGGGTATCTCTTGGCACTGCAGTTTTATTCTTGGGAATTTAGGCTAGGCAAGTAGAAGATTTCAACTCTCATATCAATCCATGGCGAATAGAATGGAGTTCAATCAAGTAGTTATGGCCTGGCCTTGATTATCTCGCTCGATTCCTCTACATTGGCATCACCCAATGGTTCTGTCTCTCCTCGATGTACTACCAGAAGAACTATTTTGTTGCTTCTATTGCTGAAGGCAATGTTTGATCAGTTATACCTTTCGCCTTTACTCATCTTCCTATACAAGGCATTGACCTTTAATAGGTTTTCGGTTTCCGGCCAAGGTTAATCGCTTTGCACGTGTAAGTCATTCATTTCTTCTCTATGTCTCATGGTTTTATCTTTCTGATTAATAACAAAACGACTTTTATTTCACGTTGTCTCATGAGAACAACATGCAGAATATCTATTTCTTTTGATCTTATTGCCTGATACGATGTTTAAAGCTCGGGGGATCTCCTGTGTCATTTCTCCTCTTTCTGTTATTAGGTTTCAACTTCAATGAGTTTCTATCTTCATATAAGGTTCATCGACTTGAACTGGTAGGCTATTATTTCCTTCCCGATTTATCTAAGTTTGTTGTTTATGAATGATTTATATAAATATAGAAAATGAATTTGAACGATGGTTTGGGTACTATATTTGTTTGTAAGCAAAAGAGATGTTTGTGTAGAACAGGCCAGTTGTACTTTCCTAGAGCCCTGTCTACTTTTTTGTTGTTTGTTTCCGATACTTTATTTTTGTTCTTTGCTTAGCTATTGAAATAATAAAATAAGATCAAAATTAGGAAAAAGGTTTCTTTTCAATTACAATATTTTCACTCATATTTGATTTTGTGATAACTAATGTTCTCCGCAACCATAATTTCCTCATTAATTTTTATTCTTATGGTCCAACTCACTAATCAAATTTTGATATTGTTTTAGAATTATTTAGAAATTGAGCTTTCATGCAACAGTTGATAACGATGTAATTGCACATGTTTGCGCCCCTAGTTCTTATCCGTTTGAGGGGCATAGTCGTGTGTTTTGGCCTATTTTACGCCGGGTTGTGCTATTTTGTCATGTTTCAGGTCCCAGGTGTCAAAGGGAAGGCTAAGCGCGAGTTTCGGGGCATTCGGAAGTCGTTTCGGTGAGCTGGGGCTAAAACACGGGCAGCCTAAGGCATTACACGGCCGTGTTCCTGTGGCCGTGCTTTTTATGCCGAGAGCTAAAGGCATTACACGGGCAGGGCCGAGACAAAACACGGTCGTGTTCCACCAAAACACGGCCGTGTACATCGCGAAGCACGGCCGTGTTTCCACCAGCTGCTGGCCGTGTAATTAAGCCTTGGCCGAGACACGGGCGGAGTCAGGCAAAGCACGGCCGTGTCCTCGACCGTGCTTTGGCCACTGATGCTTTTAAGCAGATTTTCAGCCACAAGTCAAGGGGATTCGAGTTTTTGAGAGATAGAACGGCTTATAGAGAGAGAAAGTGACGAACAAGAGTCTCCAAGTGCCCTAGATTGATCTTCAACACCATTGGAGGCCAGCTTGAGCTTGGAGGAGTGCCAATCAACGTCCAGGAGCAGGAATCCATCCTTCGCAGTATGAATTCCGTGTCTGATTCTGCTTTTGCTTTCTTCTCCATGGAGTAGTTCTCCCATTCATCTGGGTATGGAGAACCCTAGATTTGTATGTTAGGTTTGATTGTATGAACCCAAGTACTGATTCTGTGATTGATTATATTCGATTGAGGTTTTAATGATTGAATGACTTGAATCCTGATCAAATTCCTGTTGTTTCTGCTTTAGCCTAGAATGAGAATATCTGCCTAGGTTAATAGAGTATCCTTGATTGAAGGTAGGGAGTTGGTGACTTTAGTCGAGGAGCCAACTCACTATTCTGTACCGGATTTACTCCGGTAGTGGAGGTTTTGTTCTTAGGGCCTCAATCTGTCTACTCCGGTGGAGGTTAGTCGCCCGCTAGAGAATCAGATTGAGAGGGTCTGAAGACCTTTAGTCGAGACTTCAGGCTGGTTAAGAACCTTCCGCAGTATAACCATCATATGAACTGAACTTGGTAATTACAATCCGGCTTAACTGCAGTCTAGGGGGAACCATATCCAGGTGACCTCTCTTAACCTGAATACAACTGTTTACTTGCTTTTTAGTTTGATAGTTTAGACTTGCATTCCAGTTTCATTGCTAGATAACAAGAATTCACTGAGTAGTCATCAGATCTAGGACCCGGGTTGACATATAAACCTAAACCCGCTATACTACGCTTTAGGGAGTGGTTACACTTGGCCAATTCCTAGGGTGACAGTAGAGTCGAGTCAAGTTTTTGGCGCCGTTGCCGGGGATGGCTAGGTTGTTGAAGAAAAATGATTTCTGTTAATTTAGCCTTTCTTTTTGCTTTGTTTGCTTTTTCCCACTTGTGCCTTCACGGGTTTGCTTGCTTGAATGTGTGCAGGTAGTGCATGACCCGTAGCCAGTCAGGAGGTTTACTGCCGTTGAATCCAGAGATTGACCGCACCTGTCGCCAGCTCAGGAGACAACAGCGAGCTAGACTGGCTACGGAAGAGCGCATAGACGGCCACCTGAGCAGCGATTCTGAAGAAG